TTATGACTTACTTTAAAAAAAGACACTGCGCCGAAAGCCCAAGACCGAGATTATGATTTCCTGTCTGTGATGAATTTTGGGGTTTATGCGATATCTTTCAGTAGATTTAAGAAAAATTTGCAAAGCAATTCAACTAAGGTGTTGTATATTGGAAAAGCATTGGAAAGATTCATCTCAAGGCTGAAGCAGATGAACGATGATAAGCCTCTCGGTGGTATCTGGGAGGAACATATAATTGGGAATGTTTCATAACAGGGGCTATAGTCCTCCCTAACTTTTTTGCAATAATAAGTCAGAAAATGTTTCGAAAATTTACGCCAACTAAGTAGCAGTTCTTGTTGACTAGGAACCCGTTTTGTTTTTTTTTGTGTTGCTTTATCTTGTTTGATCAAATATAAATTTGTATTTATCTTGCTCGGTTTTGTATTTTTGTAGAAATTGAAATTATCTCTGAATTTTGATGTTTATCAATAAGGACAGAAGGAAGCAAATATTTTCTGAAAGGGCTGTTTTCCGGTGGCCGTGGCCGTAAAAAATTTAGGAACAACCTTTAGCTCCGTTCCAGCCACTCCCCTGTGGGCTGCTGCGTGGTGTCTGCGGTACAAACAAGATGGGGGCAAATATAATTCTTTCATACTACGCGAAAAGAGACAAGCACAGTTTTTACATCAGAGAGAAGATATTATTTGACATCCCTAACGTTTGCCACCTCGTTTATGGTATCAAAACTTTTTAAAGAAAATATTTGAATGGCAAAGAATTTGATGGGCTGAATGCAATTAAAAACTTCCCATAAGCAAAAAAACTAATTTTGAAAGCCTCACCCAGCTTTTGCCCCGGATAAAAATTTAGCAAGATTTCATTCAATCATGCATTGAAATTTGAGAAATAAATGACTAAGTTCACAGAGATCAAAGACTTTTTCTCAGAGAAATTCTACCAGGCGAGACAATGGCATGGATTCTCGCAGCAAATCCTAATTCTGCCGATGTAGAGAGGCTGATTCCCATCTACACTTTTCAAATATATGAATATTGCTTTTGCAATTCCCTAGCATTGCAATGCTTCCCACGACCCTTTTAAATGAAAACATTACGTACTTGATTGACATCTAATGTTTTAACAACTTATTAATATTCTCTTTGTGTTGTGCTTCTTCCTTTTTGTGTATTTCAGCAGCAGTAGTAGAAAGTTTTGAGGATGTAAGTGCTTTCGTTATATCGTTGTTGGCGTTGTTGCTGCAGCCGTTGTTGTTGTTGCTGTTGCTGTTTTTGGCATTGTCGTTAATCATGAGGCTACACGATGCGTTTTTATCATGCGTCAGACTCACTGATCAGTGGTCAGACTCGTGAGTCACTTTATAACCTCTAATCAACATGCCAACTCCTCGTCTCCTGACCCAATCAGTTGATTTGGCCCTGTTAATTATGTCATTATTGCCTCGAATATTTCTATTGCCAATCGGCAGATAAGTAGCCGTTGGGTGCTCTTAGGAGAGTCTTGACGTGCTTTTACGCTGTTTGAAGAATCTTCTAGAAAGTCACTTTACAGTTAATCTTAACCTTTATCCAAAAATGTTTGTCTCAATGTTGAAATTCTTTTCTAGTTAAATGTAATTTTATGCATGCAATATAATAGGGCGAATAACTCGATAGCTCATCTGAGTTCCTTTTATTTGCCCTTTAAAGCTTTATCAATTATAAGTGTGTTTAGTCATGTAGCTTGTAATTAAAAGCTTGAATTTATTATCATTGAATTGAATCTTGATATTTTATACACAGCTATTTAAGTATCAAAATAAATTGTAAACCAAAATTGTTGTCGCTGAATTTGAATTTGAATGTTATCTTAACTGGTTATTGCTATCATTCTCAGTTGCTTACAGTATTTCAGATTGTGAATTGAATTTTCTAAAGTCTTATTTCAGAAGACGAATATAAAAGAGAAGTATGGGTTTCTGAAGCTTTTGCACTCGCTGCAACTGCTTATCTTTTACCTTTCTTCGTTTCTAATAACAAACTTGTGTAAACATGAACTGAACAACCGTTTACGAAACTGGGTTCTTCATATTAAGCAACGAACTCGTGGCTTATACTTAATGATTGTTTTTCAAATCTTGTTTTTTTTCTGTAGGTTTGAAAAGATGGTTGTAGTGACATTCATCATCGCTGGCTTGGTACTTTTTGCTCTCATCTATGCGAAAATCTTCATTCGCCCAAAATCTTTCCCGCCCGGCCCGATCCCGCTACCCGTTATTGGAAATATCCACCTTATTGGCAGTGAACCCCAGAAATCATTGAAGGCCCTTGCAAAGAAATATGGCGATGTGTTCAGCGTGTATTTTGGAGGTTGGCCTGTTGTCGTCATAAGCAGCATTGAAGCAGCAAAAGAGAGTTTGATTCAGAAATCAACTGATTTTGCAGGAAGGCCTAATTCCTACACGGGGATAGAAGCAGCAAAAGGACATAAGACAGGGCGAGGCATTGACATCGTGTACTCTGATTATGGACCATATTGGCAAACCATAAGAAAACTAGCGCACAAAGCACTAAAAATGTATGGGGCCAACAGAGTGCAACTTGAGAAAACAATCAACACACACGCAGATGAGCTGATGGAAAGGCTTGCAAAGATCGATGGCCAATGCTTCGATCCAAAGAGAAATTTTTGTAAGCTTTGTTCATTTTATATCATCATCATTCATAACTTGTTCAATTCTAACATCGACTATGCGACTTTGCGATTTTAAAATACCCCGTATTTTTTCCATTTGGGACGTTAAATTTTGACATCAAACCATTGACTTTAGTTAGATTAATTCAAACCATTTATTATCTTTACATTTAGCTAGATTATAAGCTGCTTAATTGTGGATGTTGCTGAGCCCCCCTTTTTCATTCCAAAAAGCTTACCAATATCGACTTACCAATAGCAGAAGGTATCTTGTTTGTAAACTGCCTTATTCTTCCATGGGAAATTTGATCATATTTATATTCATATGCTCTTCTGCAGTGGCGTTGCCAGGGTGGCGAAATTTGGGGGCGAAGGCAAGCCTGACAAAGGGAGAAAACTTTTGCAGATCACACCCATAATACTGTAGGGAAACGCCCCATATTCCAAATGTGTTTGAAATGAGCTATGTTGTTTGTACTTGGCAATGGTTTGTTAGTCAAACACAATTACAGTCACATGTAGTTTTTTGTGGCTGGCTCTTTCCATTTCATGATTAGCTATTTCTTTCAAAACTCATGCCAGGCAACGAAACTTTTTGCCAACACGCCCTTTAGATTAGTGCAAACTAAATTTCAAGGTATTTCTTGCAGCTAATTTCTTTCAATCGTTTAAAAGGCTATACTCGCTGAAATATCACCCTTCCCCCTTGTGGTACCAATTTTATTGGAGAGTTTTGCACCCTTCTCAAAGACCAACTGTTTTAATCCCTCGCCCACTGCCTCGCTACGTTCCTGCTTTTCTGCTACAGTCACCCACGCGGACGTGACTCGACACTAGTTGGCACTTTGAAAAAATAATAGAGCCTCTTGTATGATCCAGTGGTATGCTCAGAGTGTCTAGCTTGTATAATTCTTGTCGGAAAAATCAATTTTTTTCGAAGCGTTTAGCGCCGCAATCTCCAGCCCCCCCCCCCCACTCCCCCTCCTCCATAAGAAACGGCGAGTGCTACAAAATTATGCGGAATATTAACCCTGACTGTTTGTCCCTTAGGTCTTGCTGCCACCAATATCATCTGCCAAATTGTATTCGGATCGAAATACAACATAGATGACGAAGAATTCACAACAATTATTCATTACTGTAAACTGCTGGTTGAAGGCATCGCAGGAGCAAATGGAGTCGATTTTCTGACGTGGATGTCGCACTTTCCGAATCATAACATCAGTTTGATACGAGAATCTGGAAGTTTGCGAGACCCAATATTGGCGAAGTGGTTAAAGAAACATCGCGAGACATTTGAGAAGGGAAACATCCGCGATTTCACCGACGCATTGATTGATGCCGCAGATGAGGAAATAAAACAAAACAAATCTAGTGACAGATATTTGAAGGAGGATAATATGATGATGATTATGGCTGATGTTTTCAATGCGGGCATTGAAACAACAACCACAACTATGAATTGGTTTGTTGCCTTCTCTGTGCTGTGGCCAGAGACACAGAAGAAAATTCACGAGGAGCTCGATCGAGTGATTGGGCGCACGAGGAAACCTTGCATGGATGACCGTTCTGCACTTAACTACCTCGAAGCGGCCATTAATGAAACCGCACGGATGGCATCCGTTGTGCCGCTTGCCGTTCCACACTCTACCACCTGCGACACATCCGTTGCTGGCTACAAAATCCCCAAGGGTACACACGTTTTTTACAATTTGTACGCCATGCACCGCGATGAGCGTCACTGGGTTGATCCAGAAGATTTCCGACCCGAGCGATGGCTGAATGAAGAGGGCAATTACGTTGCAGGCGCGCACAACTCTTTCCTTCCATTTTCAGCCGGAAAAAGAGTATGTTTTGGAGAGGCACTTGCTAAAATGGAGCTTTTTCTAATTCTTGCTCAAGTTTACCAAAGGTTTGAATTTCTGCCAGGCAACAAGGAGGATCTACCAAAACTTGATGGCTTTGTTTTTATCACTCATGAACCAAAACCGTACAAGATCCAGATTCGCAAGCGGTTTTAACTCCACAGATAACTTCTAAGCTGGCTACATTTTCATAATTGCAGCTTTTACTTGGTTGCTTTTGATCAAAGACATTTATATCAGATTTTCGTAAAGATAGCTTGTTTATAAAGATTAAAAGTCTTCTCGGATGTTTTATGTATAAAGTCAACTCTACATGTCTCAATCAACCTGAGTAAAGCTCCTTTTCTGGAAATTACAAACGAATCAATGAGGCCGTGAAAGCTTAACCGGGCTGCATGCAATGTGGAACGGGATCTTTTATTGAGTGTTTCCGCTCTACGGCGCATTTCTTATTTTTAAATTTTGCAATGCTAAAGGCCTATTAGGAAAATAAACATACATTGTTTGCTCGAAAGGTAACAGAACATGATTTGCCTGTGATTGTGAAGGACGCACCATTCCATGGCCAATTCGTGGAGAAGCAGTAGTGGAAATTTAAATTTTGTCATATTTTCAAACAATGTTCAGTCATTTGAATTGTGTCAGGTTTTGATGCATTTCTCTGATGATGCTACATAGGTATTGTAAGACTAGTTCTTTTACCTAGTGGCACACGCAGGCTGCGATAGCGGTGCTAACGAGGGGAGTGGGTTTGGGGGTGGATTTGGGATGGATTCGGGATAGGATTTGGTGGGCCGCGACAGATTTCATCATTCTTGTCCCGTTTATGAATACTGCCTAAGATGCCATTTATTGACTGGATAATTTATGATCTTGCTGTTTACTTATGTGCACATTTAGAATTCAGTAAGATCCAATTCATCTTAGAACCTTTTTTATTTTTAACCCCCCCCCCCCCCTTATCTCCCCCAATCTCTCTCTACAGAGATGTTCATGTTGAAAAAACAAGGTTTTGATATATACCACTAAGACTAATTTTATGGTTAAAAATTGTTTCCAAGCTAAATGAAATGATCCTTAAGATTTTAACAATTTTCCTAGCCCTAAAGGCTTACTTTTTAGTTTTTGCATAAAAATTGTGATGCTATTACTTTTATTAAAAATTACCATCACCTTTTGACATTTTTCCTAAACCTATAGTTTAACTGCCGAATTTGGCATTAAATTAAAGTTTCTATATTGATAAAATATAATCATAGAGCTGCCTCTATTGATGCTAGAAATGTTTTTGGAAGCTGTTTTAAATCGCTTACAGTTATTTTGAATGCAAGCAACTTCCATCCATTTTTGCAATTCTCCAATGCGAAATATGCAATTCTACATCAAAGGCGTGCACATAGCTTGAAATAAAATCTGAGTGCTACAACCTTTTTTTAGAAGTACGTAAGGATAAAACTTGTACTAGGTGTATTTTTACTTTCATACATAGAAAGTAGGTTACGAAAAACGAAAATATACAGCAAACAGCGAAGAAAAAACGAAAACAAAAAGCAATATTATGTGCCGTCCACTGCCGAAACAGACATGGCATCATCTGTAGCTTGCTGCACTTAACAATTGCATTAACAGTCAGTCAGAGTTTCATGTTTTAGCAGTTTTGATAATAAAGGTCCTGGATCATAATTTTAATTCAGAATAACTTTCTCTCAAGACAAAAACTGCAACAGCAACAGAACAAGAGAAGAAACATATTCGCCAAAAAGAGAAAACGCTCAAACTCCATGGTAAACGAACTGGGCTAGTCGCAGGACATTGGCAAATAGGATTACAGTGTAAGTGCCTCTGCTTATAAATGTTTTACGAGCAAATTGATTCGTAAGGAATTTCAAATGAGGAAGCTTGCTTAAAGACGCTATGAACATGCATAGAAAGATAAAATGATGCCCTTAATATAGAAGGCTTTTAACTGGTGAAGACAAATTAGAAATATAATCAAGAAGGTTAATATACGCTTCGAGGTAGTCAAGTGCAGGGCAGTCATCCATGCAAGGTTTCCTCGTGCGCCCAATCACTCGATCGAGCTCCTCGTGAATTGTAAAAAATTGAATGGAAACAGAAAGCTTGTGAACTAGCAAAGATAGACTTTCCTGGCAAAAAGTTCAACTAGAAGCCATGTGTTGCACTAAGTAAAACTGTTAGTAGAATATTATAATGTTTTATAAAGACCTTGAAGTTCATATGGTAATTTTGAAGAAAAAGCTTTTTCACGATTCAAAAACCAACCCCAATATAAAAAAAGATATTTTTGCCCTTTCTAAACCATGTAATTCCTTGCGGTTTACTGGAAAGCAAAACTACACAATATACATAGTTCTGAGTGCACTCATCCCTGAAGTTCATAAGTTGGCTCCAATGAAAAAAGCTCTTTGTATGACGTTAAAACCAACCTCGATATGAAAATATGACATTTTTGCGGTTGTTAAACCATTTAGTTCTTTGCGGATAACTGGAAATTAGAAGACAATAAAGCCCCGAGTGAATTTACCCCTTTAAGTTCATATGAAGGTTCCAAGAATTGGTCGATTGCTTCTCTTGTCAACTAATAGCCATACATGTATAATGTTTCGCCTTTTCTTATAAAAAATCCAAATCAATTTAATTTTTATCCATTCAAAAAGATTCACTGCTTGGCTGCTCCAAAACAGGGGATTGATCGGGTTGAATCAAATGCATTCTTATGATCTGTCATGAAGTTACAGGCCTGTTCACATGGTGACAGTATGATCCTACTGCAAGCTCTCAACGAAGGGTAGCCTTAGTAGGGCTATGCTCCTGTATACTCTTTAAAGTTTTTATTTTCGGTAACCCTACCCTTAGAACTACCCTAGCTGAGAAGAAGGGCTGTTCTAAAGCTGGCCCCAGTTTTGTCTTTGTAAACGCTCCACTAAGGATGACTTGCCTGCAATGGTCAACTTTAGATTGCAATTTATAGTCTTAGTCCGTGTTTCTACAACCTGTATAATATTGCCTGTAAAGGCTAGCTATAACTGACCCGGGACACAGGGTAAGCCTAGCGATTGGGTTACTCTACATCCAGAGACGCTAGAAGAACCGCAAGGCAGAGGGTAAAGCACCAAAAGTAAGGGCAAAATAAATGCAAAATGAAGAAAATGTAGAAAATTCTGCGAGCGCAAGGGGGCAGCCGAAATTCTTTACCAGATAGAAGAAACAATTTTTCTGTTACGAAAGGCAATGCATGCACTAAAAATGCCGGAAAAAATAATCCCACCCAACAGAAGGACGAAGCCTTCTGCACCAAAAAAACGCTTCGTACATGAGAGAGTTTGAGTTTTGACTTAAGAAAAGAAAAGATGAGAAAGTTTGAAGTTAGAAAATGTGATTGTCCCGCACAATACAGCATTCTATGGGAAAGCTGTTGTCAGTGCGCATGAGCAATGACCCTGTGACGTTGATTGGTTTAAAAGGTCTTGTTGGAATATAAAGAGTCGGAGCCACCATCTTCCCATCAAGACCTAGGGCAAAAGTGGAACATTCTTGCTAGATAGAATCTGCAAACGAAGCAGTTTTTCTTTGCTCGTCGTGCAAAAACCAGATTTCCAAGTATTCAAAGACAACGAAGCAGCCAAGGTAAGGCCCTCTATGTAGAGTTACAGAAAACAGTTGTTTTAATTCCAAAGGGCAAACGGAACAAGTTCCAATCTAGACATTCACTAACCTCTATTCATTAACAGTTTCAGCATTTCAAAATGTCTTCTGTCTAATCACGAACTTTCCATTAATTCATAAACGAAAGGAGATAACAATTACAGCTTCAGTTTTTGAATATGACAAAGAAGTTTTGTTACAGAATCACTCGTTACAATTTTCTCCGTTACAATTATTAACAAATGTGGGTAGAGGGCACCGGTCTAGCTTATGTGCAAACTACACTGGGCGCTTAAGGACTCGAGCAGCCCTTGGGGGGTTTTTATGGGGGTTGGACAATTAGCAGTCGAACAGTTTTTAAAAAATGTTTCGAAAAGCAAAGGAGACCGAATACTTCTCTATATTAGTGGCACAAATCTTTGTGTTTGCTACATTTAGATGCGAGGATGGCTCAGTAATTAGATGCGCTGACTACAAACCCAAGGGTCCCTGGTTCAAGTCCCTGGCATGACAAAACTTTCACCCAGAGTGGGGAGAGTCGCCAGCTCTCTGTAATTCCAGGCGTAGGAATCACGTGGTGTGGTCACATTGAGAGGAAGGACCAGGACACTGCTCGATGAGCATAAGCTTCTCAGTGTCCTAAAAGCTACTTTCGGATGCTAGGTAGAGACAAATACAAAAAAATGCAAATTTAATTTTATTGTCGATATGTCGAAATCAACATGTGTAGATGCATAATCTATCATTGGAAAACAAAATGTTGTGATTTAAGTTGTCTAGCATTTCATGCTCTAAATATTGCAACTCAGATCCGGTTTGATAAGAGAAATTGTAAATCAAATTTCAGAGATTTGGTTTCATATTCAAACAAGTGTGATTTGGTCAACATTGAGAAAGGTTAAGGGCGTCAGAGCCTGACCTGGATTTAAAACAATTTTTGCATATGGACTTTACTCGAATAATTCAAAGCGTCGAAAATATATCTAGCAACTTATTGGATACATGAAAAAGTTGCTCTTCATGTTGAACACCTGAATTTTTGCACTTACATACAGGCAGAAGATATGCACAGTCTGATTCAATTCAAGCAAGCTTTCTTAAGTACGGTTTCATCAAATCTAGACCAAAGGGTTTTAGCAGAATGTCACACTATTAATTAAGTACAGTGGAATCTCGATATAACGAACCATGGATATAACGAACTTCCTGGTATAACGAACTGAATTTCTGCTCCCTTGGATTCTGCCTAACAATCTCCTTATAAATCCTCTCGGTATAACAAACCCCGGATATACCGAACTCTCGTTATAACGAACCAATTTCTAGGTCCCTTCATCATAATTACCCTCGATATCACGAAATTTTCATAAATTTTTTATCTGTTATTTTTTTAATTCATTTTCGGTGTTCATTTATCACTTTCTTTTGGGGGAAAATCATTTTTATAATCGGCAAAACATGCTGATGATACATTTCAATCACTGACTGGTAGACTCAAAGCATGAGGTGAGAGTTTCATTGTGTCTGGAATCAGGGGCGCCTACACAGGGGGGCCTGGTGGTGCAGCTGCCCCTCCTGCCTTCTTCGAAGAGGGGCACAGTGGGTAAGAAGTGCCCTGAAATATAAGAAAATACTATAGAATCTTATCGATAACTGATGACCACTTTGACTACTCTCGTTATGTTAATATCTATTAGAAAATATTAGAAAGATGATAACACCAGCACAAAAATGTAGAGAATGAAAAGTTTGTCTGTGACAAGGTGGGCCACAGAAGAAGAGCGGCAAAGATTAAAGAAGATAAAGAAAAAACGTGTTCCCTCAGAAATACTCCAAGAACCTAAGGAGGATTGATCGGTATACATACTTAGCAGGCAATCACAATTTAACAACCAGCTTATTATAACAGCCATGAATTTTATAAAACAAAGTATTGTGAATAGTGACAAGGCTATTTAATAGCCTTTTTTACTTATGGATAATTCCGTCAACATTGTATTTATGTTTGATGGTAAAAATCCCAGCTGTATGGTTGGCACATGTTCAAGTCAATATTATATCATGTTACAACATATGAACATTATATCAGATGAACAACAAACATTTAGTTGTGGATCAAAATTAGCCAATGAGAAGAACGCAAGCATATGGCTGGTAAAGTTGTCCAATCAGTTCTACATGCCTATAGAAAAATCACCATAGAAATCCAAAAGTGGAAACGAATATATTTTTCGAATAATTTTCTAAAATTCTTCATAGCCTACACCAAGCCCTCCCGTATACTTTTGAAAAGGAAGAAATGGGATTTAGCTACATGACAGGATACTAGAATGCATTTGGTTCAACCCGATTGAGCAGCTGTTTTGGAGCACCCAAGCATTGAATCTTTTTGAAGTGATAAGAATGAAATTGAATCTTCTTGGTTTTTATAAGAAAAGGCAAAGCATTATCCATAAACTAACTTGGAAATTGATACATAATCCAGTATTGTTCGTTGAAGTTGGCTATTGAATGGCTAACAGTTGGCACAAAAGCTACCAGACATTATCTGGAACCAGCATATAAACTTCAAAGGATGAATTCACTCGGGGCTTTACTGTCTAGTTTTACTGTCCAGTAATACACATAGAACTAAATGGCTTAACAAGGGCAAAATGTCATATTTTTACATTGAAGCTGGTTTAATGAGGTCCTCGTTGGACTCGTTTTACTTTCTATAGAGAGCTTTTCTCCTAGGAGCTTACCGACTCCAAGGACGACCCTAAAGATAACTCAAGTGGTTGAAGCCCTATAATTAGGCATGTGAATGAAAAGAATCTATTTCAAATTTGTTCTAGAAATAGAAGGCTTCCAGAGCAGACATACCCCGGGCTCTTCTTGCACCATAATGATGGTATACTTTAAACATTATTTCTTGTTTCAGCATTTAAAAGAACCAGCAAACATGACAATAACTATTTTCCTGACAACAACTGAAGTTAAAGCTTATGTGATGTCATACTCAAAATATCAATACATCAATACAAACATTGAAGACAATTTTTCGAATTTTTCGTTCTTTCTCAATTATGAAACTTGTACGATTCTTTTCCAAAAGAAAATTTCACAATCGGCCTGGCCAGATCTCAGATAAAAAGACACATCAGCAAAGAACAATTGTTAAAACTGTCGGTTTATGGATGACACGAACAAAGCTGCTCCATGGTTTCATTATTTTATTTCAATCCACAAACTCTCAGAGCATGGTACTTTTATGGACCAACCACCCTAAATTAACATACTTGTTCCACTTTATAGCTGTTTAAGTAACAGATTTTTGAAAGTCTTGCATCTTTCTGCAGCCCTATCAAAATGGTCATCGAGACAGTTATCGTGGCAAGCTTGGTCCTGTGTGCCCTCCTCTACGCGAATATCTTCATCCGCCCAAAATCTTTCCCGCCCGGCCCGATCCCGCTCCCCGTTATTGGAAGTATCCACCTTATTGGCAGTGAACCCCAGAAATCATTGAAGGCCCTTGCAAAGAGATATGGCCATGTGTTCAGCGTGTATTTTGGAGGTTGGCCTGTTGTCGTCATAAGCAGCATTGAAGCAGCAAAAGAGAGTTTGATCCAGAAATCAACTGATTTTGCAGGAAGGCCTGTTTCCTACACGGGGATAGAAGCAGCAAAAGGACATAAGACAGGGCGAGGCATTGACATCGTGTACTCTGATTATGGACCATATTGGCAAGCCATAAGAAAACTAGCGCACAAAGCACTAAAAATGTATGGGGCCAACAGAGTGCAACTTGAGAAAACAATCAACACACACATAGATGAGCTGATAGAAAGGTTTGCAAAGATCGACAGCCAATGTTTAGATCCAAAGAGAAATTTTGGTAAGTTGTTATCAGTAAAATATTTCAAAACTCTGTGTGACCGGGGAGTTGCAGTATGGAGTGATATCCGATCTTTGATTGCTAGCATTTTCAAATAATGGAGTTTTTGATATTGGTGACACTGCTGTAAGTATTTTTAAATTCTTCTTTTCTGTATCAACGTATAGGTAATAGAAACAGATTAGCCAATACCCGTAAAGCACAATATCATTTGGGGGTTTCTTGATAAGGATGCTTATGGCTTGAAAGTTGCTGAGCTCGGGTCAGTACCCTGGGTGCCAGAGCCTCAGAGAGTCAAAGGATGGAGAACGAGGGAAGGAATTCTCCTTCGCAATCGCATCCAAACTTAGTCAGTATCAAAATCAGCAGGAGACCAATCTGACCTAGAGGTTTTTCAGGATATAGGAAGCCATGTCATTCTTGTAGAAGACTGTTGTAACAGAAGATCTCGAGTGTATTTTCTAGGCTATTCCGTTTTGGTACGGCTAGCAGTTGCATTAACAACGGTTCTGACGGGCCAGGTGTAAATGGAAAGCCTAATTGTGCACATTTAAGTTCAGTTCCCGATGGTTTTAGTCTCATACAAACGCTGCCTAAGATTAAAGGGATTCGTATCGCATGGTTAGAAGCAAACCGTACCGGTCCAAAATTTTCGTGTCAAAGCAGCATTGGGATAGTTAGAAGGGCTCCTGAATGCAAGTGCATGGCTAGGCCAGGGATGAACCCCAGTATGCTTTGCGCAACCGTAATAATTGAGTTCTGTACCATGCTAAATAAGATACTAACTGTGGCTCTTTTCTTTATAGCCCTTATATCCACTAATGTCATCTGCCAGATCGTGTCTGGGTCAAAATACAACATAGATAACGAAGAGTTCATGGCAATCATGCACTCTAATAAACTATTGTTCGAAGGCATTGTGGGAACAAGTGGTGTCGACTTTCTCACGTGGTTGAGACACTTTCCAAATCATAATGCCCGTCTGATAAAAGAATCTGAAAGTCTGCGGGACCCAATATTGGCGAAGTGGTTAAAGAAACACCGCGAGACATTTGAGAAGGGAAACATCCGCGATTTCACTGACGCATTGCTTGATGCCGCAGATGAGGAAATAAAACAAAACAAATCTAGTGACAGATATTTGAAGGAGGAAAATATACTGATGATTATGGCAGATGTTTTTAGTGCGGGCATTGAGACAACGGCAACAACTATGAATTGGTTTGTTGCCTTCTCCGTACTGTGGCCAGAGACACAGAAGAAAATTCACGAGGAGCTCGATCGAGTGATTGGGCGCACGAGGAAACCTTGCATGGATGACCGCCCTGCACTCAACTACCTCGAAGCGGCCATTAATGAAACCTTGCGCTTTGCCTCCGTTACACCGATTGCTGTTCCACACTGTACCAAATGCGACACATCCGTTGCTGGCTACAAAATCCCCAAGGGTACACACGTTTTTTACAATTTGTATGCCATGCACCACGATGAGCGTCACTGGGTTGGTCCAGAAGATTTCCGACCCGAGCGATGGCTGGATGAAGAAGGCAAATACATCCCAGGCGCAAAACCCTCTTTCCTTCCATTTTCAGCCGGAAAAAGAGTATGTTTTGGAGAAGCACTGGCTAAAATGGAGCTTTTTCTAATTCTTGCTAAAGTTTACCAAAGGTTTGAATTTCTGCCAGGCAACAATGAGGATCTACCCAAAGTTGATGGCTTTGTTTTTGTCACACATGAACCAAAACCGTACAAGATCCAGGTCCGCAAGCGTCTCTAACCCCCCAGATACATGCCAAGCCTGCCAGATTCACGTATCTGAATGCTCTTTCACGATATGTAATCTAAATTTAATAGAATGGTTAAATGTTCGACTGCATGTACAAAATCACACGTAATCGAATGATCTCTAGCCAGGCAGGCATAAAAAATTAATGATTGGATTCACACAAATATTAAGGCACTACCAAACTAAAATGTTTGATCGTTAGTATCTACCTAAAGCCATTTGGGCTTATTTAATCCTGACAATGCTATCAATGCCATTATGTTATCTATTTCAGGCCCGTAGCCAAGGGGTGGCATGGGGTGGCAATGCCACCCCTGGAGTAAGAGAATTGCTTGTTTGGGTCTCTTATTATCCATATATTACCCATATATTATGTTTATTGGGGTCTTTTAAGATGGTGCCTGGCGTTCAAGAAAAACTTTCGCTTCTCAGCAAAACTTGGAAAAAGACTTGCTGAAACGTCTGCCTGCAACAGGTCTGAGGATTTGCCACCCCTACTCTACAGGCCTGGCTACGGGCTTGATCTATTTAGCAATAAACATTAACTGCCAAAGGCAATAATTCGGAATCCAAGCAGATGAGTCGGAATTATTTCTTGTATTCCACAAACAGGGTATCAGGGGCGTCGCGACCGGGGAGTGTGGGGAGGGGTGTCACACCACCCCAATAGTATCTCGATAGGAAATTTCAGGTAAAATCCCCCAGTTGAAGAAACGCTTTAGGTATTTCAGCGACCTTCATGTATTTACATCAAAAAAGGATCAAGCAAAGATAGTTGCTCCTTTGGCTAAATATGATATTTCTTGATATGAAGGAAGATAAAAAAACTAATGACTTAAATATTTGAAGATTTCTTGTTGGCACAAAATCTAGAAATCCAGGCACTCTTTAGGTAAAATTGTGTCTTGTGTCCATTTCCCCTAAAAAGGCATGCTAAGATGGAAAGAGGGATCTAAATTGGCAACCAGTGCCGCTTGTTACCTAGCTTTAGAAGTAATTGCCAACATGGAATTTTGAATACCACGGCGAAATTGTACCAGTTGTTTTTATCTGCTGTTCAATTTGTTTGCAAAAATAAAAGAATTTTCGATAGGATTAGGAGGATTACATTAGTAAAATTTACTTAAAAGAGGGCATTTTCCACGGAATTGGAAGCATCAAAATTCGAAAATTTTCTACCGCCTCAGGTAGGTGCCCGTCCAGGTATACAGATTTGGCAAAACTGTTGTTTTGAGACTCTATCGACTTGTTCACTGCGAAACATGCAACTGACTAAACTCTACGTGACACGAAAGTGGGAGACATCAGGGGGTTTTCCATACCATTTTTCATACGGTGTTTGACCTGATGCGCTGGTTATAACACGATTTCTTATGTAGGCTGCAGTGTTGACTGCTTCTGCCCAGAAGGTCTTGCTGAGTCCGGCATGGTTCATCATCGCTTTTGCGGATTCAACGAGAGTCCGGTTCATGCGCTCATCCACTCCATTCTGTTGTGGAGAGTGAGGAACAGAAGTTTCGTGTTTGATACCTTTCCTTTTCAGAAGATTTTCAAATTCATTTGATACATACTCTCCGCCATTATCTGTACGCAAGGTTCCAATTTTATATGCAGCTTCATTGGTTGCAGAGGCTTCAAATTCTTTAAACCTCTTTAGTACCTCAGACTTCTTTCTAATGAAGTAGACTTTGATACATCTCGAGTAGTCATCAATGAATGTGACAAAATAACGCTTTCCCGAAAAGCTCTGTATTGACATTGGTCCACATACGTCGCTGTGAACTATCTGTAATTTTCTAGAAGTCTTGATCCCCTCTGTTGACTTGAAGGGTTTTCTGCTCATCTTACTTTCCGCACACCCTGTGCAAAAGTTCAGTTCGTCATTTCCTTGGATGGCAACTCCTTTGATGAGCTTCTTCTTGACTGATTCCAATAGCTGTTTTCTATTTATATGTCCTAGCCGTTGATGCCAAATATCCATCGTGCTAGGGTTGCTATTTTCCATCCTTTCAGATTGGTGATAAGCTGCTGTTATATCTGTTTCGCAGCTCAGAACGTACATTCGCTTAACGAGTCGTCCTTTGCCTACAGCCTTACCGTCCGAGTCTTTTATCCAGCAACAAGTATGTCCGAACTGAACAATGAGTCCCTTCTGTGTCACAGCTCGCACACTGAACAGGTTGCAAGCTAGTTTCGGAACATAGAGTACATTATCCATTTCAATGGTCAGCTGCTTGTTGTGGCTTGTTTCCATGGTAATTTGAGCTCGTCCTGATCCACGGGCTTCCACTGTATGTCCGTCACCCAGTTTGACTAATTCAGGCTGGTTGAACTCTCTGTAGTTAATCAAAAGCAGTTTGTTTGAGGTCATATGCTGCGAGGCACCCGAATCCAGAATCCATTGTCTGTTTGTCTCATTTTCTGTTTGTTTATTTTCAGCTAGAAAGAGTTGAGAGTCTGAGTCATCATCTGCCTCCTTTCCTGCAGTCTTTGCATTATGTGTTTCATTTTTAAATGAATTGCTGGGCCTCACTTGCTTCCTTTTGTGACATTCAAAGCTTTTATGACCCTCCTTGCCACAGTTGTAACATTTGCCTTTGAAAGGCCTGCTGATGCCCTTTTCCAAATGTAATGCTGAGTCTCGATTAATTTTAGTCGTTGCGGTTGCTTTGAAGGCCTGTTTTTTCTGCTCTTCATTGATAAGGGCTTGCTGGACGAAGGCCAGTGATAGTTCATCTCCTTTAGCTTCCAGAGCTGTAACGAGTGTTGTATAGCTTGGTGGAAGGCTTATGAGCAATGCCACGACTTGCTCTTCTTCAGCTACTGTAGACCCGAGTGCATGGAGTTTATCAGCAATTTCCTTCATACGTTTCAAATGATCTTGGACCGATTGCCCTTCAAGCATTTTTGAAGTAAAATATTGTCTCTTGAGAAACAGCTTGTTGGCTATCGTATCCCTCTCGAAATAGGCTTTGAGAGTATCCCACAGGTCCTTCGGTGTTTCGCATGATGTCACCAAGTAGATAAGATTCGACTGAATTCCCATTACCAACGTCGCCATTGCCTTTTGCTTGGCCTTTTCGTATGTAGCTCTAGATGCTGTATTATCGTCAGGTAATGAAATCGTTCCATCTACGTGATCCCACACATCTTTCGCCATCAACAAATGTTTCATTTGAAACTTCCATGTAGGCCAGTTTGACCTATCTAATTTTTCGATTTCGAATTTATCTCCAATTCCAGCCATGTGCAGTGGTTTGGTTCTGGGCCCATAACCTGTTGTTTTGAGATTCTATCGACTCGTTCACTGCGAAACATGCAACTATCTAAACTCTACGTGACGCGTGCTAAAAAGTTCTACCTCAGCGATCATTAGAACTTTCTAGAAGCTTCTAATTAGCTGACAATAGAGCAGCAAGCAATCTACTCTAACACGTGTCCTACACTAGCTACTAATTACGAAGGTCATTAGTTTACTTACAAACGCAGCAATTACGTAACTGTTGAGTGCACGTTCCCAACAAAAACTATTAGAGAAGTCGGTTATTATCATTTCAAAATGAATGTTGTGAATTATATGCCACGCAGTTAGATTGACAAAATGCATTGCAGAGGTTTGTGACAGCAACTTGAGAATTTCTGGTAATTATTTTTTAATCAGGTAAATTTGTAGTCCACACTACCCCCAAACACGGCTTGCCTCGCGACGGCCCTGCAGGCTATTCCTATAAAGCTAGAGTGATAAATCAAAGAGACTTTCAGACAAGACAGACGATAATCAATCATTGAACACTGAAGTAAACTCAAAGCCTTGTAATCTACCCAGAATGATCTTTATTAATTATTTTATAGAGAGAGTTCCTATGTGACGTCTTGCTCAAAAACATCAGCCTGCCGTAGCTGGATGTGATTCCTGCTTTTCGTTATATTTTATAGCAAATTTTTAGGAGTTTTGTTGTTGACTTTCTTGTTAAAGAGACAGCACTATCGCCATCGCGCATTAATAGTCTCCATGCCAAGCTCGTCGACTGTTCTGCCTGTGCTTACTCCTTGATATTAGGTCGGCAATAACTTGCAAGAATGAGGCATGTATCTCCATAACAGGCCCATCGGAACCGGGGGGGGGGGGGCTGGAGCCCCCCAATAATTGTCAGACTGTAGTATATTTCCTTTATAGCAGTGTACTAAATGAGAAGGATTACAATGGGTAGTTAAAAAACGATAGTTTTCAAGAATAAAATCAAGTTTTCGAAAAGCTTGCATCTCAAAGTTTTCTTGCTTGTCTCTATTTCTGTGGTAGACATCATTTTTATGATGTCGGATATCGAATCTTACAGGCGACTGTGCGGTATTTGGAATAGCAGTAATTTCAAGCAGTGCTTGAAACGAAGCTAATTGCTTTAGCATGGAGGCAATTTTCGAGCGAAGCATCTGTTTCAAGCATCTGGTGAACTCAACAACAAAAAGAGTTTGGAAACAATAGCTCGCGCATCCTATTACAGACATATGTTTTTACACCAATATACTGTAAGCATAGCTTTAAAGTAAAATAACAAACGCTGCGATAAAGAACAGAGATCCATTCTGTTGTTGATGGTTTTATTGATGAAAATGTCGTCCTTCTGCTAGTGTGCACTGTCAACACAGCTCCTCGTAACATTGGTTTATATCAAAGTGAATCACGCAGCAAAAACGGAAGCCTGGCGAACGAGCTTGCATACGAGCGGGGAAATGGTAGTCGGTAAAAAAGACTCGAAGCTTGATCGATCAATGGCCGCGCAGTTTATTCTGGGTAGGTTTAATTTAGTTATAGAATTCTTTTGAATGAATCAAAAGATCTTTTAAAGTTTAACGTGTTTGAAAGATTCTTCATCACCTGCCCTTCATTATCACCACAATTATTCACTGTTGCGGGAAACAGCCCACATCTGAGGTATACTATCATTTGAGAATTGTTGCATTCAAGCTGAGACCAGAAATAATATTGTGCAAGGGAATTTACTCAAGCAACTAAAAAACATAAAATGTTTCCATATACTCAATCATATAAAGTTATTAATCACCACAGAGGGCTTGTGAAAATTATTAATATTAATAAATACATATTGGTTTTATGCTAATAAATTTGGCTTAAAATAAACTGTTTGGTTACTGTTACTGTTTGGAAAGGCATGACATTTTGATTCTGTCAGTGAAACACAGAAATATATGAAGAGCAATGCATAAAGCACAAATCATGGGAAGCCAATACAATTTCATTGTTAAAAAGTAGAAGCTTTATCAAAAACACTGCTTCAACGAAATTTGAGGATTTCTAGGTAAATTTTAGGCAAAATGTTAAAAAATTGTGAACTATTATTCATAGCAAATTTTCACTACTTTTGGATACTAAGCTTCCTAAAAGTTTTAGTTTCAGCAAAAATGATTCACCTACAGAGATATAAAATAGTATTTTAATAAATACATTACAAAAAATGCAAAAATTTAAAAGATGATGAACAGGATAAGCACACGACATTATTCAAATCAAAGAAAAAGTTAAAAATCTTTAAAATTCAGTCATAGTTTGAGCCCAACATTAGCAGGCAATCTAAAAAGGTGCATAATGACAATATGTGTAGCCATCGTTTTACCCGTTAGTAGGAGCAGCATGGACTACAGTTTATCAGAAAACAAATTCATAAATTATGCACTTAGCTACACCCCGATAAACTGTGGTAATTCATTTATTTGCTAAATTGTTTTATTGATTTAATCGCATCTATAATTTAAGCTTGAAAATACACCAGCTGAGTGTGATATTTAGAAAAAATAAAGACATACAAGATATCAACTACAGCTATACGTATTTACACACGAAACATGACAAAAAGGATAGGAAAGAGAAGTTGTATCGAGCAGATGAATTAAAACCAAATTGGGCTTTTTTTAACTATATGGGGAGAGGGAGGAGCATGTTGTATGGAATTTTTGCATGTGAGAAAGTGTTTTGCCATTCTTTGATAAAACCGATTCTAAACTCTGGCAAAACTCCCGTTTAAAAAGCCTACTTAGTAACTTAAAGCCGCAATGTGGGAACAAATACGAGAGAAACCGTTCGGATTAGCGTTTCTTGTTGAATTTAAACCGTACCTTTTCAAATATTGATAAGAGTCTACTTGTCGGTGTTTCTGTTCTAAGCACCGAGAAGTATAGAGACTTCGGTGCAGTTGCGAAGATATATTTTTGAACTTGCCTTCGAAGATTACATTTGACTGGCACGGAACTAACGCGGTATTAAACTTTACAACATCGGGCTATAACAATTTATACAGATCATTTTTAATGTATTTAGGCACATGCGCACAATTTGAATTGTATAACAAACGTTCTCCATGATATGGAGGCAAGTATCAACACTGCTACCGCAAAATTTCGCAAAGTGCTATGGGCAGGTATCTTCACGATGAAGCTGAGGCATATAGGAGCCTGGGAACTGTTTGCCGTCTAATCGTTGCCATGCAAACCAGCAACGGAATTCAATTTTCAGATGATTTACTTTATAAAGTAGCAACACCTGGTGATGACCATTTGGCTAAAATCAGTAGGGGGGAAGTGGAGTATAAAGAAGGCCAGTGAAATCCCGTCCAGATATTCAAAGATCTGTCCTTTCCGTTTTTCCATAGTTTTTCTAAACCAGGTGTCTTTACTTTCGATTCAGAATCTGAAATAGGTTGAGATCGTTTTGGAAAAAGTAGACGGCAAGCCTACGAGCTGCTTTTGTGCTGAGGCACAGGTATTTTTAAGGCCCTTGATACACGATGCCAGATTGATCATCGCTGCGGATTCGTATTTGCAAACTCTTCTACGCTTCGTTTTGCTTCCAATTTCAGGGACTGCACCACTGATCTTAAAATAGAGGGGCCAGCAATGAAAACAAAGTTTCCTCTTGATCCCCCTCTAGCTTCAACTGTGGCAAACATTTTGCTGACTCTGTTTTTCTTGTGGACCTTGGTTCAATGTACTTTTTGATTGTACAATTGTACGTTTTAATTTAAAGGTTTCCCTAAATAAATAATTTGAGCTGATTTTATTCCTTTATTTAGCGAAAACATGGTAAGGCCATGACTCCTGCCCCTTCCCCCCTATTAGTGGCCCCTGGAACACTTTGGGGTCAAACTATTGGCGCCAAAATAGAGAACATGGAAGAAAATGAAAAAAACAACAAAAATTCAAGTTGTAAAGCTGCAGCAAACATGTAAAGTCAGCAAAGGTACTGAGCATGTTTATCAAAGCATTGAAGTTTGCCGTTTTGTCAAGAGTTACTTAGTGGAAAGTGTGGACTTTTTTACAAAGATGAGAGACAAAAGAGGCAGCTTGCGCTGAAGCGAGGCACCGGACAGAAAATCACTTCAGACTAAGCATTTACACGGGAGAGAATGCAAAGCAAAGCTTTGGATTGGTTTTTATTTGAGTACTTCAGGTTGGCTTTGGCAAAGCAAAGTGTTTCGAATTGCCTCAGCGTCACGTACCTGAAGCCCCTTTCTGGATTAAAAACTAACCCTGAATGAACCATACCGGCTACCGGCGTCGTTTAATTCAGTTCTAAAATCAATACACTTCTTCTCAGGATTCTTGGTGCGAAGCATTAGGGCGATTGAATCTCTACGTATCTTTGCACCTAAGATATATTGAACCAGTGAATAGTAATAGAACCAATCATTAATAAAATTATTTACTGAACCAAAAAACTTTGTTTTCTTCCAGTATCATCAAGCTCAAATCCAGCTTTTATTTGTTCAAGAACTTTCGATATCTTGATTCTAACATTTGTTTTCTCGTGCGAACGTTAGATATTGGCTAAAACGCATAGCAAATAACTCGAAAGATCTTCTGCCAACCTTTTTACAACATTCAAAATAAAACACTCATTGCTATCGCTATCAGCTATGTGTTTCACTGTTCGACCAAGGCATGCAAAAAATTTAGATGAAATCAATGAATTGCAAAAGCACATGATTGATAAATCACAAAATTTTATTCGGCTATTAAATTAATGAAATATGAAGTCTATGGTAAAGTCACCAAAGTACTGTCGGGATTCTGGTTTTTTAAAATTTTCTTGCATTTTATTAAGTCTACAAGTCTCAAGATAGTTAATGCTTCTCATGATAAAGTGTTTTTAGTTCAGAACTAAAGTAACAAAACTTTTTTCTGAGATTAGCCGTTAGCTTCAAGTTGCAAAACTTTTGTGAAAGGTATCGTACGACATGCTTATCACCTCAATCACATTTCGAAAAGAAACTGCTAGCAGTTGGTTCAATGAAATGACATCGGCCTAAGGCTGTTACTGCCATGAAATGATTGAAAAAGACAGATTAATGTCCTAGTGCTGCTAATTTTAAAACGCTGTGTTCTTTCATAGGATTTCTTGTCTTGGCATCGTTGCTAGAGAGGAATGACGCGAAGAAAGGGACAGTCGAGGCCAAAGAGATGTATACAGGAGTTCCTGGGAAAAATCTAACATTAACATGGACTTGGACGGGACATAAAATGTATGATTATGCCTCTATTTACATCCCTGATAAATCCAGTTCGAAGACGGCAGGAGCTGTGATATTGAATAAACTGTGGCACATTAAGTATTTTCCAAGCAATAATTCAATTGCCAAATACAAGCTGAATATTGTGAATTCAACTTTCAATAATTTGACGGAGCTTGATACAGGAACTGGTTCGATTATTTCCTTGAATATAAGAGCAGTTCCAAGGAATCTATCGAGATTCGAATTCATTTTTCGACTGCAGGATAATGATGCCTGGGCACCTGTTATAGAAAAGAAAATTATCGTCAGAGTGGCAGGTTCGTATAAATCTATCTAGAGTTTATTATGGTTCTGGGTTTTTACACTGATAGCTAAGCAAATTTTAGCATTTGTTGTTTCTCTGTGAAATCAAGGCATCAAAAGCTTTTAGATATTAGTGTTAGAATCCATACGTAGCAACGCGATCCGCCATTATGAGTTTTGACAACTGCAGGTTTTCTGGCCAAATAGTTAGTTCAATTTAAAAATAGTTATTCAAATATCGAAAATTCTAGGCTTCAATCAGAAAATCTGACTGTTTTCTCTGTGAATGCCCATTAGCAGAATCAGATCTTTTGTCACTGCACCGAATTCAATCTGCGGTTTGTCTTTGATTTTGAACTATTTTCTTAATAAAGATGTCATCCTTTGTTCACTTCATTTAGTGATAAACCTCTATATTTTGACATTTGAATAATCTGATGGCAACAGTCATTTGCTTTCCCCCCTTTAAACATTCCTCGATTCCCCGCTATTGTATTCGCATCTTAGTATTACACTCCCACCTTTAGAATTAGCCTTTGAAGATTTCAAAATGTTCAGATTACCTTACCAGATTACACTGTCACGTCCCTGTTTGTCTGAAATTACAAACTGATATCTGACCATCATTGACTTTTATCTTTAGAAAAAGTAAACTAATTTTTATCAACAGCTAATACTGAAACGGTATTACCTTACGTACCGCGCCACATGTCAAGTTGGGCAGGTGTAGCACGTTTCATCTTGGTAGCGAATCTAAACTCCCTCCCTAAAGTTGCAAAAGGTTGTGATATGCTCGTATTACACACTTTTCAATAACCCTAAATATTATGGGAACATTTATTATTACTATATACAGACTAACAACAAAACCAGAATTTCATCGACTATTTGCTTTTTGAGTAAACAATAGAGGCGTATCTTCAATACGAAAGCGTAGCAAAATCGTCACGGTTCCAAATGGAACGGCACTCGTGAAAGAGCAGCCTTGGAGCCCCTCAATAACAAAACCTGCTTGCTATTTTGGTTTATAGAGACTTTTTCAATACCCTCAAGCTCGTTATCTTCTGTTTATCCCTTACTTCAAGTTATTTGAAATACTTAAAATAAATAATTAAAGTTTTTGAGATGTATTTTTGACTTTATATAATTATCTATTCTGAATCGTCTTAATTCCTGATTATCATATCGATAGCTGTTTGTTCTTTGCCTAATCATGTTAAATGGACCGCGTAGAGCGGCTACATATGTGCAAACATACGCTACGTCTACACAGCTGTATTTTGCTAAAAAATTGTCAATAAACACAGATATTATAACAAACTCATTTTGCTAAAACAGCAATAGTTATTAAGCGAGCATCGGTTAGCCAACTACGAATGTGTATGTTGATGATTATATACGAGGGAATTTCTTGGTAAGAAAGCAGTTTCCATGATGTTGGGGCTATTGTTGTTGCAGCAATAGTCCAACCATTCCTGGAAAAGACCCTGACGAAAATACGCGAAAGTTTTCCTAAAGTTTGTTAGGCTTGATAATAGGCTTTTTTGTGCTGCAGTATCAAGCCCAGTTTGGGCTTTATTCGGCACTGGCAGTGTCAAAAATGCATGTTCTTAAAATTTGGAGGTTATGTTTTGTAGGAGTAAGAAGGTTGTACTGAGGAAAGATCAAAGATTATGTTACTTCTCAAGTAAGATTAGATTATGCTGAGGGGGCTTTAGCCCCCCCCCCCCCTCAATAATTTCAAAAATGTACATAAAAGCATACCAAAAATAGCTTTGCTCTTGGTTTTTAGCATGTTTGCCAACCCTCCTCCCCCCCCATCAAGCATTTTAGTCCCTTCAAATTGTAATATACTCCGCTGTCCTTGCTTCTCAGTACTTTTTTATAAAGGAAGTCAGTAGAAATTAGATTTGGTTTTATAGAAGGATATGGTTTGTGAAGACCATGGAAACACAACAGATTTTTCTATGTTGAAAGAGGCTCCAGTTATAGGGTGCAGAGGTTGTCAGAGGTTGACATTTGTGAGAAGGGGGTGGTTTCTCATTTACAATTTTTTGCAATAGGAGGGGTTCAGAAAATAGCTAAAAAAGCTATAAACATCAGTCAATTTAAGGATAGACAGATGTTTCATGTGTTCTTTGTATAAAAACTATAAAAATAACTTGTACTGGTTAGCCAAACATATTCAAGAATTTTGACAACAGATACATAAACATGATTAGAAGGATTGTGTACTGATGTGTGGCATAGTGAAAAACATTATTAGCGTGTTCTCTTTCTGTTCATTAAAACGGAGATAGGTTTTAATATTAATGAAGGGTTTCGTCAAAATATAATTAATCAACAAAATATTTTCATTTACCACGAGACGTGTGTGGCTAAACATGAATATGTAAATCCGTTAATGAACAGAATCACCTCTTTGTAAATCGTACATAAAACAGGGATTAAGATTACGTCGGAATCAGCCCATGAAAGGAGAGGGGGGCACATAAACAGAATACTCAATGTACCACAGATATCAGGGGGTGGGGTGCCGTCACGTTTTTTAAAAAAGTATAGAGAATTGAGGAATGAACCAGCATCAATCAGCATTTGAAAGTTCCACTAAGAAACACAGTGCTTATTCAATTATCCGGCCTTCTCGGGACATGGCATTTCAAGATGCGTGTGGAGAATCCGAAATTCCGGATAATTGAAAAGATACGAACCGGATAATGAAAGTCCGGATAAAAGGTGGGTCAGATAATTGAATAAGTACGGTATACGGTTTCGGCATAACAGAGGAATCACAGTAGTTTCCAAGAATCATCCCCTCCCGCTCCATAGGTTATTTTCCTTGAAATAAATAACGCGTCATTGCAATATGGAATGATTGTCTAGTTTTGTTGGAAAGACAAGTCTAAATAAATTTCTATTGCTTATGACCATTATTCTATCCATTTGTCTCGGCCAATGAGAAAGTGCATCATATGGGCATGCACATTAAGGCGAAGCCATAGTTTACATCTAATGGTGCTTCACATCATTCCATCAAAACTTTTACATATCATGGTTGCATATATAAACCAGAGTTTCGTTCTTACTCATCTCGTTACACCATTTTTTCTTTTCTTTTCATATTTTGGCTTGAGACTAGCTAATTAACAGGAGTGTCACTAATGTTCCTACCACATAATTTATCAAGCGATGTGAAAATGACGTCATCGATTGTATCTGCCCATGTGCATACGCTGCAAAATTTTGAAAAGTTGTCCTTCAGACAAATGCTTATTCGCCTCCCCAACAAAGTTCATCATTTGAATTATATTTTCCTAGTTCTTCCAACTGTCAAGATAACAATGGAAACAGGAGGCACAACGGATGTGCCACAGGGGCGAGTTATGACAGCGATATGTAAAGCAACAGGTTTTCCTCTGCCCAAAATAGAAATACGAAAAGATAACTCAAAGCTGCAAGTGGTCCAGGTATCTGGAAATGAGGTTAGCCTAAAATTGAAGTCAGTTACTTCGAATGATGCTGGGAGGTATTCTTGTTATGCAACTAACGTTGCTGGCACTACCCGATCAGATGCAGTTTTGTCAGTAACATGTAAGTATTAAATGCTTTGTCGAAAAGAATTTGTTGAAGTATAGAATCATTCAAGATATTTCAGGAAAATGAATTGACAAGTTTGGAAGCTGACACTGGTGAAAAGCAGGGAAGATTTAATCAAATAATACATCATGTGAAGAATAAAGAAAATAATAATACATCATATTCTCCTTGCTTTAACTTTCATCCATAAGAATTCGGTTTAACTAACTTTTGCATTACACTACTCAGCGTTATAACTCCTTTTGTGTTCTTTATGTGTACAGGCACCGCGGAGCAGGGGGGGCTGGGTGGGCTTTAGCCCCACCCCCACTTTTTGCAAAAAATGCCCAATATTAAGTATCAAACTCCCAGAAAAGCCTCTTTTTATAGTCCCCAATTTTTTTAGACCCCCCCCCCCCACTTTTCTCAACGCTCCGCGGTGCCTGCTGTGATAACTCTTGTTAAATCCAGTTTATCTTTGAGTAATTTGCTTACAATTATAAAATCTGTTTCAGATATACAGATGAACATCAAATCATCAACAGTGATTCAGTCTGCATTAGGCAAAGCAGAAGATCTTAACTGCCCTATTGACGGTTACCCACCACTGACGTATAAATGGTATTATCCACAATGCAATAAAAATAGCCCAGTTGGATGGTCCAAAGAAATCACGATACAGCTGGACAAGGAGACAAAGTTCGGAAACTATTGTTGCATTGGTCAGAACAATATTGGTCTCAAGACAGCAACATTTATGATAAAGGGTGAAGGTACGTTTTACGTTTACTTCTGTATTGTCCTAAGTGAGCCCACTAGTTATATTTTTCTGCTATACTGATTTTATTTGGCTTGCCAGTAAGGTCTCGAACTATGTAGGGCAGGTGATAAAGGTTACATTAGTGCATGAAGTAAATTGACAGAGCAAACTTTTTTATGGCAAATGAATCAAATAAGGCATTTTGCTATTTTGGGTGCCAGGTTTTAACACCAGAAAAATTGCATCTGTTTCTGGGCCTCTTCTCTATCCCTATTAGCATTTTTCTCCAGATTTTTACTAGTTTCCTTATCAAAATGTTTCCAAAGATTTTTAAGTTATTTCATACATTTTGCCTTTCATCAACTCCATTCATAAATGAAATCTGATTGACTGCTAAGCCCTGTCCACTCTTGTCTCTTTCATAGTGCTATCATCTGATAAAAAGCCTGATGATCTTGTTAAACTTTTTCTTAATCGTGAGCTGCCTCTGTCTGTCTCATAGGCACAGCTTTCTTCTTCACGTATGATGCTAGAAACCAGTTCTGTAGTTTCTTTTTATTTCGAAACAGTCATCGAAGACTAGACTTTAATATTTTATTGCACTAAAGAAGGAATTGGTTTTAAAATAACATGTTTCCTGCTTTTTTTTGAGAACTGCTACCTATCTCTTATAATGACCCAATCACCATACATAGAACAAAGCTTCCTTAATATTATATTTTTGAAAGCAACAAAGTCCCAGATTGTCAATAGTGTTAACACTGATATGCTTCACTATACGAATTTTTGCATCTATTTCTTGCCATTGTGAACCCTAGGTTAATTCAAAACGATCAGATTGTGGGTTTGAGTTGCAACTTCTGCTATCCGTATAACCCTGGAATAAATATCTAATTTAAGCCTTAATTGAACAACAGTGTACTTTATATAGCGACATTTGTCTGCCTTCACACTTCAAAATACAGTACAATTTTCCGTATCTTCAGTTACGTCATTCAGTTTCTTGCAATAAACATAGATTTTGATTGCTTGATCACTAGGTTGATATAAGCCATAGACATCTTAGTTTTTCACTAAATTTCACTAAATAAAAACTCAACCAATATGTGTCTCTCTCTTCCTGACAGCAATCAAGCCGAAAAAGCGCTCTGGCATAAATAGCGGCACTACTACGAAGACTGGCATTATGTTGCCGATAGCTGCATTCGTGATTTTATTATGGACTGCCAGGTGATAGCAGTTGAAATCAAATTTCGACAAAATCTTTGAAAATTATCAGAATGATACACTGAGGCTCTCTCGTGAAAATTCAATTGATACTAAAGCTAAGAATGGGAAATTGCAGTAGCTGGATAACGAACGAAACTGCAGCACCATCATAACCCTTGTGATATGTTCAGCAGCCTTTCGGATCATGTCAGTTTTGATTTCGTCATTGGTTTTGAATAGAAACAGTGAATTATTAATGATTTAGTCTTAATGTCTTATTCATTTTAAATAATATATATTTTATGATACAATATATTAAACCAGCTGATCAAACCTGTAACCAGAATATCTTCTCAGCGAAAAGAACGCTTGTTTACAAATTTCAAGTAATTTTGACGTCATCTTATCTTTATCTGAAATTTTTTCTTGTTTTTTGAAAAGGCCGCATCCCCCCAGGTTATGGGCCTTCTATGATAGTTAATACCGATTGTCTGATTTTAATGCAAAATTATTGATTCGTGGTATTTAGAAATTTTAGGAAATCATTTGAATGATTTTGTATCTAGTTTGTTTAATTGAAATAAAGAAGTAACATAAAATGAAGTTAAATTTTTTGCCTTTAGCCCATATAGATTTTACTGGCTTATTAGAAGTGATATAAAATTTATGAAATTTGATTTGCAGTATTATTAAGTTTTTATGCTACCATTTCTTTGCGTTGAATTGGTGTAAAATAAATGCAAGAGGGAGCTTTGTCATCTTTATCGTAAATTAAAAAAACATGCAAAACAAATGTGCCTTTCATGGCAGTAAGAGACGTGAAGGTCATCGGCGTTCTCAACTTGTAATTCAATTCAGATAACACAAAAACTGGATTACACAAGAAAAAACATAAATACGATGAAATATATATCAGTGGGTGAGAGGAATTTTAAAATTTTGGACCTGCACCGTTAATTTTTTTTTTAGAAACTATATTCCTAACAGCGAACATGTAACAAAATACATTCTTAACATCGGGCATGTGAGATATATAGAACATTAGTAAAAAACTTAAAAAATGTTGGGAAGGGATCTTGTTTTGCTTTCTTTGAAACATGCCTTGAAACCACGAAGGTTAAGTTACAAAGCATATTTTACTGATGTGGAGACGAAGAAAGCCCCATTTTGATGCCAAAAGTGGCCTATTTTATCTCCTTTCAAACATATCCCTAAATTTACTGATAATAGAATTGTTAACCTATAATTTATTATAGTTCGTTGGTTACTGATGTAATTTGCAGTTAAGTGAATGAAATAGCAGTGATTATTTTCGGATTACCATAAAATTGATAACATTTAAAGGATAATGCATTTGTATCTTTATCCAGGAAATTATTTTACTGTTAGAATACAATGTATCGATGCACATAAAATAAATTAGGTTCATTTACGCGTATCTAAAATGCTTTGAATGGTAAGCAACATTTACAGCAACTTAAGTGGGGTTTTAATTTTTCAATATTATTTTCACAATGATCTACCATTTTGGAAAACATTGATTTTGCTATCAATGAAACGTTTGGGAATGATCAACAGAGAACAAGTAATTCATAAATGTTTCCCGTTTAAAAATTCCAACTTTGTGCAAGGCCAGTATCCTCCGATTGGTCAATAAAAGGAACCAATCATAAACGCCAGTCATACTTTAGTGTCAGATTTAGATCCACATCTGTATATAAGCTTAAATCTGCATTGTATTCAAACAAAAAACACTTCAGGTAAATTTATACCGACGATTTCATTGGAAATTGCCTTCCAATATATGACAGCATAGCATCTTGATTGCGTAATATCTGTAGTCTCTAATGGGTTTAGACATCTATCCTAGATCACAAATGATTTTTGCTCAAAGGTAGCAAAAAACAATTTCAAGTAGCTTAAACGACACGCCACGGGTATTGTTAAGATTCTGACACCAATAATAACATCTACTGTGTTTTCTCTGCTTGAAGATCCTTCCAACAATGTAATAAGGTCAAATATCTATGGGAACCTCAAGATAAAGTTCTGCTTTTACATGATATACTTGGAGAATCGACATCGACCTTAAGCGGATAAGTAGCTGTCTCTAAAAGAAAGGGTTTTCAACAACTGTTTTGGTTATAGAAGAAAAGAGCTTTGCATTGCTAGCAAGGATAGGATCTTTTGTTTCTAGGCAACGCACCTGTTTTCCAACAGCCATTTACAACTGCCGATGGCAGACCTATAAAGGTGTCGATGGCAATAGCTAGAATTATGTCAGATGGCACAACGACTTAAAGACGCGAAAAGAACACGGTTTTGGAAAAAATATGGAGGCACAATCTCAATTGAACAATAGAGTACCGAAGTGTGACGTCATCAAAACCTTCTTTAGAGTTTCTTAATTTTGACCACATAATATGAAAGAAGGCATAAAAAACTTCTCAATATGCAAAATCAGTTAGATATATTTACAGCTGGGCGAAATATGGCCAATAAAAGACTTTATGTTTGCTAACGGATTACTATTATTCTGGCCTGGTGTTATGAACCAAGACGGAATTACAGAGGTTTGATGGAGCAAGAGCCTGTGCTCATGTGGCCATATCTCAGTCAATTTGTAACACATTATACTGATTTCGCATATTAGAAGTATTTCACAATGCTCTTTTAGATTATGGGACCAGAAGTCAAAAGTTCTAAAAAAAGATTCATGTGACGTCTCACTTTGTCACTCTATTGGTAGCATTTTGAGGCGTGGTTATCAAGACTAGTTTGTCTTGCAGGCATATGGACATAAAAGGTATTTCAGAGTATTCTAATTTCAGCAGCTGACTTTAGGTTTAGGGGAATTTTGTTTAAAAAAATATTTCAAGAGATCAAGAATTGAAGCGATAGATATTTAAGGAAATTCTTAGGAAACTCGTGATGATCATGATTGTTTTCATTTAGTGAGTCGCTGCTATTTAATCAAGTTAATCACTCATTAGCGCTGCACAACATTCCTTTTTTACTGCTTTGTAAAAGACATTTCGTTTCTCGAAAAAAGCTGAAAGAGTTAATAATAGTTTTGGTGTTGGCTGGAAATTCAAAGTACTATAGCGAGTTGATTTTTCTCTTTTCCCCCTCCTTGAAAGCAGATAACAATCTACCAGGTTTCCAAGTATCCAATATTTGAATAACAGTTTCAAGGTCTCAATATGTTTTTCAAGATGGTGATATAACAAGCTTGGTAAACGACGAACAATTTTATTTTGGGCGAAGTCTCATTATAATTTTAATTAAAAGTGTGATCCTAGTGCAAACAGACTTAAAAATTCGGATACCAGGTTTGAAATAAAAATAGTATCGAGCAAATTGCTTGAAACACAGACAACAGCTGTTCTCCTCAACGGAGAAGATTGCCTCGTACTCATAAGCAGCGTTTGAAGGCATTTCTTCCGAGTGTTTTACTCCCAAACTTATTCAAAATATATACATATTATGAATCGCCCCATTGCAATCATCGCAATAAACCCATGAGTACTGCAGTTTACGAATAATTTTTTAATAAGCATTAGTTGATGATGCTGACTACTGTGGCTTATGTCACTGCAAATCAACAATTGGCCAATCATTTAGTGCAAGACAAGTGTGATACAACTTACACGGCTATTGACTGATTAATAGTTGACTGACAATTGGCATAAGTCAGTTAAGAATCTCTCTTCGTTGCCTTTAATGAGCCTCTAGATACCTAAAAATTTCAAAGGAACGTACGCAAGTGAAATTTCGCTTCAATACGCCAAGAAACTTGCTAGCATTGTAATGCAGGGAAGAGAAATCAATAACGAAACAATACTGCAGTTGATCCACCCTGATGACTAAACTTTTATATGTTATCTTGCACATTTGTTTTTCTTTTTAAATTAAGTGAAATTGAAATGTTTTAAAAATACAAAAACATGTCACAGCTGGTCTTGATGTCTGAGTCTTACGACAAAATAACTGTAAAATCTTGTGGGTTCTAGATAGTGCTAGATAATGTTATGGCTGAGCTATGGCAGGGCTATGGCTGCAAAAATCTGACCAAACCAAGATTATCTTGATGGTTTTACAGTATATCCTTTCAAGTATGGAAATTCAGAATCCAAGATGGGACCAAAATATCTTTGCCTCAGTTACACGTGACTGATGACGTCATCGATAACGGCGAAAACAGTCATAAGTCCGCATTTACACTCGTAGGGTTTGGTACTATGATAAGGCTAATGTCGAGGCGATTCAGAGCAGCATTGACTTGTTTGACTAGCACAAGCATCTTGAAATATTATATGTCCTAACGAGCAAGTTAAATTGCTCAATGAAGTCCTTCTGAACATTTTCTCTAACTTTATATCGAACAAATTGAAACTATGAGGCCTCACGAGGCACCCTGGATAAGGCAAACTGTCAAGAACTTTCTGAGGAGAAAAACCTTCCGTATAAAAACCTTGTGAAGAATGGCCAGCCACACGAAAAACCCATATTTACAGCCTTTGGTTGTAATCCACCACTTGATGTTTGGTCTGTGTATCTCGATATTTCAAAAGCATTTGACAGAGTATGGCATGATGGCCTCATATATAAACTAAAACGATGCGGCATCTCTGGTCAGCTTCTATCTCTTATTCAAAATTTTCTCAAAAATCGAAAGCAGAGAACAGTTCTGAACGGGCAGGCTTCTAACTGGGGGGATATCTTAGCTGGTGTATCCCAAGGATCTATACTGGGACTCCTATTCTTCCTTGTATATATAAATGACCTGACTGGGAACTTATAGCGCAAGGTTAAGCTCTTTTCAGATGATACGTCCCTATTCCCTATAGCTCAAGACTCAAACATGGCTGCCAGTCACATGAACCACGACCTAGAGTTGGTGAGGAAGTGGGCTCATGATTGGAGGATGTCCTTTAATCCTGACCCAAAAAAGCAAGCAGTTGAACAAGCAAAGAGCAAACAAAGATCACCCAGTTATACTATTTAATAACATGCCCGTCATGAAAGTTGATGAACATAAACATCTTGGAATTACCTTGGACGCAACGTTGTCTTCTCTACTCATATAAAGGCTGCTATCCCAAAGACTAGGAAAGGTATTGGTATGTTGAGATTCCTCTCTATTGATTTACATTGTATTTAGTGTTGGTAATTTAAATTAGTTGGTCTAATCAGCTCCAGTATAGCTAGAGATTGTACAAACTTTAAACGAATAAAGAAACAAAAAGACCAGGGATGTAGGCATTGGCGTAAAAGATAAACATGGGAAAAGAAAAAATCATGCCATTCTGGGGGTAAATTATCGTTTTCTAGCTAAATGGCTTTTAAATAGGGAAGAATTAGCAATGAAGACTTAACGGCAGGTTTTGATCAAGAGTTTATTTTTCTTATAGTGTATGGATTTCTAGGGTTAAATCTGGCTGCATTAAGCGTCGCTGTAGTGTTTCTATCGCTAAACCTTTGTTTGTTTGATGGCTGAGCCCCTCTAACATGAAAGTCTGCAATGAAATAGTATCTTCCCTCAGAGCAAATCATGGGCCCAATGGAATGTCTCAGTTATTAAAATAAATTTTGATATGTAATTTTCCAGTTAGAGCATAATGGGGGTTGATATTTTTCCGATCATTGGTAAGCAGCCAGGCTAATTGATTGGTTTGATTTTGACATCACAATGGGAAAGAAGTTGGTTTTATAATAAACTTTCAAGGGTCAGAATAGGAAAAACGTTTAACAACGAGGAATGAGTTGGAAAATGTGCAAGCGATGCGTATGTGGAGAGTCAGAATCATAGCAGCTGACTCTAGGATAAACTGGACTGAAACAAAACAAAGCTAGGTAATAATGGAAGGAAATGGAGAAATGTTTAAAGTACAACAAAAATGAGCAACGTCTAGAAAATGTTCTGCGAAGATTTCCTTCTCGAATGTAGAAAAGGCTTTAGTTTTAGCTTTCTCTTCCTTGCACCCTTATTTGTGGCTAAAGATGACAGTTTTTGACGGGTGAAATGTGTTCGCGTAAAGCCAATCTTCTTAAACTTTCCAAGTAATTCTATGAAATGACGTCCCTGATGATAATTTGTTCACATTTACCGACAAACCAAGATCATAATCTCAACTTTTAGCGACAAGTGCAACATTTCCGATACACAAAACTTTAAGCATATTTCTAAAAGCAACAAGTAAAGAACACTGTCTTGTCTATAGAAGACAGTAACTAAATGTTCTCAGTAAGAAATCTTCAAAAGTAGTTAGTGATTCCATTCTCTGTTTATATGTCAAACTCTACATTTTAACTCTACATCTACATCTCTATGAGTATAAAGCTTGCAATGCATCTTAGTCTTCCAGTTGCATTTCGTCTTCAGTTCTGGTTCAGTTTACAATGGCAGACATGTGCTGGAGCAAACATTTTGTTTCAGTTTTCTATGCGTTACACGATGCTTGTCTGATCGAAGCACAAACAAGGAGGGGGACTGAGCCCCCGCCCCCCCCTCCCCCTCTGTTTTGATGCGTGTTCTCAAATCTATCTGATTAGCATTAAAGTTATCTACCTTTCTAGAAATCTGTCATGTCCTTGCAAACATTGAAACTGAGGGCCCGAAGAGAATTTTTTTCCAATTTTGGAACTTCCATTAAGTATCGTATTATTGCATTAGGAACGGCGAGTCCTGAGCCCAGAATACTGCGTGCTTACATGGGGCCCCAAATCTTGGAAAAAAATCTTTCAGTACTAAGATACCTCAACGTGATATTTTTATTTATTCTGTATCCACTAATTTCAAGAAAGTTTAGGTGTAATGGCAAGAGAAGAGGGCCCCTAGCAAACAGTACAAGTTGCCATTTCGTAGTAAAATGAAGAAAAATTGCGATAATTTTGGGAGGGCCCACCGGGCGATCGCCCGGCAGCCCAACCGGCCAGTCCGCCCATGGTACGGCGATAAGAATTTCTCAAACCATCTCAATAGAAGCATCCTTGAAGTAACAATACGTTTTATACATTGTACTGGTCGCTTTGAATAAAGAATTTTGCTCCTCCCTCCCCCTAGTAAGCCCACAAATATTTAGTTATCTATAATATGTAAAGTCTGTCCAAAATTATATATGAGGTGGGATCTGTGATAACGCAAAATTACTTAAACTGCAGCAAACATCTTGTCTGCTGTTATTCGCTATCATTTTTTGCTTGACATCTAATTTGAGAGAGAGAATGTAGTGTTCTTTGTTTTTCCCTTTGGTACTTCATATATAAGTTGTCTTAGTTTTTTGTGGTGCCACGGAGTAGTCATAGTATTTTACACCCAGTGGCATCGTCCTTGTAGTGTCGTTAAGTATTTTGTAGGTAGTGTAATTAGTAAATTTTTATTGTAAATTTTTATTGGAATGTAAAAGAGACATTCAACCATGTAAAAGTTTAAACATAACATTTGGTTGATCCAACCTCACCAAAAAATTGTTATTTCAAGGGGTTATATTATTCAAGACAGGCAGAGGGATTCCTTAGTATGATAAAGACATGGTTTCAGAATTCTGTGAATCTTAGTGTTATAGTATGCAGAATTTTACTCCGTGTCCAAATGCAGAATTTTTTTAAAAAAGTTATTTGTGACTTCCATTAAAGGAAGTGTCCTTTAATGGAAGTCACAAATAACTTTTTTAAAAAAATATTCCATTTGGACCAGTCTATGATGTGTTAAAATAAGAAATGGTTTCTCAGTCAATAGCCATCAGTTCTGCCCCTTGCCCTTTTCTTTGCCAGTTGCTTTGAATTAGCATGTTTCAAACAACCAAGAACACTTCACAATTAAATTATAAATTATTTTAGATCTACTTTGAGACTGAACAACAAAATTGGCGACAAAGATTAGAGGGTGGGGGGACCTAGAGATGAAGGTTGTGAATACCTTGCTTTTCTTCACAACCAAAGACTTATGGGGGGTGGATTTGGAAAATTGCGCTGCAGTGCGGCGGGCGTTATCTATTTTCTAAGGATTTATTGATCATAATTGGGCTTAGATAACCAAAAATATTGTTATCAAAGCTTCGGTTGACATAAAGGCTCACTCAGGTACTGATGCAATTTCATATATGTACAGAGGACCAGACGTAAAATGTTTTTCCGTTCGAGATTGTGTATAGCTTACTGTGACAGTACCCGATGTCCTTTTTGTTCAATTCTTCACTATAACTAAAACATTCTTCGCAATCTTCACTATAACAATGCTTTCAAAGATTTGTTAACAAACATAACAGAACAATTCTCCACCCGTAACCCCGCCATAATCATTCCTTAGGTTCACCTCATTTTGCCATTCCATCTAGGCCTTTACAACAAAGGTACCTTCTAAACAATGACAGAACGATGAAACATCGTGAGAGCGAGATAAGGAACCAGTATTTCGTGGCAAAATGGAAGCAACTGCGCATGCTCTATTAATACACTTTCCTCTGATTGGATTTGAACTTTGAGCGACAAACAAAAGGAGAGACAAAAGCCGTTTCAGATCGTATCCCCAACAAGTTCAGTGCAGCAGAATCAGTTAATTTTAACACGTGAGCGAGCAAAATTATTGCACAGGTTTGACAAATGAGTAATGGCGCGGCGGCCGCGTTGTAAACAACATAGGGATCGAAAATAAAACCACTTTTGTGAAGCCTTTAGGCTTCTTTTTATAGTTCATAACCAATCAAACTGTGCTAACATTTAACTATTGTAAAAAATTACTTTCTATAAAGTAAAAAAATTTAACTATTTATTAGACAGTCTCGCAGCTTTGAAACTTTTGTTAGACTTGCTAGAAGTTTGCCAAAAAATTTTGTAACAGGTTCTGTTAATCACGACATGAAAAGTTGGAGTACCAAATTTATCATTAGTGGCCTTGTATTTGGTGGAAAGTGGCAAATTTTAAGCCATTTTATTGTGTCTGATAAACAGCAATTGCGTAGCTGTAGATGTCAGCTAGGTTGGGCAAACTCGAGCAAGAACCATACCTGAGGGGGCAGGCTTCAAAAATAGGAAAACAGATGTATCTGGACTGAATCAAGCTCACGGAATCATAATTATGCCAACTTTTCAAAATATCATTTGGAATAACAGTAGACATAGGGAACAAGTTGTTGTCAAAATTTTCATTTGGAGGGGCACAGCCACCCCCCCGTGCCCCCCCTGCAGCTACGTGGCTGATATACAGGGTTTCCTGGCATATACAAAACAAATGTATTTTTAATTTGGTCAAACGGGACTCTTCTAACAAACTAAAGGTTTTTCATTGACGATCTGTTAGTACATTTTTCATATTCATAGCGATTCTGTGTTTTACTTTTAGTTAATAAGAAAACAAACTAAAAAACTGCAAAATAGTTTCTGTACATAATCACTAAGCCAGTCTGCTTTGAATTTTCAGTGTGCACATTGAGAAATTTTGACGGTTTTCTCATAATAAAATCTTCGTTAGAAGAGCATGCGTGACTACAGGCTTACTCCATTGAAGCAATCTTTGCATCACAAAATTTGCCGTGATGGCTGCTCAGAAAATGATAAACACGTTCACGCATAGCACGAGGCAGCTTCATGTATTAGCTTAAGAATTTAATGCACATCTGCCTACTTTAAACTGTATGGCCTCATTCAAGGATTAACTATGCTCTGCGAAGGGCTTTATCCGTTAAGGGTCCATCTGGACGCACTCACTATAAGCATAGGTGTGTCCTTTGTTGTCTGTTTTAAAAGATTACAACCAAATGCCGAATGCTATTGTTTCGATCGGGTTGGTTCTATTATCAAGCAATTCGGCTTTAATGACCGTAATATGAATATGATTTTGAGGTAAAATAATGTAACTGGCTCATTTCCAATATTTAAACTTGACTAGAAAAAATATGAAGATTGTATGCATTTGTATTGAATTCGGGTTAGTTTCTTAATATAAACCTCGATATTGAAGAGACTTCAAATCAATTCGATGGCTTAATGAGTTTTAAGTTGAGAATCAATTCTGATATATAAATACTACTAGCGCACCTGTTACGGGCATCTGGTTAAAATGAAAACAAAAAGAGATTGGACACAATAGCTCGCGCATTTCACCAGAGGCATATGTTTTCGTGAAAATAGCTACGGAATCCAGCTTAGAATAAAGATTTCCAAACCTTATGAATTCAATGGGATACTTCGCTGAAGGTTCCACTATAAAGTGAACTCTTCTGGTGTGCATTCCAAGAGCTGCGGCCTATTTGAAGAAATAGATGACGGGAATTGAGAAAGAGCTCCTGCTTCACGTCTTCTAAACTATTTCAGGTTTAAAGACGCAAACAGTGTTCTAGTTTGAAAGAGGTTTAAACAAGAATTCCAAAGCAAAATGGTATTCAAAGGTGTACTCAGTGAGTATGATATATCTATGTAGCCCACTTTACGAACAGTTGATATGTTGTTTGCTTCTCTAAGTGGATAAATCACCTGTTTTTATGTTTCTATTGGCGCACGTTCACAATTATTTTCACATTTTAAATAGAAATTGCCACGCACCATTAATTAAGGGTGTCAGGTTTTGCATTGCTTGAGAAACTGGCATAAAAACAAGTTAACTGAGACAAAATGATTTACGAAGCTAAGTCTTAAGGAGAATTCAAACAAAAAGCTCTACCGAAAAGATTTTAAATTTCCTTTTACCAAGGCAGCACTTTACTTGTCATTTGCGATTTTGACATACATAATTTGTGTAAACAATGCATTTATTATTAACCTTAAACTTTGATAAAGTACATGACGTCATCTGGTTCTGGATGGCAGTTGAACTGAACATGTACCATCATTACATATTAGGGAAGTCTTGCTTCTTACAGACTCAATAAGCATTATTAGAATTACCTTTTCATACAGTCTCAGAAAGCATTGACAAAATTGCCTTTTCATTTGAATCAATCTAGCATTTCGATCTTTTTATTAGTGCTGACACAATATATCATATCAAATATCCATTGTTGTATATTTCAAATGAAACTAACATAAAGATCTCAATAAACACCAAAGCACAGTCTTTTTTATGATAAAGTTTGAGCAGATCATCTACATAAAGAAGAATTTGCCTGCGTGGCAATTCCTTTATTGATGCCTCATTTGATATCATTTTATATTGCTCTATATACTAATTATACATATCCTCAAACAGTTGCCTCATGACTGCATTAGAGGTGAAACTTGAGGTTGAAACTTAAAACCGTTCTGTTCTGTTCATTAAAAGCTTCTTTTTTTAAATGTGTATCAAGAATATCTAGAGAATGCAATAAAGCGTGTTTATGAACTGTGATAAAGTTCAAACGGAGACACAACCTCGAACGCTAAGTCACTTTATTCAGGAAATGTCTGATGATAAAAGAGAGATACAAGGAAGATGTGGATGCTTCTCTTCTGTTAATCTAACGGTGAAAGTTCTGAAACGTTTAAGCAAGCAGAATGCTTGACAAAACAAAAACATCCCTCTAGAATTCGGTAACAAAAGGAAATCAGTCTCAGTCATAGTACAATATAGGCTTGCGTACAACATGCATCGTATTGTATTTCAGCGCGCAATTAACTGAAAACAACGGAGAAGAATTGAGAAAACTGCAAAACAAATGAAGCCACAGAACCGAAGAAGATCTTTAGCTAGACCGCTGGATCAACGTTTCAGTTATATTCGTATCATAAGTGTCTGAAATATTAATGAGACGATAATTTGGACTGAGAACAAATGGTTTTTGTTGCAGGGTTTGATAGAATTGATAAATCGCCGATTAAAGTTGCAAAATTTTTTGTTTGTAACTAGTAGCAAGAGCTGGTATTGAATTAAATTGTAAATTAACCACTTTAAATGTTAAAGGGAAGTAAATTTGCTCAGATAATATTAAAATATTATTGATTCTTTTGGGGAAGATGATTCTAAAACAGATCTGACAACAGTTGAAGCATCGCTAGCCAGGAGTATAAATATAAAAACCGGGCTTTCGTGCCTCTTGTTGAGACGTAAGATTTTTGTGCCAAAATTATGCACGAAAATGTTGAAAACACATTGGTTTTTTGCCTCATTCTTTACAATAAATATTTGTAGCGGTTAACAACTATAAAAATGACACTGACGAAGCAGCTTCACTTCTAATATTATTTAGCACATCGAAAAAACTCTAGTAAAAACTTTCTTTAGGTCCACTTTAAAGTGGGGCTAGCTACTCTGTTTTCAGTGCAGGTATTTGTTTCCACGTTTCTAAGGTCCATTTTTGTAAATATAAGATAGTCGTTCTGATTTCATGTTTTTCAATGTAAAGCGCATCTATGCAACCATGCCTTTGGAAATTTTTGCGCTAAGAGATTATTTTGAGTCGCAGCATTCATTTAAATAAGTCACATTTGACACCATTTTGCATGTTTCGGTTGATGGAGCTATTATACACGCACATAATAGACTATGTTGACCACTATTTTCACTTTATAGACAACATCAGCATAGTTAACAAAACATTCTCTCGAAACTTAGATGTAGAGGCAAGCAACTGCAAGCACAAGATAACGTACATGGCTACTAGAAGGTTGCAAAAAATAGATGAAACAGACAAAGGGTTGTAACGACTTATGAAACTCTGCAGCCAGCAAAATTGGCAATGACATGGTTAAGTAAAAAAGTGAAAATTGTTTGTGAGCGGTTCTATTATGAGAGTTTTATTGCTGATTTAGCTATTTCTTTTGCAAATCAACCATTCAAGAATGTCACGCTATTCATTTTTGGTGACAGAAATAGTACTGTACCAATTGAGATAGCCGAACAAAACATTTCCAAAACTATTACGGTATTATCTATGAAAGGTTTTCGATTAGATGTTAAAGAAGGGGAAAACAATGAGAAGCAAGGCGGTGATTTTATTATTTTATCATTTCTGCTTATACTTTTATAAAACAACTTACTGGTTGGTGTTTTGCCAATGAGCTAGTGCTATCGTATGCAGGTTATCAGTTCAAAGTTCACGACAACATGATAACTAAGCTCAAGGTCAAAAGTAACATGTTCAATGGGTTCAAAGTAACATAGTAGATAGATTCAAAGATGAAAGTGTCATGGTATATAAGTTCAAAGTTTAAAGTACAAAGCAATATGGTAACTAAGGTCAAAGTTCAAAGTGATATGTTAGATAGGTTCAAAGTTCAAAGTTCAAGAGCAAAAGTAGATAAAGATCCATATATGTGCATACATGCTCATTTGCATAAACACAAATAAACAGTGATGGACAAATGAACACGGTCTAAGAAAATGTGATATGTGCGCAACAAACGAGATCGGAGATGAGTTTCACACTATTTTAAGATGCCCAGCTTTAGCAAGTATTAGAGATATCTACATAACCTCATTTATAAAATCTTTTGCCATGCTTGCCAATATACAAGCCAAAACGATGCCTTTTTATTCAATCGTATCATTAGATAAAAGAATAAAAGGAAATGAAGGGTGAATTTAGATACTGCTCTGTCAGGAACATACTAGCTGAAATGCTAAAAACATGCTAAAATGGCAGGAATGCAAATTACAATGTGTCACATCTCCCCATTAAGAGTTGAAACATTTGTATTCTAATAGCAAATATATCAACATCAAACAAATCTGTGTATTATAATAGCAAATGTGTCCGTATCAAATGAGGGGAATGGCTGAAGGGCCTGAACGCCGTCCAGGAAAACTTCATTTGAAATTCCTCGTTGAGTAGAACTTATTCTTAATAGCAAACGTGTAAAAAATGTTTTAATAACATTCCTTTTTTTCAATTTGTAGTACTCCTTTTTCTCGCGATTCACTTAAAAGAATTTGAGACAGTCAAGCACAAAAGCAAACTTCAGGCAAATAAAACATACACTGGTGTCCCTGGGAGAAGTCTCTCTCTGAAATGGAATTACAAAGGACAGATGTACAGATATGCCTCTATATATATTGCCGATACATCAGCGTCCTCTTCAAGAGGATCTCAAAACTACAAAAAACTTTGGCAAGTAACATTCCCTCTAAATAACGACACAGTCACCATACAAAAATCTGACGTTCCCAGCTCAGTCTTCAACAACTTGACCGAACTCGTTGTTGTAAAGAAATTAGAATTCCATTTGAAAATAAGGACAGTTCCAAGAGGTATGCTCAAATTCGAATTCATGTGTCGTGTTAAGGAAGACAGTGTATGGGCACCGATAGAAGAAAAAACAATCACAGTTATGGTAGCAGGTGAGCAATTACTGGAATTCTTTATTAGGAGGTCAGTAAAAAGAAACCCTGCTTTCGCAATTAGCTACCCTTGGTACCAGAGCCACAAAAATTCGAGCCCGGAAGTTTAGACGCTCCTTCTCTTCTCCGCTTTGTTTTCTATTTACGCGCTCGAAATTTTGTGGTTCTGGTACCCAGGGAAAAAATCAGCGCGCTTTTGTCATAGTGCAGATTCTCTTTTCATTCAGGTATACATCAGGCACAATTGTGCCATATTTTTGCATATTTTATGGAACAGGGTCAGGGTGCACAAAAGTTTTCTGTACACCCCCGTCATTTCCTGGTTAAGTCATCCCCTCCTCCGGAGGGTGGCTCTAGAATAAAGATTCCCGCCAATATATACGATAGAAGTGTTTAGAAATTTGCAAAGTGAGCTCCACTCTAAAGACCAGGAGCAGATTACGCTAAACAAAAAGAAGTCGTTTGTTTCCAGGTACGCCTGAGTCGGTGGTGGGGGCTGGGGGCTGGGGGGCTGAACCTCCTTCACTTTTTTGCTGAACTATGATGTCCAGGTAATGGCATCAAAGATAATGGGTTTCAAACTCTACCACAAAAGTTTGTCAGCTTTTCTAGAGCCCAATTTGGCTGCAGCCCCCAGCCTCAATGCCTTCTACGCCTATGATTATACCCTTGTTTCTAACAGCAAGTGTTGTTTACGTTTTCATGTCATGCATAGGTTTAGGTGAACAAGATTGATCCAATACGTAAAAGTTTACTTCAAGCCATGATGGTGAATCATTCATTAGCAGATATACTCTCACAAGAGAAATCCTTTTACAGACTATGGAACTTCCTCAAAAACGAACCTCTGGTTCAAAAAGTTTCTGTCATACGAAGGTTCCACTGTAATCTCCACTGGTTTCACAATATTATAAAATTTAGTGTCTACAGGTACTACCAACCTAAATTGCAACTTCAACTGGTAAAAGGGCTGTCGCTAGATATTGTGCACAGCTAGTGAGTCATCTTTTATTTACTGACAAGTTTGAAAATTTGTCGACAAAGCACCCTCAGATGGCAATAACCTCCTCGTTTTCGAAGAGCAACTTTTCTAAGGGGTTCAGGAGTTAGATTTTCATTTTGCCTATAATATGCGAAACTAAACTCTTGCATGCTTCTGTTTTAGTTCCCCCAGTCGTAACAATAACAGTAGAGAAAGGAAACAATATACACGTACCCAAAGGAACAGATATCAATGTGGTCTGCTCTGCAACTGGCTACCCTGTGCCTAAAATCGAAATCGAGAAAGATTCAAAGAGGTTAGCCAAAGCAGTGTTCCCGAATAATGAAGTAACTTTGGAACTGAAAAACTTTCAGCCAGCCAATGCCGGACGGTATGTTTGCAGTGCGAGGAATATTGCGGGCGCAACAACGCAAGATACCCTGATAACAATAACATGTAAGTCGGAAGGAAATATTATCGTTGCTTAATTTTTATTAAATTAAGCACAAGGTGGGCAAAGTTCATTGACCATATCTTCCATTTTAAGAGATAGACACTTGATATCACCGTAAAAATTTTCTAGACTAGTGATTTAGTGGGCTGATTAGTAACTTTGTAGGTTGATTAATGATTTAGTAGGTTGATTAGTGATTTAGTGGATTGATTAGAGGGTTGATTAATGATTTAGTGGGCTTATTAGTAACTTAGTGGATTGATTGATGATTCAGTGGGTTGATTAACGACTGGATGGGTTTATTTTCAACTTGCTTATACCTTTCAATTTGAAGATACACAATATGGATCCATAACTCCGTTACTGGTCTCTGCCCAAATAAGATAGGGGTTATGACAACAACTCGAATATAAATTAGAATATGGGCATTCTAGAATTTAGAATTCTTCAGTAGGAAGCCTAGAACAAAGTTGGTACTATTGAACAATCATGTTAGATTTAGATTCTAAGCTCACAATAAAACTAGCGAAATACCTTAACAATTAGTATCCAGTCAGAGGTCAGCTTCCCTAGAAAGAACAGATTCTGATAAATACTTTCATCAAATTAGACATCGAATTGAGAGAGAGTGCTCCGTTGCAAATATTCTCTTCATTGGGCTCATCCCAGGCACTGCAGTGTCCAATTGATGGCTATCCGCCAGTTATCTACTCGTGGTTCAAAGGTTACAAGCAGCTAGGGGGCTACCGAGAGTCTCGCATCAAACTCGACCGCCATGAAAATTTTGGCAACTATTCCTGTGTGGGTCAAAATGATGCAGGGTCTAAGGAGGTTACTTTTTCGATTTGGATGGAAGGTATGTGGAGTTCCTATTTGTTGCAATATTTCAGTTAACACTCTGTGATTATACATGTGCCATTCAAGCATACAAAGGACACTAGACGAACTATCTTCCAAGCAAGCATGTTTTGTACACGTACGATTTATAACTACTTTCTCTGAAGCTGAGTAATTATACATATGTTCTAAGTACACATATGCCATCTACTGATTTGGGCCATCTAAGAACATAACATTACAAGACAGATAATGCATAGAAGATGGATTAGGAAACGGCTGGGATGGAAGCCTAGAGCTTCTAATATTTGGCAAGTATCCATTCAAAGACACACAGCTGCACCTATGCGCAGCCCTCGATATGTCAGGAGGTATTATTTACTAGGACTTCCTTAACGTAGGAAAGGATTGTCTGATTTTTAAAATGTGCAACTGACCTCTGCTAATATTATGCCAAACCTTTTCTTTTGCAAGACTTTTTTAAAATTTCTTGATCTTTAAAATTCACTACACAGTTTTGCATGATATGAATTTGAGTAAAGATTCTTGCAAGTAAATTACAGTAGGCGTACTTTGCAAATCTTCCTTTTTGAAATGCTTCTGAACTTTTGGAAAACCATTTCTGGCAAAGTTTTGTCATCATTTTGAATTTTAGAAACCTTCGTCTTTTTTTCCTTTTTTGAACTTCTTTTTCTTCAATCTGATAAGCAATTACAAGCAAATGAATGAGTAAGGTCGTCATAGTTAGAGCAATAGAAGTAATTAATAGAGGTCTTAGGAGATCAATTAAGTCATTGGTACGGTTTTTCTTAAATTACAGACCTTCTTTTAGCAAAAAATTGCTTTTATTGCTGTTATCAAACCATACAACGGCAGCAGAAAAACGGCAGCAACAGCAGTCAAAAAAATCATCAAGACAACAAGATAAGCATTTGTTCCTTCAAATCAATCCTAAGATCGTGTCGTGTTGTCATTGTAGTATGATATAATTTTGCATGTATATTTTCAGAGCCCAAGGCCGGGAAGCATTCTACAAACGATTGCTACGTGCTGAGACCCTCAATGACGTCACTTGCTGTTTCAATGCTCATTGTTCTGCTGTGCAACAAATGGTTTAGGTAGCTTAAAACACTGAAAATGAAATACGAGCGTCTTTCTTTATTTTGAAACACAACTGCCTAGAAACTATGATATCATTTATTCAGAAGAGATGCCAATTTGTTTTAACCGTAGTCTCAAGGCTGATTAAACAACAAACTCTTCTTTATTAACTGAATATAGATTAATCTATTTGATTGTGTTATACTTTTTTTCAATTAACCCTTTAAAATTTTAGTTTCCATGTAGTTAAGAGCAATTGTATTGTAAAAAATCATTAGAGATCAGCATTGAAACTTTTTTGCATAGTCAGAGGCAAATTATTGTTTATACAAACAACTGGTTCCACATAGGATGCCATATTTTCTGCGGCTTGCACAAACCATATGGCCTTAGGTACACTGTATCTATAGCACAATATAAGCAACTTATAAAAAGGGGTTTATGCTTCTTTGGCTTTTCTACGTTTCTCGCCAGGAGATAGTTGCTGGTCTAGGTATGACTCTTTCATTGGTGAACATTTGACACAATTTTAAAATCATTTGGGTAATAAAGAACATGCATTTTCAAAATGAATCAAGCCAAACTGTGTCTCTTAAAAAAGAAATTTTAATGGAGACAGTGAACTTTGATACCTAATATTTATGTTATTCTTTTCAGACATCTTTTACAAGGGAGTTGTTTTTTAGTCTAGATGCTTTAAACTGTTTGCAGTATCCTTCATCATTATATTTTCAAAAAGCTGAAAAGTACCCTCGGTCCCTTAATATATACTTAAGTTAGTCACTGTTTGCTATAACAAATAATCAGAATTCCATTACCATATATCAATCTTATATTTAGTGATTAAGCTTACTCAAACATTGCCAAGCCCTGGTGCCAAGGCCTGACCCTAATCAAGCGAATGTGATCACCAGAATTTATTTATCACTGTATGTAAGCATACATTTTAAAGTTAATGAGCAAAAGTCTGCTGTAATCGTCCGTAGCAATGTTGATAGAAGTAGATTATCTGTTTTGAAAAGACTTGATTCAATGCATGAAATAAACAGTCTCAAAGAACTAATTGCTGATTGATTTGTGTATTTCTTTGCTATTCCTAAATATTTAGGAAATTCCAGAAAACGATCTTCAACTTCACTATCCTGGTGATGTGATGTTTTTAATGTAAACAACGAAGATGACAAAATAAAACTGGCTATGATGTTATACGCTCATGAATAAGAACAAGCCACTACCTAGCAATTCAAGCCTCTTCGTACTAAGAACACGCGATACAATATTAAATGTTTTATAAAGGAAAACTTGAAATGAAGGCGAAATCCTATAATGTCGTTGCTCTAAATGTGCTAACATATTATTTTATTCATGTTGAATAAAAAGGGTTTGTATGTTTAACTAGTTTTTAAGAGCCTTTGGCTGCTTAGATCATCCGTAGAAGATATCAAACTACTCAACTTGAAAATCAATCTCGGCTTATTAATAGGACGGATTATAGCAGAATTTGATTCGGCCTGCCTTGGACTTTCATATTGATGTGCTGAGATGAAACCGGCATGTGCGCAGAAATTCCAAAATGGATTTCTAAGCAAGAGTTCATAAAATTAATCCTTCTTCCCCAATCCTGTTTCTTCAGAGCCCTTCAGATCACAAATATTGAAAGCCAGGCACATGGTAAAAGTTGCTTGGTGATCGAATTAAACGTTAAACTCGGAGTAGCAACTTAGAACCGTCCTGTTCTATCGAGCACTTTATGAGAGACCCGTATACAGTAAATTCTATGATTTTAGAAATATATCTATCATCTCAGTGAGCACGCCGGAACGCATAAATTAGGATGAAAATGTTGGGCTAGAGCGCAGCTGATGTCTTTTGCTACTATATTTTGACTGCATCTTAAGTGAATGACATCCATGTTCATCTAACTCTTTTAGTTTATTAAACACTGAATACGTAAATATGGCATCATATCTCTAGTACGTTAATTAGGCCGTTCCCTGCCTTCTTCTGAGGCAAATGAAACCTTGGCAAGTTGCTTGCGCACGTTGGAATGCTCATAAGCGCGTGCTTGCCTGTGCAATTGTGCATTGTCTACAATCACTGTCAAAGTCTTGGAACACTAACGTCAGTTTACAAAGCAAATTCAGACATCGCCCTCTCCCCCTAAGAAAAATATTGAATCACTATAGAAGAATGACTGGGGTTATGGAGTGCGCTATTTCTTGTGGCTTGTATGATATTTTGTTAAACTTTCAACATTATTCTTGGGATAAAGTGGGTTGGAAGATACAGTATTCGGGAAAGTAAATAGAACGAGAAAAAAACAGCGTAAAAAGTTGGGTGTTTTCAAGTAATTTTGGTAGTGATTGTCTAGCTTAAGAAAGTTGATATTTCTTATCGGGCTGAGTTACCAAAATGGGCTGTAAGTTCTTAAAGAAAAGCGATATAAGTTTCTGGATTCCCGGATTCACTACGATGCGAAACCGATTCTAAATGACTGAAGTCCAATGAAACAATGTATTTATTAGCTGTGAGAAATGAAATTTGAGAAAATTTAATTATCTTGACATTACAATTTAAATTTTAAATTTTGTCCCAGTTCATAAAAACAACACAAAATGCGTTAGCAAATGGGTAATATAGCCTTCAAATATCGTCAACTTGAATCACAAGATTTGCGTGTTCCTTCACGATGTTCGGTCGGTGCTCCAGTTTTATAATGACACATAAAATATTTATGGTGGGTCGAGAAGAAAATTATGTTTTTCCCCTTTGTTGACAAAGCAAACGTCGCAAGACATTCGGTCGTTTATCAGTGCATACATTATTAAGTTGAGAAAGAAGATGCATATTTCTATAAACAGCTGGAATTAAGAATTTGGTACAGCTTGTGGTACCTTTCGTGTATGCTTCGTCGATCTATTTGACATTTAATTGAAAAAACTTACTTTTGGTGGTTTGAACATCACAAACAAAAGATATGCTGATGATGCAGGTCAATAATTCGCCTAGAAAACCGTCATCAGACAAACTGCTGCTCAGTTTTCAAATTGAAAAACAACGCTTGCATTGGTATGAAATTTCCCGACGACCTTTGCGAAAAACATCCCTTGTCGAGCCAAAGCGCGTGCAGATCTTTTCCCAGTTGTTGCATCGGAATGGCAGCAGTGAGCTATAATTACTACAACAAAAGTGCCATAGGCAGGAAAAAAGTCCCATAGGCAGGAAAAAACTTTTCTTCTCTGTGGAAGAGCATAAATAATTGGGGGGGGGGGCGAGGGTGTGATAACAGGAAGGGTCATGGCCACATCCAAAAATAAATAAATAGAGGGCTTTTGATAAACAGAGGGCCATATGTGTTTGTTTAACCGTTCTTTAACAGCATTAAAGCATCGCAGTCGATGATTTAAGAGGAAAAACTTTATAACCCTGGCTTGAACAAGCTATTTCATGGCGATAGCAGCCACATTTTTACTTCGCAAGCGTCTGTCATCGACCATCATTTTTAAAAATTCAATAGCTTCATTCACCGATAAAACGAGTGATTCATGCTGCGTCTCGTTTCCCCATTTTAGCAAGTGTAAGAATCTTCTCTTACCCAGCTTCTGCTGTGTATATTTCTTAGCTACGTCATTCGTGTAAAGTTCTTGGGGCTATTTAGGGGGAGAAGAAAGAAAAGAGGGACACGGGGGAGAGAAAGAAGAGGGAAAGGGGAAGAGGGGAGAGTGCACTCGACAACAGTCGATAGGGGCGCTAGGCTAAATTTATGGGCGTTCATTTTACTGAGTTTAGAAATCAACAGCTACATTCATGAAATGAATAAGTTTTGAATTGCCATCTACTATCATTGAAGATATTGAAGGTCGTATGGCCAAGGATGATGAGTTGAGACAAGAAAAAGCCAGGAGTCCTTTTCTATTTCTATTGCTTCTTCTAATCTTAAATAGGAACAATAACATAGTACCATTTTCAGTGCAATGCGCTGCTTCCAAACATAGCTATCTAACAATCATTACTTTTATTTATGTGCTTACAGCAAACTTATAGAATACAACATGCACTACCATTTCAGTTAAATCACTGATTGGTACTGCTTGGGCTGCAGCCGGTGTAAGCAAAAATATCGTCTACGGAAGGTAGAACCACTAAAGTGGTTATGATTGGTGGAAATAACCTGTCAATCAACAAAACAACCAATCAGATAGCGAGACGTGATACTGATATAGAAACCCCCACGATGTTTGCAGTCATAGGCAAGAACAGAGACACAAAATCATCTGATCGCTCGAAGGGTGGTTAGTATAGATTCACCGGCTGTGACCCAAGCTAATACTTATATCTTGATATCAAATTAAGTTAGAAATGATAAACATGAGCTTTTTAAACGAAACGCATTGCATCCGACAAAAAATCGTTTGCTAATCGCTATAAAACACAACATATCAACTAAAAAGTTACTAAAAATTAAAATCAAATAGAATGGAATGAAAATAAAAATAATCGTCTTTCTTTGCCAGCTTCTCTCGAGATAGAACCGAAATATACTGTAAAATCTCCTTCAAAAGAGTATCCGTGGTGTCTCCAGAACGTTGCGCATGAATCATAAACTCTCCCTAGGGCTAATAAATAAAACTACCACGCTTGGTTATAATCAAACTTCATTCAAGGCTGAGCATCTTGTACATAAAAGCAATTTCCATTGGCAGCAAAAACACTTAGGTCTAAAGCGTCTCGCACACCATTTTTCTACAGCATACATCGAATGCTGCAATGCTTGTACCTCCTAGAAAGGTTAAGTTGACAACGAAGATTTAGTGATTGATTCGAAATCAACAGAGAACTGCTATGGGTGTATCTGAAAGAGGATTTTTAGTTAGTGAGGGCATTTTTGCTTGTTCGTCGACGTAATTGCCTTAAGGTATGTAAAATAGAGAGGGTGTGGTCTTGTTGGTGCCTCCGTCAGTATATATATTTCACTTTGGCTCACGGGGGCTTGTCACTAAAATTTAGTATGTGCAGGTCAATATACTACACTGGCGATGATGGTTCTTCTAGAAAGATAACAAGTTTGGGAGAATGGCATTTTTTATCTAGCCACATTGGGTTGTTATCTTAGTAATTGCCTCCTTTTGGGTGTTTTTTCAATTCCCTAGCTCTGTTCCATGATATTAAATCGTTCAACACAGATATGGTGGTCCATATAAAGTGTACGATTCGGTAGTTTTATGTTTTGAACTTACCCGTCAACAGTTATGACTATTCCTTTGCATGCGATCAATCTGCATTCCATTCATGCTTAAATGGGTGTTCGCAATAATTTCATAAAATTCATAATTTCCATCAGCCTGTTAAAAACTTGCAAAAACCAAGGAAAAACCCAAAAAGGCGTGGATTCTTTAAGCAAATAATCGACGACTTTAAATAATGGTCGCTGCCAGTCTCTCTTGAGTCGACTAAAAATGCAGTGGTGTAGCTAGGGCAATAGTTTTCATAAATGGAGGAGTTGGTTCGCGAAGAGCAGTCAATATTCTTATGATCTTGCTTAGCATCATTTTCTGGCGACAATAGCGTATTAACTTTTACAACAAATGATATATCATGATAAAATAATGAGCTACTGCTTTTTTATACAAATGCCCTACTACAAACACCACTGCATTCAAAGCTACTTTAGACTTTAGACTTACAGTATACATATCGTTAAATCATAGTAACATAGTCGAACATTCTTGAGTGCTTTTAGTCAGGCGGTCACAGCTTTCAAACCCGCAAACATAACCAAATAAAGTCTCCCAGTACGGGGTTTTCATAAACAGCCATTCATCAAATCAACGATGGTGTCCTTTACCTTATTAACGGGTATATAATACGAGCTGCCATGTGATCCGCTAAGTGGATCCTTCGTGCTAATGAGGAAGAAGCACCCAAACTGAGCACATATGAAACCAGGCCTTCCTTTCACCTTCGATCAGCTAAGCAAACCAGACCTCTGTTTATGATTGGCAGGGGTTTTCACTTTCTGTTACAAAGGGGATGGTTTTACATTGGCTTCTCTTTTACACTTGTCGAGGCCCTTCCCTACCAGACTGAAACTTTAGGCTTCTCCCTTAGGATCACTGCAGACCAACACAAGTATTTTGATCGTGCCCGTCAAATAACCATATGACGTTCTCGTTAGACTGAGTTAGGCACCAAAACAGATCATTTCTGACGGAAAAGCACAGCAAATGAAGGTATGAGTGAACCAACTATAACACTAAGCAAAGCATATTGGCTAAGCTTTTCGGATCAGTTGGTATTCACGGCGGGCTTTCCTATTTGGCCAAGAGGGGTTGGAGAATAAAGGCTGGGTTCCTCGAGCATTGATCACTGTATCTACGTGACCAAAAACACTCAAGATTGCTCCGAGTATTACGTATTTGCATAACATGCAATAACTATAACAAGAGCGAAAATGGCATCAAATGCCAAAGTCACTGCTGATGAGTCCCGTGTTTGTCTTTCTTCTTTGGTGGCTAAAAGAGACATAAAAATATTCCGTTTCATGAAAAAACATTGCTCATGGACAATAATACATATCATGCAGTTTTCCAAAGGTTGGTTTGCTTATTTTGAAGTTGATTTCGTTTTTATCTATCTGCAAAGAATTTGACAATGAGCTTAGTGAAACGTTCTCAAACAAATCACTTTGCTGCCAATTTTACAAACGCTTGAGAAAGAGGGGGAAAGAGGGAGGAAAAGAGGGAAGTGGAGAGGGATAAATGTATCAGGTATGGTGACCACCATGTTAATCTTTTGTAATAAAATACCTTAAAATTATAAGGATCGTGGATGGGTACAAGTTAATGTATGGAAATGAAGTGGAACAATTTGCGAAGCACGAAAGTGAAGCTGCACTTGACTTCACAAAAGCCAGAAATAGCAGCAGATACAACACAGTGAAAATATTCAATGAGGCTGAAAGGAAAAGAAGTTTAGATTTTGAGAGATTTCAGCTTTAAAGAACAGTAGCTTGTAGAAAAGTGAAAATGGAAAACAAAAACAGGACACGGCTTCTCAGTGACATGGATCTCAACTCAACAGCATATCAGCTGTGACAAAAACCAGCTGTGACAAACTGTGACAAAAAGACAGTTATGGCAGATTACGTGGCTTTATTCCGAACGACAATACTACATAATGCCAAACATAAATCAAAACGGAGAAAGATCATTAAAAATTGTTTGAGTAACAAGTCCTATGTCTTAAAAACGATAAAAACACAAGAAACTTACGGTTCTGTTTCAATGTGAAAAGCACTGTTTCCTCGCCAGCATCGTTTTTCGTTATGCACATGTATGACCCAAATTTCTCCTTCTTGTCAAGCAGCACAACTAGGTTACGAGAGTCAGAAAGCTTCACTTTTTCCTTCAGCCACGTGTAAGCAACCTTCGGGTGCCCTCTTATTGGACAAACGAGCCTTTTCGTCTCACCAATTTTCCCATCAATTTTTGTTTGAGTACCAGATGATTTCTCAATGTCTGCAAAAAATTATTGAAAATCAAGAATATTTAAGGAAAAAATAAGTAAAGCAAAACAAAACGAAAAAGACGTTTTTAGTTTAGCAAAATTGATTTCAAAAACTGCGTCATAAATAAATACTTTTACAAATTGAAGCACCGATAGCTTCATAAAAATGCTCAAAAGAGTTGCTCAACCTACATGTTTTTGTTATCGAAAACGCAATTGTTCGCTTTCCAGCAGGATTGACAGCTTCGCAAGAGTACCCTCCAAAATCATCATCTCTTTTCAACTGAACTCTCAGCTTTTGCCCACTTGATGTTACAACCTTCTTTTCTTTGTACCATGTGTAAAGTGGTTTTGGATGACCAGTTACATTGCATGTTAGTAGAACTTCACTATTTATCTTCTCCAAAAGATCTTGCCTACTTGATGCAACCGACTTTATGTCTAAAAAATAAAGGCATTGGTTAAATACCATTGCAGTATTATTCGTACACCATAAACCAAGTATTTTGTATTCTTATCTTGCAACGACAAAGCAACAATTTAAGGAGCTAAGAAAAGGTGCCTTGAGCAGTGTCAATGAACGTTAAGCTCTTGTCCAAGTGTTGAAAATTCTGAAGCAACATTAAAAATACTTAAGTCATAGAGGAAGGTATTTATCACCAGCATGAGCCGTTGCTCAAGACGATTAACAATACACTTGCATGAGATACAGACAGGACATTGTTTTCTGTTTAGCAAGGATGTAAAAACCAAATGGAATAAAAATGGCCAAATTAGAAGATAGCAAAGAAAAATGGGAAACAAAGAATACAAAATTTTGTTTCGTCTGACATTCCTTAGAGTTTAAAAGTCACATAAACGTATTCAACTAGGTGAGAGGTAAACGGCCGCTGATTCGTCAAAACAAGGAGCCAATAAACACGCTATTCTTCCGCTTACGTTTCTTTGGACTCGTATTAGGATAGAAAATTATGCTTGCCTTTAGTCATCATGTGACGTTTTTATTATGAGCCTGCTCAAATTAAAAGTACCTATAGTCCAGTAGTCTTGGTCTGGCTCTACATTGCGCCCTTATCGACATCAATGAATATGAAGGATAGAGATAAAAAATAACATGAGGGTAACTCAAGACGTTAAGTAAATTGCTTACATAGAACAGATATCTGTTTCTCTATACTACTAGTGCCAGCAATGTTATTTGCCGCACAAGAATATTTCCCAGAAGCTTCGGGCTGTATGTTTGAGAGTATGTACGTAATGTTGTCCTTTGACTTATCGATTTCTAGCCAGCCACCACTTGTGAATCTTTGTAAGACCAAAGTTGGTTCAGGATAACCGCTTGCACCGCAAACCATTGTCAAAGTGGTTCCTACTGTTATGTCTTTATCGCTATGACTCACAGTTAGGGTAGCGACGGGCTTGTCTGTAACAAAAAATAATTGAAATTAATGAAAGAAAGAAACCTGGCAAGGGCATCAACTAGGACAGGAGGAAATAAGGACGGTAACACGCCAAAATCCTAGAAAATGGTATGTAGTTTGAGAAAAGGGTCGAACAGTAACCACTGGAATTGGAAATCGATAAACAAACTAAGATCGAAAGAACTAAGAAAAAGAAGGCAAGCAGAAGAAGGACATATAAAAGAGGGGGTGAAGATTTAGGGAGTTGAATAAAGGAAAAAAGACCAAGAAAAGATGAAACGCTGCATTTACAAGGAAGGAAAGGAGAGAAAAGGGGGATTAGAAACAGGAGAGGTAAAGAAAAAGATAATTGATGCAAGTGGGATGGAGAAGGGGTGAAAAAGGGAGGCATAGACTGAATAGGTTGGAAAAATATGAAAAGGAAAAAAGGTGTAAAAGAAACAAGGAGCACGGAATAAGAAAATAGAGATTGCAAAAAGCGACAGTTAAACAATAAGAATATGAAAAACATTTTCCTCTATGATCACGTTTAAAATCCAGGTTGTGAACTTTATGGCTTCCAAAACAGAAAAACAGTTTAGAAATGCCAAAAATTTATTAACGTGAAGATCTATTGAATTTCAATTGTGTCTTATTCCTTAAATAACTGTTAAATTGCTATCCTACACACAAGATGGTGATGTATAGCCGAATGATTAATCAAACAAATAAGTCAATTTTGGATAATATTTGGTCAGGTTGATACTGGGAGTAGCGTAGGAGTTGGGAGACCTACACTTTTCTGCCAAAAGGTTTTCTGGCTAAAAGCTTTTTCGTCTGACACTCATCAGAGTATAAACGTCTGACGATGGAAGATATATACCCAGCTATGAAATAGGCCAATCAGAAAAACGCAAGCACATGACCGGCATAGTTGTCAATCAGTGCCGCGTGCCTATAGAAAAATTAGCACTGGAGTCGAAGAGAGAAAACGAACTTCTTCTGTCTGCACAATAGCGACTTTTTCGTTTTTATGTAGATCGATTTCAAAACTCTTGATGAAAAGACGGCCGGGCTCTGCCAATTATCTGAAACATGTCGTCATTAAAGATTTTTGCACATTTAGGTTGTCCAAAAGGTATTGTCCGTAGGCAGAATCACTAGTTATTCCTGTGTTTTAGACTTACAAGATCGAGAACGCTGTTCTCTTTGAGGGGCAGTTTTGTTTCTTATGTTGGAAGGAACATGTTGTTTTATCTTATCCCCAGGTCATCTAAGGATATTTTTTATAGATTTAATGTACCTAAACCCGGCCAAAAATCAAATAAAAGAAAATAACGTTTCTCATTACTTAGTCCCAGAGAGGACACCAGATCCAAAGAAGAGAAGTCAAAATTCGAATTGTTCCCTAACAGCATGTCCCCAGAGCCCCCTAGGATAGCACGTCTTGTGTACCCTTTCTTATTACCCCTCCTCCCACTTCGGTATACCCCTACCCTCTAGTACACTGGCCGTGTATTTTGGAACTTAATTAACATCGGTTAACCATGTGTAAACTCATGCGGGAAATGGGGCAATGGAAAAAGTTAACCAAGTCTCAGGTGAGATCTTTCTAATTTACACAGTGCAAATCAGGTATCAAACGGGTATAAGAAACTCTCTTTGAAAATATTAGACCCATTAATGTCATATTTCACAAAGATTGATTGTCCCAATATATTTATATATATTTATCAAATATATTCTTCCGTAGAAGAGACTATTTAGCGAAGGCCCCTGGGTCCTTAGCATGAAATTAGTTTGCTGCGAACAACCAGAAAGCAATGGCAATAGATTAACAGTTTCAATCCTAATTACTTTTGCTCATGCCATGCAATGCCCCCCGTAGCCCCCCTTTTTTGCGACACCCCTGATCCTAGTTACTTTTGCTCATGCCAGGAACAAATGGTTGCAAGAGCAAGAATGACACGCCATAAAGATCAAACAACTTACATTTCACTGTCACAACGACTTCTTTTCTCACAACACTGGCAACGTTTTCTGCAATGCATATATACTTGCCACTGTCTGATGCTTTCAGCTGTGCCACAGAGAAAGTGGCGTTTAGCAGTCCACTAGTCAAAGTGATTGGCACAGTACTAGTCTCTTTCTTTATAGTAACACGAGGATCAGGATACCCCCTTGCAGCACATGCCATTTCTAGAGCGCCTCCCGCTGTACTATTTCCATTGCTGTTTCTTACATTAAAATCGATTATCGGAGGACCTGCAGGGCACAAAACAAAATGTAAGCATTTGGGAAAAAACAGAATTATTCATGACCAGGGACACCCTGTTCTAAATTTTATCACCCTTGCTCATAGGCTTATCCTGCTGATTCTATTCTAGCTAAATTTACAATTTATTGGTCAACGGTTAGCTTTTATTAATATGTCTTTGACGTGAAAAGGGACACGTTTATAGAAAAGGGATTCTTTTGTTGGATAAGGATAATAGCTTGGAGGTATGGTCAGTGTGATCCAATGCATCCTTGGTATACCAATACAATACCGTATATTTTGGCCTAGATCGGGGTTCTGTATCATGTATATACGGTATAAAAATCACAAGTCAGGCTTTCACATGCCCCAGTCTTTTTAGGGTTTTAAATCTAACAAGGAAATAGGTAGGCCCTGTAAGTAATAGAAAGTAAATTTGCTGTAAATCTCCCAATGAATAAAAATTTGATCCAACAAACAGATTCTTAGTAAAAGCAAAACAGATTAGTTTAAAAAAAGGGAAGGGTGAAGAAATGTTGATAAACTAAAATTTAGATAAAAAATTATCAAAAAAAAATTTCAAATTACTTGAGAAAAATTTGGGTTGTTTATCAAAAGTCTACAGGACAAAGACAAGGAGAGTGAGAAGGCACAACGTGCATTCATTCAGCCTCTCTTCTTGAGGTGTTATTTGATTAAAATCGAAAGGATGGCTTTAAATGTAAGCATGGGTTACATCGATGTTAATGTAAGAAACATCGCGTGACCAACTTTGTGTTTACAATTAAAGAGACAAAGTACATCCAACAGAATTAAACGGATCACTGCTGGCGAAGTTTCGTTAGCCTATTTAATCTACTAGCCTGCGTGCAGACTCTTATCTACCAAATCTTTTACATTTACAAGCTTTTATAGCAGTATAAAAGTTTGGTTAGATGGCATGGGAGGTTATGAAATTTAGTTTGAAATTTCTATTGCAAACGAGAACTGGTTATTAAATACTGTCTCGTGGAAATTATATTGATTTTTATAGCAATTTACTAGAGACGTTACGTTGTTTGAAAATTGACGTTATCAAGGCTTGCTTCTATCACGCATAGACTAATGGCAATCACACTTTTCTCCTTTAATAAGGAAAGTAAACTATAACAAAAAGTATTCAACCAAGAGTACAATACTAACAAACAATAAAACGCAAATCAGAGTAGCTTTGAAAATAAAAACATTTAGCGAAAAAGATTTATAATAAATATACTTTTTGCCTATATTAGTGGTTAAATTACATTTTAGTGAAAAACCATAATATGGGTATGTCAGAATTTAATATTTTGTGTTTGGATAAATATTTTTATGGGAATTTGTTGCTGCCAAGCAAACGATGGTTAAATATTTATGTGAACACGTGCTAGACAACAAATTTTAGACGCTCTCTATTTAACTACAGTATTTATTCAAAGGCTAGAATATCAGTTTGAAAAAAGAAGTGGATCGTCAGTAGGGTTTTAAGGTTGATGTAAGAATCTATGTAAAACAGCACTGTCAAAACATGATACTGTTTTAGTCTAACTTAACATTTCAATGGCACAGTAGAGAGGATGAAATAAAGAAGAATCAGGTCAAAGAAAGAGCCTTGTGAACCATCACTTTTTGAAAAGTCACATTTCAATATGTCCTTGTAAGAATAGAGGTCCTTGCATTTTCTCTGTATTGAGTAAGTGTTTCTGTTCGCTTCATATCCAAACACTATGAAAATCAATTTAATTTTTGCCGGTATGTTATGATTGCCTGCAGGAGCATACAAAACGTCGCCAACCAGCAGTTTGCTACGTCATTCATTACGATCCAATCTTCTATAGGGTTTCGTCTTCTACTTCACGGGGTCTCAACTCAAATGTTTTCAAAGGAAACGTATTGTCTGATGGAAATGAATGGATTGCATATGGATGAATTATCTTAAAGAAACTAAAGACCAGTTATAAGATGCGTTTTCTATTTTGCATTGATCTATGATGATATTACGTCATTTCAATGTAGGTACTAAATGATACTGTAAAGTAATGCATTACCCATTAAAAATGGCCCTTTTTAAAACAAACGCTTTTTCCAAAATTCGTACTCCCTAACCTGCAATTATCACCAAATCATATAAAATTCCATAATGCTGTATTTCTTATTCCTTTAAAAGATGTTTCAGAAATGATTTATGTCAACTTCTGGCAAAATGGAAGTCTGTAATATTAGGACGTCTTAATACGTCAACCTCAGTTACAATAACAGTAGAACACAAATACAAAGCAAGTATGGTGCAGGGTTATGTAAAGAGAAGAATAAAGTAAAACAAATTGAAGATTCTGTTTATAACAGCATATCAACATGGCTGAGACGGAACCGCCTTTTCATTGATGTACATGCGCTCTGCAGAATAATCTTTTAGCAATCTTAAGTCTAAAAACGAGCATGGTTCCTTGACCCAAATCCAAGCCACCTGCCAGACAAAACTCGAAAACAAAAGAATCAGACATGAGGTCTGCTGATGCAATGGATTTCAGATAAACTTTTCATAATCGTCAGAAGCTATATTGAATTGATACGTAAAAAATTCAATAATAAAACATTTGCATAGCGTTTTTGAGTTTCCAAGACGAAAATAAGCAGTTTAAAACAATCAGGAAGATAGAAAAAGCTGTGATCGGCCGATAGCGGGTAACAGTTACAGTAGAATTTTTATTGAAGCCGGCCTCAGCTTCCGCAATCTCTTAACAAACACGAAAACCTGCCAATAACAATGCCTAGGATATGTCACCAGGAAACAAGTAATCATCATTAAACTCCAGGAAATTTGATTGACACTTCCTGCCTTCAAGGAAATTCGAAACTTCTTAGTAGCAGCTATAATGTTGAATTTCAAAGCAAGCATTAATGGGAATATATAATGGGTTAACCAGAAAAGCTTCAAGAAATGTTTTTTTAATACTTCATTTTAGTTTTACTTATATTTTGAAAACTTGTCAGATTCCAAAGAGGCAGAGCCCATTCCTTAGATGCACAGTCCTCAGACAGACAAAATCAAATCAAGGGTATTCTTTAGATTGGCATAGACACTTGTAGTGATAAATTATTTACTCAATTTGTAGCGCTGTCAATTTCCATAATATCCCTTAGCTTTATATTGCTACATTACATCATGCTTACTCAGCCACTCTCGTTTCTCAGGCTAGATCTTTCCATCTCCATTAAATCACATCCCACAACCTCACACATCCTTTGTAAGTAAATTTATCTTTAGAGTAAATAGGTTAGTAAGATTAAATTTGGAGTCGAAGCAGACAGAACTCGATATTTCTCGACGTGTGTTCTCGAGCAACAATAACAGGTGAGATCCTTCTCTTTTATTTATTTTGTTACAAGTTTTTGACTGAGCATAGATCTGCAAAATTGGAAAACACGAGGTTATTAATGATTTTCAAACACTGATATTTACACCTTGTGGATACCTGGTTCTACGAGGTAAACATCTGAGTCTTCAACAAGAGCTGACTGGCTCTTTCAATAATTAAAACTGCCATCTTAGATGCCATCTAAACTTATCATCTAAAAGCCATCTTAGAATCTATTCAACTAGATCTATTTCCATTCATTCAGACTTCATAAATTTAAACCAAAAACTTTATAGCATAGGTAGCAAGATTTCTTGACAAGAGAGTCCGATGTTACTTATTGAATAACATCCGTTTCATGTATAACATTGAATCTTGAAATTAAAGCCTAATTATTCCTTGCCTGATTTTTATGCCTGGCTTTTATAAAGTTTGAAAGCTTTTCAATTAACATAAAAGAAAAGTTTACATAATTTTTCAGCAAAAAAACTAACTGCAAAAGTACAAAGATTACATATAAAAATATTAATATTCGGAAAAGATGAGCAAATAAAGTAATTTAGCTTAAATATCAATTAAATGATAACACTTTTTTTATTTCAAGGAACATTTTTCCAAAGTTAGTTCAATTTATCTTGTTTATTGTAATACTTCTAAGAATATGAAATATTGGGTCTCCAGTACCATTACATTGAAAATTGATTAGATTTGTTTAGATTTGCTGCATGCATATAAAAAGGGTAACAAAAACGTACCATAACACTGAACACAAAATTTTACAATGATCGCCAAATATCAAACAAGAAATTGGAAACATAAAAATCAACTTACTGGCAATTTTGACATTGACTTCCTTTTCTAATGCCGTGCTCCACATGCCCCTGTTTACTCTGCAAGTAAAGGCAAATGACTCTATATCCTTTGGCACAGATAATATCGATAGCTGGAAAGCCTTGCTTCCCTCGTTTGTTAATTCAGTGTTGTTTTGAAAAAGACCTGCATCAATTTTGTTCTTTGTAGCAGTGCCGCTTTCATATTTAATGCTCCAAATCTTTTTCAGTTCTATTACAGGCCCAATTTCTCTTACATATATTGAAACTTCAAGCGGTGTCTTTTCAGATTGATAAGTCCATCTGATAGTTAAACTTTTCAACACTACAGCAATAACAGGACTGTTTGCTGCAGAGAGCGTGTCACTCTTTGTTGACTGTATTTGAAAGGCCAACATTGCCATGAATACTAGAAAAGGATATGAATGATGATAAATTCAAAAATTAAATTAACTTCTAAATGATATTGTAGGTTGAGTTTGTCATAGTGAAATAAAAAAGACCTACAGGACCAATTGCAATTCTATTTAAATATTTTGTGATTTGGGATCCTTATAAAACTTGTTTAGCTTTCAAAAAGATATATACCATACTAGGAAACAACATGCCATAACTAGAATGTAAATATGAGACTATATTCTTATTATGTTTTTGGCAAAATGTGTCATATCATGTTTGGCATTCTCAATATCATGTCTTACTTATAGGTGATATCATATGGATCTTGCTTTTCATAGAATATTAAATTTGATGTAATAAAATGGTTGTTCAAAGTCTTTTAGAGCAATATATAATAGAAAGCTAAACATATTAACTAAATTGCTAGATGAAAGATCAAGGTAGATTTTATTGCTAGATGAAGATCAGCAGCAATAAGGCAAATTAACCTATTTGTCAGGTTCAGCTCTAAGCCAAGCCTGTTGTTTAAAGGGGCTGTGTCATGGTTTTGTAAACAAACCAGATACACCGGACACTATGCGTTTTTAGCCTGACTTGCACATCGAGATAATTGCAGATGGTGCTCCAGTGCATCGATAAGCTCGATAAATTGTATTTTCTGAATGTATTTACCGAACATGGAATGGACAATTGCTATATCTCAGGATATGTACTCACTATCAAAACTTAAAGTGTATGTTAATTTGGTCTAGGCTAAGGAAATGAAGCTTCATTCAATCGTGGCAAAGATATTCCTTTTGTCTTGGTGAATTTAGATGGAATTAGACATTCTACAACAAAATGATTACTAAAAATTTGTCCAGCAAACTTAAATAATATTTTTCACTCATAATATTCATCGACAAGGTGGATTTTTTGGTGTCATTCTGGCCAATTTCTATAAACAGCTCCCAGGGAGTTGCAGTATCCTAGCCGTAAAAGTGGCCTTTGTTTTTTTGTATCACCATCCTTTATCCAAAGAAATATGGTGATAAGACTGAAGAAAGAACCATTATTATTTGTTTCCTTTCATAAAACACCCAAAAATGCAAAAGGTTTGCACAATGAGCACGGATACAAAAAACTGTTTTATTCCTTACTGTTTTCCTATTGAATGCAGGTTGTTTCACCCAAACAACTTTCACAAACTAGCCTGTTGCCACGTGGGATGTCCCTTGTGACACAGCCCCTTTAAGGTGGGCAATCGTGGAGGCCCACCCTGCAAGATTATTGGCAAGGGCTTTCCACTGCCCATGCAAAAACTTGTGTCTGCCACAAGAGACAGGAAGAGCATTCCTGAGTCAAATGTAAATCCTGACATTCCTGAGTCAAAAGTCAAGTTGATAGTGATAACAAAGCATTATTGCTTGCTTATTCATGTTATGTCAAATAGTTGAAAATTGGTCGTAATCATACATTTAGAAATCAAAGGGTGAGGGGTAATCATGCATTTATGAAACAAAGGCTAGGCAATTTTGGGCAGTTAATACCATAAATCCTCAGACCCTGGAGGGACTTCTCCTATAGCAAATATTGTTGAACGGGAGATACAAAGTACAAATTGAATTGTAAATCTTCTGTCTCTGATTCAAGAGACTCCAATTATAGTCACGTTAATTTTTTACCGAAAAGTGTGACTATAAGCAGAATGTGACATTAAGCAGAGTTACCTTAAAATACTTTAAGTGGCAGGAATCAGTTGTTGCTTAAGAAACTGTTTTCAAGCATTTCAACACAATAATATTCAATGTTGCCTGACCTCCAAAAACGATAATATATAGCCCTGATAATATAAAGGTTGCATGCTCTATGAAAGGTAACTTTGTATAATATTGGTAGGAAGTACAATATTGTATGTGATAGCATTTAATATTAAAGTTTTAATAATTCTTATGGTCTACAGTGGGGAAATGATAAAAAAATAGAGGAAAATGTGAACAGGAAAATGCAAAAACAGAAAAACTAAATTTTGTTGGTAAGAATGCTGAATATAAGAATTTATTGAATATGTGAATGTTCAGGAAGGAAAAAATTGTAACTATAAAATAGTGAGATTAAAAGGGGAGTGGCTGTAAGAGGAGTTTGCTGATAAGGGTTTGACCGGAGCTAAATTTGGGAATCAGCAATATTGTGACAATAACCAGAGAATGACTGTAAGTGGAGTGCCAATAAGCAGAGTCAACTGTAGCTTCTTAACTGCATACTTTTGTAAGTTACTGATCAAATATAAATAATTATCTTATAGTTCCTGAGAATAGTTGATTTGGAATTGTTGAAATGTTGATTATTGTCACAACATTAATAATAGCTAGAGCTTATTATATGGGGCCATTAAAAATGATATCATGCTAAATTTTATCAACTTTGACCCCTTCTTGTCATGCCCTCACAAAATTTTCCTTCTGGCACCCTTTCCCTTTTCAGGACATCATAAAAAACAGAAAGACGATAGAAAAAAGACAATTTGACGAAACTTGACAAAAAATCAAGTTATTCATAACTGGACACAGTTTATTTTGGTTTTCGTTGTATATTCAACAGAGCTGTCTTCCATTTTAAGAATTTTCTAATTTGAAGATCATCTTCTTAATCTTTATGTTTGGGATTGGTTGCCTTAAAGTTTTTTCCAAACCTTTCTAACCTTGTAATTAAGTACTTCTCTATTTTTCTTTGGGAAAGACTATGTTGATGTTATTATCCTATTTTCAATGAAATCATTAGAAGACGGCAAGAGAAAACAATTCTTTTAAATGGTTACATAAGAGGAAACTGCGCGAAAAATGTGGAGAAACTGCGACATGTTATTCTTTGTTGTGAAGGGCGGCGACGCCTCTAATGGGAATGCTAAACTTTCTGGCGAAGGTGAAAGTTGCAATATTGACGCATTTTCAAAAGAAACCTTCACACAATGAAGAACGTTCTCAAGTAGGCATATTTGTGTTGGTGACGGGATGGCCTTAAGCCCTCTTTAGCACATCAAGTACATCAAATAATAGGCAATGTTTTAAGTTCTACGATTATGAAGGAGTCTTAATATATCTTTATTTTAAATCTATATTGCTCAAAGAATAATAATGAAAAACAGTTTCAAAACAGTTCGAAGATTATTAGGCCGGGAATTCCCAATAATGGCGTTAAAATGGAAACATCCATGTTATTGCCGAAGTTTATTGATTGCATCTTAGAATTAGACAAAACGGGAATTTCCCGAAGCATAATATGACCAAAACACGGCAAACAGGCTGTCCTTGAGGGGCAGGATGATTAAGGACAGCCTGAAACCAGTAGAACAAAGAAAGCTACATAAAGGTCTATCGAAGTCGGTTTGTAAGACCATATTGGTAACGTACGCAACCATATTGGTAACGTTTGAGTAACGTGCTGTACTATGAGTAACGTGCTGTACGTAACTTACATACATTAACAAAATCAAGAAATGTGAATACTTACAAAACATTTGTAAACTTTCAACGAATCCGGCCATTTTTCATCAGTGAATAACTCCACCTAGAATAACAAAGTTTCCAATACTGCAATATACTTCTCACATTCCACAAAAACAGACGGTCGTTCGATATTTAGTCGTTATCGATATTTCATGAGAAAACGAAACAGGTAATTGTAGTCTCAATATAGCTGCTTCTAATCGTCATTTCTAGGAACTTTCGTAACAGACTTGCTTAAATTGAAAACAACAGTTGTAAGCGGAGCGCGGTCGGGTACACATAAATATTGAATTGCATTGTTCGTAGCCAATATAAACATTGGACTGGACAAAGTTATTGTCCAGATGGAATTTTGCAAATCCTTTTATAGCTCTTCTCTAGTTAGTTTAAATTCAGTCATAAACATTAATGTTTCGTGAATTTTTAACTATGGGAAAACCAAGATACTTTTTCATAACCTTGATTGCGTACTTAAATTCAAAATATTAAGAGTTTGCGTTTAGGAACCTAATATTTTAAATTTAGCTTTCACCTTTGTAATTAAGCTACATACAATAACAAAATACAATGAAAATGACAATATCTGGAAGATGAATTTTTTCTATAATTTATTCTTTGCTTTATATCGCGTAATTTTAGAGCAAATGAATAAATCGTACGTTTTTTTCTTCCATATTTCAACATAAGATATCAAACACACCCATCATTAAATATTAATGAAAGTAAGCCTTGGTTAATACAGCACCAAGACAGGTGGCCTAGCAGGTGAATAAATCTTGAAAGCAGCTATAGACAGACCCCGCCATCAATGAACTAGCAGCGAGATTCAATTGATAAATCAATTCAAAAGGATTTTCTATCAAAGATCAACGCCCAGTTTTCCCAGTGTCTAGGCCAGGCCAGGCAGTGCACAAGATTGTTATTAAAATTTAAATTAAATTACTGCAGATGTAAACGACGATTGCCCTAATTGTTATTTGATATTTTTTATTTCAACTTGATTCAGTACTTCTTGCTGCAAAAAGTATTCTTTTCTCTTCCTGGAAAAACATGTTAATTAATACACATATAGATATACCTTTTTACCCGAAAATGCGCTTTAAGCTAAAGTAGCTACGCAGCGTTACCGACATCCTGATTGAGGATAGCGTCTCAAAGCCCGTCTTTCCGAAACAACTCCTCTTCAGGGTTTTTATGTACGCTGGCCTTCTTAGCTACTCGAGGACTGCTTAAATTCTTCTTACGGTCTGTCTCCGTAAATCTCGTCCTCGTCAGACTCCATCGAACAATAAAATAGACCGACGTAAACTTTTCTAAAAAATCACCCTTTTGTAGATATCTAAATTCGTCGCAGCCATTCGGTTACAGCCGACAACAGAACTTTATTTGTAGCATAAGCCACAGCCAGGAAGGACTCAATCTTATAGCAAAAAATTCTGGGCAGCCAAAAATATCATGGCAAATGTGAAAAACCTTTGAATATCTGCCTCCACTTTCTGTTGCAAACAGACCCAAAAAATTTAAATTTCGTGATGAGCTGTGTACAATCAGTACCAAGATGAAGGAAAAAATTCTTTATTTTAACACTTGGTAAACCAAATTCAACTATAGGCAGAAAACATTGCAATAAGACATTTAGAAAAACGAAATTGTTAACGTATCTTTCCCCTAAAACCTCTTCTTACTTACTTCAAAATATTCAATTTTATTAAAGTTAACCCCTACAATATTGGACCGATCCCGGTGCACCACGGGTCTCTGCTTGTGGTTTTTCTTCGAATTGGTTCTTTCGCGATATCTGAATATCTTTCAGTTAACCTTCGTTTTAAGGATTCATTAGTTTTGGTACAAAGAAAACTGAAACTTAAATATTTTTGCTTGTTAGAACGGAATACGGGCATGATCAATCAGGGACACAAATCACTGTCGGCGTGAATGCTGGGCTGGTAACATAAAATTCGATAAATCTAAAAGTATCGCCCGCATCCAAAGCGAGTTCAATTCTTTATCCTCCAACGGGACAATTCTTTATCTTCCAACGGGAGGCTAGCATGCACCGATGGGGGCAATAGCCCCCAAGCCCTCCCTTAGCGCCACCCCTACAAGCTTGACAAACGTTTTAAAATAAATGCTGCCAAGAAGTGAAATTATACAATTATCAGCAGATGTCTCTTCTAAACTACAATTCCGTTAGAAACTACAATTACTTTGACAACTCATACATCCTCCAAAATTTGTGTAATGGACAGAGGCGGAATGGCGGGAGGCATGGGGGTTGAAAACCCCACAAGAGAACCAATTTTGTGGCAATATTTCGAATATTTTGCTACTTTGCTGGGTTTCTAGAAAATTACTTACTACCTTAACCACCCGCCCAAGCTCCAAAAAAATTAAACTCCCACTGCACCCCTGGCAAAAGAGCAATGTTGTAGCTAAATTAGAAAAAGAGCTAAACTTCCAGCAAAGACACTTTTTGATTGACTGAGTCATAAATATTGTGCTAAATTTATTTTACAACAATTTCTCTTATTTCAAATACAGTTTTGTTCAAGCGAATTTGCCTTCTGTTGTCTTTTATGGGCCAAACCCCTGATGGGTGCATAGTGGCATAGTGGTATACAGTGGGAGATATATAGGCACTATAATCAATAAATCTAGCCCTAGCAGCCAGTGTACATTAACTTTTTAACAACATCTTCTAATGAATGAGCTAATTACATATAGAGTAAATAAGTATTAAAATAAGAATTAACTTAAGAATTAAGAGTTGCTATTTCTTCTGATATCAATTGACAGAATATTCTGATAATTTTCATCACCTCGACAAATCGCAAATACAGGAGAAAGTAAGCTTTCATTGACAGATTGAGTAATCTTTAATTAACAAAAGTCATTAAAACTTTCAAGGTTCCCATATAAGGGGGAAGTTTTGAAACAAGCTGAATTTTATTGCAAACTTACCTTAAAGAAGATTCGTGTTGTTTTCTAGAACATTGACATAAACCAAAAGTTATGGGTAACCTCACGCTTAATACAGCCAGAAAAGTACAATAATAGGCATTAAACTCCAGCATAAAACTAAAAACTAAACAAGAAATAAGAAACTTTAATGTTTATTGGTAGAGAACGGATAATCTTAAGAAGATACATACCAACTCAACTGGTTGAGAAGTGCAACTCGTACAAGAAGTTTGAGAGCTTAGCTTTTGTTTGGTTGTACTTCCCTATTTCTTGGAATTTGTATGACGTCGACAGATTTATACAGCCCATACAGTTAAAACCCGCATTTACGGAACTCACTGTACAGATTATGTAAGATATTTGATCAAAACTTAGACTTTTTATCATAAATTGTATTTTGGATTCATTTTATAGCAATTTGTATATATTATGTTAAAAAATATGGCCTTAATTTGCATTTAAGCTTTATATTTCAACTGCCAATTTTAAATCAAAGATTTAATAATAAAAGTCACTCATAATAAACTGCAGCAAGGCTTTCAAAGTTATGAATCAAAACATACAACTTCTTTGGTTTAGCCTGAATATTTTTCAATTTCTTATAAATGCTTATCTATAACAAAAGCTCGTCAAATAAAATAAATTTTAGAAGCAGTGGGGGAGCTGTGCGGTGTTAGAAGACTGTTTGTCCGGGGAATTAGAAACAGTGCTGTATTGCGATTTTCATTTCAACTTATAGAATATATGTCAAAATGTATGATTCCAATTATTTTCCTGGCTTATCCTGTCATTTCCCTTACCTTATAATAAACTTGTCTTTATAAAAAATCGCATATTCCTTTTATAAGAAACTGTACAGTCTGATCCGAAAAAACTAATTTCTTATATGCAGGTTTTCACTGTACAACACATAGCTAACTTAATACTACTAAGTACATAGCAACTGTGTCAACATAATATCTTTTAATCAAATAACACCCACTCGTGAAGTGCTGTTTAAAGATTTAATTATTGCCTGATTCACTTGTTGTACTGCGTTTGAAATCTCGTCCTTCAAACTCCCATAATCACTTTCTGCCTTCTTTTGAGCAATATCTTGTTATGAGTCAAGGAAACAAACAGTCTCTAAATACTTAGCATCTATAGGCCATTTACAAGCTAATTGATGGATTTATTGGTCGTTCAAGGATAATAAAAGCAGGGATATGTCACAGTATTATTACAATGGTCCGGTAATTAAGCTGATTCAATATCAGTTTCATCATAGTCAAAGGACAAAGCACTTTCTTGTGACTATGGTTTCATAAGTATTTTTAAGCCGTACTAAGCTTAATCAAGCAAAGTGGGTGAAACCGATATAGTTCCAAAGGTGTAATGAGTATTTTTAGAATTTTAAACTTCTTACCACACAACCACCCCTTGAGATAACATCTTGAAATATACCCCGGCTGCCAGTGTTTCAGAATATCAAAGGATGAAATAAGGGGGAAGTGAACTGCGAATGGGTACTTGAAATTCCATTAAAAGTGCAAAACCACTCGCATTGACTGCTCTATGAACCTACCTGATTGTTGAAAATAAATTTGTTTTGACCGTACATTTTACCGTACATATGGCAAAATTACAGTTGACTTGACGGGAGCCATATCAACACGGATTATGTGGAGGTAATTTCTGGTTCTACTATAGGTTATCCTTCCCGGATTAAAAAATTCTGGAATAAGATTTTTATGACATCATCACGTTATCTTTGACCCAGACTCCCCGCAGTCAAGTATTTGTATACGAAATGGTGCAAACAGTGTACCAGTGTATACACTGGAATTTTGCAGCAAGAGCACTGAATCCGACAACGCTAGAACCCAGGTTCCCGAGGCAATACTGTTAGCTTGTGTCAGTGGTGGCGCCAGGGGAGGGCTAGGGGGGCTACAGCCCCTCCGTCGGAAGCATCTAGCCCCCCATCGGAGGAAATTTTAGGTTATTGTCGGAGCAAATTTGACAAAATAACGTACGAAAACTGCTTATTTTAGTCATTTTAGCCCCCCTGTCGGAAGCTCCAACCCCTCTGTCGGAAGATTTATGGCGCCACCACTGGCTTGTGTGCTACCAAGGATGTCATAGTTGATCATGAGAGGAAGGCGTCGAGGAAGGCAATTTCACTCCACGGAAATATCGATCATTTAAACTATTAGATAGAGGATTCTTTCAGCCACTTCCCTATCGGAAACATGCTATGAGTTCCATCTGACAACAACATCAAGAACGCAAGAGCTTCAGATTATCAAAAAAAATTAGAACATCGAGACTCGGCAAAAATTATCTGGCTCTTATAGAAAGAGTGTAGTTGCATTCAAAATTGGAAAACGGTAGCTTGAAATGAACCTCTGAAAAAATCACAAATTCCTGGAGTTAAAGCTGAGAACTAACCAATATTTGTTTACAGACATGCCCCGTCCGAAAAGTTTTTTCTGCAAACCTATCATGGTATGAAACCAAAAAGTATACAAACCAAGAAGTGGAACTTCTTGATCCACGTGACACATTACCGGCGTCAAAATCGATCATCCAACACGACAGATCTTTATATAAGTTGCTTTGAGTGCGCTGCTACACCAACCCCATCCCACCCCACACCCATAACCCCACACCCCCCACACTTTCCCTTCCAAGATCAGCCTTATTCAGTGACATCATTGAATCTGTGGGCAATTACTGATTTAAGACTGACGGAAACTGGTTTCTTGAAAATAAAAATCTGCGGAATTCCCCATAATGATAAAGAAAGCCAGCACTTTTGACCAACGCGACCATACTAAATATTCGAAATAACTGGAACTTTGAAAGTATACCACGCGGAAGGGTGGAAATATCCGATGAAAGAAAGATGGATTTAAAAAGTCACGATAGTTGTGCCGTCTCAGGATTTGCTGTAATGTCACAAGGATGTGAGAAGAATAAACGGGATGTCATACGCATTGAATTGCATAGCCAGTTTGGCCTGTCATGCGCTTTTATGACATCACTGGCACTTTCAATGCAACTCAAAGGGAAATGTACTGTTTAGAGCGGTAAAAAGAAGTACAGAGAATAAGAAAGAGATCAGTAGGGCAAAGCGAATTAGAAAAACCACAATCCCTACTTTCTTTCCATTGCGACATTTTGAATCGCATATCATTATAAATTTAGGCCTTTCACAGGATGACTAAACGCACAGAATCATTCCGTTTATTATGCTTTAACTTCCTATTTCCAGAGCAACTGGATAAACCTTTCTGGCTTTATAATTATTTCCATTCTAGATCTCGAATTCATAACTGAGTCAAACCATTGGAACCATCTCAAAACAGATCTCTCCCCAAAAAGCTCTCAGACAATACCCACTAAAAGCCTTGGTACACTAAGCTAAATTCTTGTTTTGGTATCCCTCTCTTCCCTTTTGAGAATTGTTGTTTTACATAATATTTAGAGCTTCGGTGTTGTACAGTTGTTTTCTGTCAGATAGCTACCTTGAAAATAAATCAAAATTAAAATTAGAAACATATTAGGGTTTTTGCTTGATTTTTTACGATCTGATAGTAAGGTAAAAATACTAGAGTTTTGACCTATAACTTTGAGAGTTCCCCTATTAATTTTCAATCCAGAGCAATTTTTTTATATAAATAACTGCATGCGGTAACATCCACCACCGAAAGATAGAATTATTGAAGGTGCGCCATTGTTTGGAAACGTTAGGGAGAAAAGGGATTGTTCATTGGAAAGAAAAATTTTTCGTGATTTTTTGGTGCTCGTGCCCCCCCCCCCTTACAAAAATTGAAGCTAATGTCCTTACATACCAGGGAACTACCCTGATGCTATAATATATAGTACAACACTTGCTTCCACGAAGAAGGTACTCGCAAAATCATAATTTCCTGGTCCGCTCTAGCCCCGTGTACAGGCTCGTATGCTTTGCAGCTTTCAACGTCCTACCCTGGGTACAAGAGCCTCAAGAAACCGTGGATCCAATCCTCACTCAAATAAATATTTCTGTGATTAGTTTCAAATTAGATTTCTGAGACTAAATAAAGGAGACTCCGAGACCCGGGGTAACAACAACGTCCATCAAACCGAACCCCTACACAACAACGCTCAGCATCTTCTGCTTGCAAAACCAAAAAGTAGAAAAAAGCACAAATGAATTAAGCTCAAGAGTTTGAGAATTAAGCTCTCTGAAAGTAATCTAAAAGTGAGCAAGTCGACAATTTTTTATAGTTGTAGTAAGGTGAAACGTTTAGAATCACAGCTATTTTGCACTGTAAACGTTCCTGTAAAATTGAGGAAAGTGCAACATGTCTTCCGAAGCAGTTCGAGTCGCCTTTAAGGCAAACTGACATTTTTTATCTCCTTCTTGAAACAAACGTGCAAAAATATAGACTTGAAAGGATACATTCCTTCATTGCAAAATTATTTTGCTCCAGGTGCTGCCATTTTCTTTCCAAGTTGCCAAGCTAGGGTAAACAAAAAGAAATCAATTAATCATATTTTAGTCAATGTGCGAAAAGTGTTGTGAGGCTGAAATATAATATAGAACTTTGAATTTAGAAATAGGTATAAATGAAAAAAAATGCAACGAAAAACTGAATTTCATAGCCTTATTAAAATATAAAAATTTAGGAATTTTACAGAAATGCCAATGTAACAGACATGAAATATGGTATTGGGATACCGAGTTGAAGATGATATAATGCTGATGAAAGTAAAGGGTAAAGGTAAGTTAAGGAGAATCTACTGGAGAAGAGAAATGGTTGTTAGAAACTATGCAGTGGCAGGGTGAGTAAAATTTCGGAGCATCGAGTTATTGGCTTTTTCTCTTCTTTTTTTATACTAAAAGTAATCAATAGTGAGGAAAATTTTCCGGTTCATGTGGAATTTTTTAGTTGGTTCTCAGTTGCTTCTCAACCCCCATTATTGCTTCTCAACCCCCATTATGACCTTCCAGACTAGGGGGGGGGGATGGAGGGTCATGTAATATAAAAGTTTACCGACGAAGACATAGATGGAGAAGAATTTAGGTACTATTTCACCTACTAATAGCTGATTTTCCGACAAACTAAAGGTTTTGTAGACAAGCTGAAGATTTACCGACGAATTCATGAGGAATTGGGGGTGGGGGATGTGTTACACCCCCTACATCCCCCGTTAGCTACGCCCCTGATTGATATTTCCAAGAAACACGCCAAGATGTTATGTAACTGCAAATGACTCACTCATATGTAATCTCGAAAAAGCTGTGTTTGCTTTAGAACTAGTTTTTTCATTCAATATAATCTGTTTTATTTTATTAAGACCGTGGTATTGTGAATATATTTACCTCATTCCGTCATTCAATAAGGCCCACCTGCTCCTTATATAGCCTTCTTTTATCACACAATGAACAGGGTCTGCGCAATAATATATACAGTACATCTCGATTAGGGCTGTCAAATTCCTTTAATTTGAAAGTATTGCTTTTTGTCGGCTCAGCTTGTGAACAAATTATTTTTATAAGACCATTAGTTTTGTATGCGACATCGTGACAGATACACCTCCTATCATCAGGACACATTGTGCCTTTTTAAACTCAGGTATTTAATAACTATAGTGGACTTTGAAGAGCCCTATATATCTAGCTTACTCCTCTGACGTTGCACAGGGCAGGTACTTTATCTCTGCCAGAAAACAAGGCATATTCCCAGCCAGTCAAAATAATGCTGCCTGCGGTCTCTCTCAAAGCGCCATGGGATATTCCCTGTCTTAACGGAATTTGCAGATGGATAGTGCAATAGTATCCGCCAATTCACGGTTGATCTATATGCCCGGCCCATTCAAGCCTGCCTGGTCTTAATTCAAAAGTCCAAGACTATCATTTTCGTTCATAAAACGTATAACCCGTAAGCAAACAAACATCCTAGAATTTCAGAAACCAGTCAGCAGATTTGTAATAGCACCCATAAACACTACAAAGCCCGGTGGCCAGTACCCCTGGTTACTTTAACGTTAAATGGTATTCCCATTGATGAATCAACTATTCAAATAACACAAGTTTTATTCATTAGAAAAGGAATTTGCTCAAAAAATTAAATTTTTATATGCAGTTACAATAAGTTTAAAGAATTTGAGCAGCAACTGACGACTAAATCAAATTATTCGTCGCAAAAGGTAAATTAAAAGAAAGGGAATTCCGAAACCCAAATATTTCGTACTTCTTATATATATAAAGGCCAAGATTACAGCTTAGATGAAGAGCGTTCAGCGACTGATTAAAAGGCTTGCAAAAAAGAGGTAATACTTTGAATTGGTAAATAAACCGAGAATGAAGCAAAGACGAGCAGCTGTTTAAGACTCAGATCCTTCCGCTATTTTCAATACATCTTTAAAGTTTCCTTTCAACTACCTCAGCCTGCAAAAGAAATCAACGGTCTGCAAAAAGCTGAATGAAGTCCATTAGGCGGACTTATTCATGACGAACCTGTATGAAGGTCTCGTTCTCCTGCAGTTGGGCTTTCATAGCATCATACTGAGACGAAAGGTTCTTCACATCTGCAATGAAAGGTTATCAAATATTCATCAAAGGGTTATAGCGTTTATTGAAGAGGTTTCGTTGACGACAATAGCGAAAACAATGACGTTGATAATGCTGAAGCTGAAAAAAATCTCTTGCACTTTGATTAATACTTTGATTTGATATTTCAGAAAGCTTTAATTAGTAAAATTGCAAAGGGAATAAACTTGAAAATCGTAAGAAAGCTACAAAACCAGCTATTTGTATGGCAATTTTGAGATGATTTTGTAAGCTCCCCTTCCCATATAAAAGCATCCTCGAATCAGCCCCCTATTGAAAAGTCGCCTTAATTGGCCAGGGGAGGGGTTAATTCAAGGATTTGCGGTGAAGTGTATAACTAACTGGTTCATATGCACTGCAGTTAACTATATCGTGCAGCTCTGTAGGGAACTGGGACCGATGACGAAATAGAATCTGAAATTTAAATTGAGATAAGATTTTTCATACCCACCTTGTTTTAGAGTCTCTCTTTGGGACAGCAGCTCCTCTTTTTCTGACATTAATAGCTGCAATTATTACAGAAGGAATCATTACTGATCACACGTCTGAATTTACTAAAACTTGAAACGTGGATGAAAGATAAATGACTTTGCCTGAACCATAAGGGATCTAAAGTGAGATAACTGCTTTCGATTTCAACTTCACATGAAAAACTTTCAATATCTGAAAGTTTTGATCATTTTTTGGTATATCTCCTCCCTCGGAAAAAGATGTCATCGTACAAAACTAGTAATAAACTGAAATTAACCAAAAATTTTCATGTGTGCATTAAATTGCAGAAAAGATTTCATTCGAATGTTAGCTATGAAATTTAAACAATTTAGAAGCTGGTTTATCATGCTGTAATAATGTCAGGTAATTGTTTGAGGCCGAAGACATCCTGCTAAAAGTCCTTGTTCTAATTTAACATTAAACAGTGCGGTTAATTTTTCTGGAGGAAAGAAAGAACTACTGGCGAAGAAAGACAATGAATAGGCGGGTCCACTTTTAAAACAAGATGGGCTTATTCAAAAAAACCAATAAGACTGTGCTATGACAACAGTAACAACTACTTTGCCAGCCAAACGCCGATAGGTTTTGACAGTCAAAATAAAGTACACGAGATGCAATAATCGCACTACAGATCATTATCAATTAAACACACAGGGCATTGAAATGTGGAGAGCTTTTCTCAAACATCTCAATAGCATGATTCAGAAAAGCAGCTGACGATAAAAGTAGCACTGTAACTAAGCCACCAGATATTTGCAATGTGGAACTAAAGACATTGCTAAAGGAACAAATCCCAAGATTCAGAGCACTGATAGTCAACTATAGGCAATTTCCAAACGAGATACAGGTGCTTCCTGAAACAGGGATATCCGTTCGATGTAGGTGGTATACAAAGCATTATTCCAACAAGCCAATGAACAATGGTCAAAAAATGCGAACCTACTAGCAAGTATAAACCAATGCTTAGTGCTGTCTAGTCCTATTTAGTGCCTCTTCTGAGTATTGTAAAGGAGAAAAGCGAAAAACAGTTAAGAATGTTTAAAGACTTTTGCGCAACAGGCATGCTTTGCAGTAGCTGTTTTTACGCAAAGAGAAATCTACTGTATTTTGTATTGTCATGTAGTACGATATTAGGCCGGGTATTAAAACATAGTCGCAAGGCATGCTGGTTGCACAAGAGTCTTTAAGGAAACCATTTGGTATTTCTATGCGTGTTCTGTAAGTAAGAACGCTTTCAATTCTCGATCGGACAATGTTAGGACAATGTTAAGCCATAATGAGCGATCTATACAGCCACTGTGGATGGTAAATGATTGTAGACAAAGAAAAGCAGTCTTTTTCAAGGCCTGTCAATTTATTTATCTGCTGTAGGTGTTTGAACAGCCCTTGTGCAAAGGTCATCATTTCTAGAGCTGAATGTTGAAAGACTTGAACAAGATTTGCTTATGCCTGTAACTTTCTAAACCCTCTAAAAAGAATGACCTTCTACGATATCCAAGCTAACACATTCGCTTTTGCTTTGTGGTGTACTTGGTGATATATAGACAGAGCCTTGTCAACTGAAGTCATTGATTGGATGTCTACTTGACACTTGACAGTGAAGATAGACATCACAGTGCTTGAAGTATGCAATAAAGATTTTCTTTAAGATCAGGGTGTGAATATAAAGAGTCAGATATCTGAGATTTCAATCAGAAAGTTTAAGAAATTTTACAGCTGCCATGGACTTAAGCCTTTAAATGGACAGATAAAAATCCCTATAAGGTCAGTACAATTATAAAACGAACGACTATGTGATTCAATTGATTAAATTAGTTCTATTTTCTAAGAACAGGGAAATTAAAACTGAGATCTTATCGCCAATAGTAAAATTTGTGTCATCAACCACATTCCCTCTAATTAACGTCAAAACCAGATAAAAAGCACAGTATACTGGAAATATTATACAATTAATAAAACCTTTTGTCCATCTAAATTCGCTTTTTAACAAACTCGAGAAACTTCAATTTTGATTGTTGGCACACCCTACAGCCCTCGATAGAATTGCTGGAACACCTTCACAAATTCATGAAAGTTTTTAAAGGTATTCTCCCTCACCCAATTAGAGTGTTGCTTGATATAAATACAACATGGTTGTTGGTGATCTTCTGACTAGGATCAGATGCATAAACACTTCTTATGATATGAAGGTATCAACATTGTACCGAGGGAGAGAGAGCAATTAAGTGGCAACATTAATAACTAGAGGAGGGTTGTCAACTTATTTTTGGCAAGAATTGTGGGTCCGGCCCTTGCCCGGCAATAATGAACATGACACAACACTACCAGAATTTTGCAGAAGGGGAAAGAGAATGATTTAAAACAGCCATTCTTAAACTCCGGCCCGCAGTAAAATTTTATCCGGCCCGCCGAATGCTTTTTACCTCGAAAGTATTTTTTTTGGCATCATTTTCAAAATTTGGAATTCGATTTATCTTTGGTTTTCTTTTGTCCCTTTTGATATTTTTCTTTTTTCTGTAGTAGATTTTAAAGCGTTTCGTGGACAGTTATTGGTCCACAAGAGAGTGCCGAAATAGGAAATGCTTAATTTAATCGATTGATCGTTTTATTGAGTTTAATTAACTGTTTTTTAATTTGTTTCTCTTCCCTATCTCACACGCTGTTATGCTAAGATTATTCTTAAACCTTGCAAGATTTTTCCTTTTTCATGTCAACAGATAAAATTATGGAAACCTAGTTACGAAAACCTTAAGAATATTGCCTTGAATTTTCTCTTGTTAAAATCTATTTGAGGTTTTGTTTCTGGCCATTTCTGGGATTAATATAACCTAAAATTTTTCTTTCAACCATGGTGGCGGCCTTTACTAAATACATCCACAAACATAAGATTTTGGCCCTCCTTAAAATACGCTGTGCAGTCCCTGGACCTGACTTCAGGCGCTTCAAATCGACCCAACAAGAGACTTAAGAAAATTAACGTTCTAGCCCAAAAATAGCATAGAACGATCTTCTGACTCAGCTTGGTACAAGAAACATAAAATTACAAACCATTGTGAAAACTGTTTTTTGGGTTTATGCTAAGGTAGATAAAATAGGCAGGCACAAATTAAAAGAACTGCTGAGATCTTATCACTGACTTAGCCTGGTAAAAATGAGATCTGAGTTTCATTTTGAGCAGCCTACACAAGGTATGTAAAAGTTGAAAACCAACTGGCCCCTGAAGAGAATCTATATGTTTTTTAGGCCCGGCACTTAAAATAATTAAGAACCCTTTATTTAAAAAAAACCCCGCCTATGATTGAAGTCATAAGTTCAATTCTTCTTAAAGGAGAACTGACACGCAAAAATAACTTTGGCTTATTCGATGCAAAATTTTTCGCTGACTTCAAATCTGGAAAAAGTTTTCTTCTAAGATTCGCCGTTTTTCTGATATTTGCACTTTTATCCGTCAAATACGTCACAGCCAGGACTCGGGAATTTCCCGAAGCGGAAACAAGATTATCGCCAGGAGTTGTTAAAATTCTCGGTTGACGTCACAAGTGACATGTTAACAATGCCGTTGTAAAGGCTTTCACCGCAACGGTGAAAGTACAAATGAAGTTTCGTGTTTTATTGAAAATAATCCGCGGCGAAAAGACAAAAAAATGTCAGGCATTTCATTTATAAGTATATCAAAGCTAGAAAATCCTAGCTACATGTCTGCTAAGACGCTAATATCCACATAAAATTTATTTTTATGCCATGATATCTTCGAACCAGCATGCTTTGAAACATTGAAAGAACCTCTAAGCTTATGAAAAAAGGAGTCGACTTTGTTTGAAAACTGATACCGTTTCTTCAAAGTTTTTATTTTTACAATTACAAATAAAATCGCAACATGGGGTTGGGGGGGGGGTGTGGTTTGAAGCAATAGCCAAAAGACAAACGAAATCTAGTGGAGACAGCGGTAAAAGTGATCCTGCAACCTGCTTTGGGTGCAGAAATAAGAATTCAAGAAAAAGCCTTGGTTGTTGGGAGCTGCGAGTGTGACTAAATAATAATTTCACGGAACTTGATTATTGTATTTTAACAGAGGTTGAGATACTAGGGAATAACCTAGTCTTCGAAAAGACCATCCCCCACCCAAGTCAAAATTGCTTGCAAAAGAATATAATGCGCCAGTTGATATTCCTATGACAGCTAAACAGCATTCTTCGACTAAGAAATCGAGTTCTTTGACTAAGAGCTAAGAGCCTATTTCGTAAATCCAGATCTTTCGACTGCCAGGTAACTTATCAGTTCCCGAAACCCTTCACGCCCGGTGAAAATGGCATATAATCCGCACAAGTCGACTTTTAACCTGCCTTTATTATTTAATATCACTATAGAGTTAACGCGTTTGAAACATTGAAAAACAATCATAGAAAGTTACATTAACAATGAATAACTTGCAGTTCCGTTTAGGGCATCATAGGCATTTCAGCGAATTAGGCCATATACAAAGCAGTCTAGACAAAGACGCCTCAATCTGAAATGAAACTCTAGTTTTACGATACCTGATCTCATTTAGATTGTAGCAATAGCATTGTTTTTAATAGAAATTCCATATCAGTTTGTACATCCAGTCTGTTCTTTGTTCATAACATCGTCACTGTTGAGCCATGGGACGACTGTCTGCCCAAGCGGTAGCGCTGGTTGGTAGCAAAAACTCAGACGGCTGAAACTCTCCATTTGTTTCGAAATCAGTGTAATAAAACTCCGATTCAGAGTCCCAAACCATTGAAAAAGTCAATTATATGTCAAAATTGCAAAATTAGCACCTTTCACATGCACAAAATAAACATTTGTCCGCAGCATTTTGTTAAAGGTTTCTATAGAGAAACACAATACGTGCTGAGAACATGTCACTTGTGACGTCAAAGATGATCGCCCACTCGTGACGATTTTCGCCTCGAGTCTCAAGTTGTCGGAATATTTGTCGTTTCTCAACTTAAAACGCCTGTATTTCAAAAACGGTAACTGTGATTTAAAAAATTTTTTCGATCCCGGAATTTGCTTGTCACAAACTACCGTTTTAGCCAAACTTTTTTTTGCGTGTCAGTTCTCCTTTAAATAAAAAAAATCGTAGAATTCTGTTTTCAGTTACTATCAAACGTAACTGTGAGGAGCCTCGATATGAAGTAGAGAAAGATGTTCGAAAAAGAGGTCCCTAGCAGAGGTTAGGTAAGAGAAAAACAACAAAACTGGCGTAGCATTTTGATTTTTGACTGGTTTGATGAAATTGAAGCTTTGCTTTGCAAGGGTAGTGAGTCACATCTTGAGGTACTGAGTGTCACGTGATGTAAAGATCATGCAAATGCTGCAGAAACGTTAACATAGCCATTCGGAATAATTTTGCTTTCAAAGCTGAATAATTTTGCAACAATAAGTTGCAATTTACAGGATGAAGCCTCGATAATCTGAGAAAACTTCAGTATCCCAGGTGAATTTACGTTTTGTTATTGTAGTCCATTTACAATCAAAGAAAAGAAGAGACAAGACGTGATTAAAAATGAAAGGCAGTAAAAGCATGGAATATCTGAAAAGCCGCTTATCACAAGGAATTAAGGCAGCATTACATTTTAAAGAGGCCACAGAACGGATGTCTGTATCAGCTGGTATTTCGTGATCGAGTTCTTTGATGATGTTAATACAAAAACAGAAATCATGGCCTCTGTGGCAGTGATGATTGCAGTTCTACACAGAAGCAGCTTACACTCATATCAGCTATTCACAGATTAAAGGATCTAGCAATGTCGTAATTTCGTGACCAACCTGTTAACATGCACACGCAAGAATTAGATCAATACATCGGAGAGTGATTGCTTTTGTTTTACAGATTTTGGTCAGAGAGTTTGGCCAGAAAGGAGTCTAAAATGCTAGATTCGATTAGTACTGTTTAGGGGTGGACCTGAGAGCCTGAGAGCACAGCATTACCAAAGTGCAACATTAATTACTGACTTCAACCTATACAAAACTGAATTAAAGAGCAATAAATTGTTGGAGCAATGCGTCCATGATTTGAGCAGATTTTTCAGAGCTCGGCTTGATTTGCCTGACAACTATTATTTTGTTTCGTTGATAACGTTAACATCCTTTTTCAGTCATGTCCATATTGGCATTGCCTTTGCCTGGTCGATGTTTTACATACCTACTCCTAATAAACTCCTAATAAAGAATAAATTTCGAGCATCGCATATTTGCAACATACCTTTCGCTTCTCTTCTGCTTGCTTCTTGACCCCGTCTATGTCACTGTATAATGCGATTTCCTGAGTGAGAGTAAACAAATGAAGAATTAAAATGAAACTAAAAGTCGTCGATTGACTCTTAAAACGACAAAGTAAAATCTCTAAAAATATGGGCACAGATAAGAGATGAGAAAGGATGGAAAATAGTACCTCTGTCATTTTATCAATCCTCTTTTTCAATGAGTCTAACTCTGTCGTGATCTTCGATTCAAGCTGAATGACATAAAATGAAAGCAGATGTTAAAAAAATTCACCAAGACTAAAGACACCAATGTTAAATTTAGTTTTAGGGAGCACAGAAAGGAATTCAAGAAAGGTTATAGTTTATTCCTTCTTGAGCAACGTGTAAAAAAAGTAAATGCCGAAAACATATCTTTATTGCAAAATGATTTAGATAAAAAACATGAATTCTAAAGATCCATAATTTTGCAAAAAAATACTTTTTGTATGCTATTTAGCAAAGTAGCTATCAAGTTTGATTCTGCTTGAAACAGCAACATTGAAAATCCACGGACTTTCTTTTTCATTCTGCCTTTGAAAGACTCTTCTTACAAGAGACTCGATGATTGTTTTTCTACATCATTTTACCTCTAAATTTTCTTACCCGATTCCTTTTTCTTCAATAACAATATTCTGATGACCCTTACAGCAAGCTGCAAGGCCCAATGCCCTTTCCTTAAGCCCTGTATTCGCCTATCTTCTCCTGTGTATATTTGTTGGAAACTCTTATTTCAATACTTCAAGATTTGTGTTTCATTTCGTGACTCAATACCCACAGTGCCGTGAAAAAAGCAAGTAGCACGACCTGAGGTCATGAGATAAGCTAATAGAAACAGTGAATTAAAAAACCACGCCCAAACCCCGCCTTTTTGTGTATTCTGGAGAACCTTGAGCAGGCTGTACGAAGAGAGAATAAACAATCTTCAGAACCCTCTATACCAAACGCTGTAATTTGCTTAAGCAGCCACGACAAATGGCAATGCGACATTATGACAATGTACACAAAGCACCCACCTGGTTCACTTTCTCTAAGTCCATTTGCAGTCGTCTTTGCTCTAGAAATCAGAATCACTAAGAGTTAAAAGAGAGACTTACGAGTTTTATTGACTATTACGTCAAAGTTATCAAAAGTTCGAGATATTTACGACAGACTGTCAGTAACGAAGCTTGCTCACCCGAATCCAGGCCCTTGTTTGTTTCTGATGATTTAATCATTTCTGTTTCTTTGAAATTCAAATCATCCTTTGAATAAAAAGTACGATCTTAGAAAATAGTATTCTGCATAGAAAGATGTTATAATGACACTAATATTAGGTGATAAATATGATTAATATCGCCAACATTACAAGCTAGCAACGGTTCTTATTACCGTAGATAATATACAAAATAATACAGATCAACGTTGAGCACTGCAGATTTTCATCGATTTATTCACCGTTTAAAACCATTCTCATAATCTTTATGCCAACCACTATGATCATTGTAGACAAATTATGAAGACTAATGGTGGTGAAATATAGAACTTTACTTAAATTTATTGAATTCACCCAACCAGTGGTAGAAATTAGCAAAGGGTTGTTATTGGTGCGATAATGTTTAGAAAAGCAATCACACTCCGTATTTCAACAACAAACACAAGCAATCTGATAGATTTGAAAACATAGTATTCAGTCAATCTTGAGGAGATTATAATAATCCAAAATGAACACTTTAGTTTTCTAACTTACATTTTAAAACATCAGCTTGGTCAAATTCATATCATTCGGCAACAAATTAATAATTTATCGTAAATGTCTGTTTATGATATATTTACCAAAGATATAATGTTTAAATGGTTTATAAAGATATGTAGTTATAAAAAGATCAAGAAAAGGTTGCTCAGAATGCTGAGAGAGCCAAATAGTAATTCACAATAATTCACAAAATATAAAGAACAGATGTACACATTCAAATATTTGCAAAATAATAATTTGCTACAAAGATGCAACCCATTTCTGCATAATGATACAATAAAAGTTATGGTGATTCGATAGAAACAAAAAATTTTTTGCTGAGACCTGGAAATTCCGTCAGTGTGATATTACAGAGAAAAAGATTTACCTTCATTTGTCTAAAATCTTCAAAATTTGGCATGTGTTTGGTTTGTACCAAAGCCTTGAAAATAAGAAATTCTTTTTAAAAAACCGTAACAGTATTCTGACGTAACAGTATAATGAAAAAGCAGAAGACCCCTGTAAAACATTTGGCATTGTCCTTCATGCAACAGTCTTATTGGAAAATTGCTTATACATTTTTCCTCGTAATTGATGAACACTCGACACTTACATGGAAGAACTAAGAAGGTAAAAGACAGTAAAAAAATCCACAGAATGGTTTCAAATGAAGTGGCGTGTTCCTAAAGACAGTCTCTATACCTCTTTACTACACCGGCATCAAAGCAGCTTAAATATTTGGAATTCTGGATTTCGGGGGCATAGTTAAAAATTCAACAGCTTTATCTGTATTAGAAGACAAATATTTCGTCACTGAGACCCACGTCCCTAGAACATGGACGGCAATGTATTTTACTGCTTGCGAAGAGTAATGAAACTCCTATGTTTGCTTAAATTTCTTGGAAATATCAACCTCACAATGCCGATTTAACGACATTATACTGATTCATATAGGCCACTACAAGAACAATATTCAGTGTCAATAAAACGAGAAATGAATTAAACTGTAAGTTTCATTCATTTATTGATTTAAACAAAGTGGGTGATGATAATTGAAAGAAAATCATAATAAAATTCAGAAGGCTTAATCAGTTGGTTTTATTAGATTTCTCTGCTCCTTTTTAGTATCATAAATATTCACTTCATCAAAATTAGTATCATAAGAATTCAATAAAACATACCCGACTGACTCTCTCAAGCAAAGTAACTATGTTGGATTGAATCTGTTTGCATTGACCCTGTAATGAGAAATATTATCAGAAAGGCCTCTAGATAACTTCAGTTAAGTCAGATACAAAACAATCTAAATGAGTTTAAAAACGTCTTCAAAACTCGCTGAACCTATTCGCTGTGGTTTAGCCTTTTTACTTAGATTTTTCACCATGAACTAACTTAAGCAACTGAAGAGTAATTAGGCACAGTAACTTGCAACGTGGAACCCTATCGAAAATCGTCCATTTAGATCCTCTTTCCAGTTCTATTGGGACAACCCCAACCAACCCCCCCCCCCCCATGTTTTTCCGCTTAAAGAATGATGTATGAGGCTAGGAAGAACGTTTTTTCGATTGACTTGTATGAGTCTTTTCGGGGGGTTAGAAACGGAAAAAGTATTATTTGGGCAAAGAAGTGAATAACATAAAAGCAAGCCCAAGACGTTGCCAGTTCCAAGTTTATTTTAGTAGTCAATTTATTCTTTGAAACGCTACACTTACCAGCTCCCCACTTTTGTTTTCTTCAAAGGTGTCAAGGAATTCTAGTGCAAAAAATAATGAAACTCAGTGGAAGAAGGATAGGAACTGCAACATCTTTTGTGTGGCATATAAAGATTGCTTGACAACATTCGACAGTTTAACTTTCAAATCCTATTAAACAGATTTAGCAAAACAAAACGATAACCCCATAAAAGATTAATTTTCTCTATTTTCTTCGACATTTGCTTAGAATAATTTTACAAAAAAAACGGTGAAACTGACCCCCTCCCCCCAATTCTCCACTTGAGTCTATCATTCATTTAAATAAAAGATATCAAGAATAACGAAGTACTGATTTAAAAGAAAATGAAAAACAGAAGGGGTTTATTCATAGATTAAAATTTTAATACTATTTTATGCAAAGGCCTTTGTGGTAAAATTTTCTAGCTCCTGAGAAAAAAATCTTTATTCAAAACGCAATATGATATAGTCTTATGATACGTAAAAAATGAAGGTGAGGGATTTTAAGAACTGATATACCCTGCATTGTTTCCTCTCGCTTTTTAAGCTCCTTATATTTAGCAGTCCGTTCGCCTAAAAAAAGAAGAGAAAAATCCTATAAGATTATGACATACAAAAGATCGATTTTGTTTGCAGCAGCGAATGGTTCTTGGATCAAAATGACTTAAAAGAACTGGATAAATGGCAGGACCTCAACTAGGCAAAAGGTAGCAGCTATATGCAAGTGAAGCGTAAGAGAGCACTATTCCTTGGTGCTTTGTGAATGCGTTCAGCATAAATAGAACGTTGTACTATGCAATTATGACCAGGCCAGGGCTAAAAATTTTAGAGGATAATTAAGAATCTGAAATAGCAAAAATGATGTCATTCCCCAGTTCAAAACTAGGGACCTCAAATCTTATGAAAATAAGGCTATAAACCTTAATATTGCATAGAAACAAGGAGTAGCGTGAATGTTTTTATATTCTCATAAAATTCACAGGACTAAACAATTAATTACAAAACGATACCAGCAGACAGCACGGAAATACATATCAAATTTGCAGCCCTTGAACTTGACATAGAACAAACATTACAAAATAACTAGATACAAAAGTGAGGATTTTACACGAGAGTGAGGATTTGTACAGCATAGCCGCCCACTCCCAAAGAAAGTACACACGAATGGCCAACGCATACCCCGCCCGATCAAATGACCTGAAGGAAAAAACCCAAGCCACCAAACCAAACGAAGGACAAAAACCCGCGCAATCCCTCCGAAAGGATGCAGCCCATACTGATTTTGGCAATAACTCACTGGAACCGTTACAAGGCCTGAATAAAATTTAATGTTTGTAGTAAGCATGAGTGTCAGCCTTTACGGAATTCTAAATGTAATGCAGAGGCAACGATACAAGAAAGTCATCTTCCCAAGAAAAAATTTGGAAAATCTTTGAGAAAAGCAAAGAAAGCCTAAAGGCCCTAGACGCACCGAACAAGATTTCAGGAAGAACCTCTGACATACTAAATCTCCATTGTTCATAGAGAAAAAGGATTAAGATTGTTAGTAAACAAATGCTGATTTTCCAGTGCGGCCACCCAAATTGCCACTGAACCAAATTCAGTAATCCCTCAAAGGTTCTTTCGTCCTGCCCCAGAGCAGGACGAGCTCCGGAAAATGGAAATGATTAGCATTTAACGCATTTTTCTGGTGCCACAGAATATCCAAAAGTCAATCGTTCTTTGTTTTAAACCATATTATATTAGCCTAACAGCAAACAACCACCTCACACACGAACTGCAGCGCACTCAAATTTCCAAGCGGAAATCGGATTCTCGTGAAACTTTAAAAAAGTATTCTCGATTTTCCACTTTGACAAAGATAATGAGTTTGAAATCAGAAATCAGTGCGTCTTGGGCCTAAGTGCTAGAAAAATAGTCGAATTGAAATTAGATTAGATAAATGGCTGCCTGTTTACAAGTAGACGAAGCTAATAAATAATGTGAATGGGTACTGTTATAGAATCCTATTACACCATAAACCACAAGAGAACCTTCTTTGAAAATTTAATCATATTACTTATCAAATGCTTAAGCCATCAGGGAACACATTCTTAGACAGATTGATAACGAAAAAGAGCTCGGATCAGAATTGAAAGACTCAAAATATACCCTTTAATATTAATCAAGTGTGGGAAAAGCAATGGATTCAGTAGCCCTCTCATTAACAGCTTTCCATACCATATTTAAAGGTGGGGTTTGTCGTTTGCGAGATATCTAAACAGAGGTTTAAATATCTCGCACATCCAACGGAGGTTTGGCCTAACCCAACTTATGCGTCTAACAACGGAGGTTTGGCCTAACCCAGACGCACTGAAAACGGAGGTTTGGATGCCACACCCAACTTATGTCTGGTCCTTTAGAAAATATTTATGACTCAAAATATTTTGACTTGAAACTGAAATGTTCAGGACAAATAACTAGCTTTGAACAATATTGGCCCCTTTATTAGACCCCTTACCATCTGATAACATCGGATATTCGTGACAACTGGTTGGCAAAACGTAAGTTAGTCGGTAAAATGCTTTTGTGAATGTTTTCGTTTATAGATTTTTCACATTGCATAACACTTAGCCAGGATTGGCAAGGCAACAGAAGTAGCAAACAAAGAGTAAACCTCACATGTTTTCATGTTATGACCATCTAAATTGTCTTTTTTACCTACATTGGAACTTTGTTTCTGTCGAGGACTAAATAAGATCATTTCTCTAACATTCATGCTTTACTTTCAATTTCCAAAGCGAACAAAAGAAAGGGAATTTCCTGGACATAAATTTGAAGAAGCTACTAAGAAATCTTAAAGTATATTATTTTGAAAGGAATGCCCTAGAAAATTGACTATGACAATGTAGCAAAGTTGCCTTGCGTTGAAACTTGGAACTGAGAGAAATATCTTTTTTTTCAAAATTTACTATTCTTTGCTGCATTTCAACAGTGATTAAACGTATTGAAATGTTTCTGACTTTGAACTGGTGAAAGGTTTTGCTTTCAATGATTAGAGGCACAAACATCACAAGAATGATATAGATCGATTATGTTTTAATCAAGGTAAATTGCAAAAACACAGTTATTCAACACTCAATTAGCCTACCTTGATGCTCTTCAAGGTCCATATCAAGATTTCGTATTTCTTCCTGTACATTGTCGATCTTTTCTTTAATTTCTGAAATCCTTTGGATGAATTAAGACCTCGTTAAAAATTCTCTTTTTCAATTCAAGATGATGTAAGGCAAAAATAAATTGGCCGAAAGGCAATCAAAATGGCCTAATGAATCAAAATATAAAAAAACTAAATATATAAGAACATTTCAAATTTTTGGGAACATGGTTATTGCATACAAGTTATGATCGATATAGAGTATATTACAAAGGCAAGTAATATCTAAATGGGGGGGAGGGGTGGGGTGTTTGAAATATATAATGGCGATCAAGGCAATCATGATATATCTACTTTGTAGGATAGCTGAGAAATTTTCTAATAAGCATTTTGATATCAATGTATCCTAAATCTAGGGCAATTGAAAACGCTCTCTTCGTATAAATACCAAATCCGTAGGTGAGATGCTAGCTCGTTTGAGAGAAGGGAGGTACTTCTATGGACATTCAACAAGTGGGAATAAATTAGAAAAATATTTCGACAACTAAGGTCTTGAAACTACTTCGCAAAAGGGCCAACGGAGGCACAAACTATAAAATTCTTATCCGTAAACTTTTCAACGGTTCCAAATGGAACTATTTTCCAAAATGTCCCCTTTCGACACGACTAGCAGCTGAATTTGGTCCTGGTTCCCACAGGATCCCATTTGGGCCTAACTGCGCCTATTTCAGTACGGTTCCACGAGAATCTCGGGTAAATGCAGCCTTAGGGGCCATAAACAGAAATCTAGCTTCCCCCATATATACCTAACAGCTAAAAGAACACGTAATTTGGCATTTTACTAGATTATGTAATAAATCGGTACAATGCGGGAGTTTGAAGGTACTGCAAATGCCCTGCGTGATCGCAAAAGATGACTCAAGTGAAAACCAAACAGAAAAATATGTCAAAATACATATTGACCAATATGGTGGAGGTTAAATTTATGCTTATTATTCTGAATGATTACATAGATTAATTCCAAATCTGTTTGTTTGCCGCAATCAATTGGCAACATAAAAGAGGCGCTAATTGAAACCCAGAATCATATCGAACCTGTTTTCAATTCTCGCTACTTCTTGATTGTCTTCTTTAACCTGTCAATGCAAACAAATCTTCTCAATGACAATTAAAAATATAATGCTTACAATCGTTCTAATATGCCACCCAGAACGATTCTTAAAATGGATCAACGATCGGTGCAAACAAGGAAATGCCATTTGAGAAAATTAGAAGCTGTTTGGCAACAAGGAATTCACAAAAAACCATTAAGAGAAAACTTGACTGAAATCTTGGTAAATATATCGTTGTAAATACATAAATTGGAGAATGAAATTCCGCTTTTTTGAAAAGGAAGCAATGTGGTCTTCAGAAGAGGTAAAATAAGAACCTGTTTGAGCAGTCTTTCTCTTTCTTCAGCAGGAGAACTCTTTTTGTTTCTTTCCATTTCTTCTAATAAGGAGGCTTTTTTCTCCTCTAGTTCGGCAGCCTTTTCATAAAGTGTAACTAGAAAAGATCACACAATAACATTTATAAACATTGAGTTTGAGAATTGAATTCAGAAAACACCGATTCTTTATTATAATTTGAAGAGAAAACACGAAAATAGAAACACATAATTCAATTATAACAAAGAATAAAAGCTGAAGTTTGCGCTCTGTATAAAGTTGCAAGAAGGCTTATTCTCGAAAAATCCTTCAAGCATATAAGATCATAAGCATTTTCATATCTACATTTCCAACCAATGACTTAAAATCTTTGTTCGACGAAATCAATTTATATGATCATGGGCGGAGGGGGGGGGGGGGTTGGTGACCAAAGAAGTTATGCGTCTGCTTACAAAGGGCCCATAGATTTACATGGACAAGAATTAATTTTAGCGTGTACAACTCTGTATATACGGCATCGAGCACTTTATGATACACTGGTAAATAGTGACTTTCATAACATAACTTGCATAAGGATTTTGTTTAGAGTGCAATACCGTTAATTTTGGCAATTCTAGGAGATTTTCCTTTGAAAATATTTCGAGGTTATACACATGACCTGAACACAATATACTGGCAGAGCAGAATGCCCTTAATAAATACTACACATGAGAGTGACAGTGAAAACACGAAGAAGCAATACAAAAAGCAGACCGGTTTTGATTTCATTTCACAAAAAGTTGCACATTGAAAAATGTGGTTTACTTTCAGCCAATTTTTAAGACAAAAAAACTAAAAATCAATTTGTTGTATCTACAGTCTTCAATGAATTTTCTATTATCTGTATTTGCCGTAGCTAGCAATACTGAGAGTGCTGCTAAGTTGCATGTGAAATTCAAGTATAAAAAGTTGTCTACTTGATTATTTCGGATTATGGCTTTATTGATAACATCAAAAACATTATTTTCAAGAATTTGGACCTAATTACACCCTGCTGAAATTGTTCAAAAGTAAGATTGTCAAATCCAGAAATAAGATTGTCAATCTATAGAACTGTGCGAGGGTCGATTCACTCTTGCAAATAGCGTACGAGATTTTCCCTTAGACAAAAGGAGTTTTGGGGACTTTCAAATAAAACAATAGCATTTTCACGAAAGGTGTACGAGATTTTCTTAGAGTGATTTGCCCCTCGGAACAGTGATAAATTAGATCTATAGTATTGTAAGATTGTAAAAAATTGTCTTTACCCGCTTCCTGTTTAATTGGCGACTGGGCAACTTCCTGCAAGGAGAAAATTTTATTAAGTATTTTTTTTAAACTGCATTAAACATATTTTTCACTTCAGAAATTAGTTGGAAAGCGCAACATTTTTCAAACGACGTTAAAAGGGCATACCTAGAATTGAAGAGGCAAATCTACCAGAGCAAAAATCGACATTTAAATGGCATATTAATTTTATATGCTTATATGTCTATGCTTTCAACAGAATTTGACAGAACTTGACTACGCCACACTATCTTTTGAGAAGTTTTGAGAAACTAATATCAGAACAAGCCCATATAATTTGTCATTGAGCTGAAGATGGGAGGAGCTCATCTCAAAAAGAAACCTCAATAAAGAACCATATGGCCTAGTCAAATTCTGCCAGAATTCTGTTAAAACTATGACTTATTCTATAAATAATCTTGAATTCTTTTAATCTTTCATTGATTGACATTCGACTAGTCGACTATTCATTGATTGAAAGTTGGAACAAATAGAAAGCAATTCTTTTAGAGAATATCAGTTTAAGAAAAATAGCCCGACGCTACATAAAACAAATCATTATGTGTATCGCAATACACGCTATCAAAAATTACGATAACAAAAATGCTTACATCTTCAAGTCTTTCTGTCTTGTCATTTAAAGAATCCAATAGTTGCTGCTTGCTTTCTAGATCCTGCAATAAAATAGATAATGAGCAGGTTTGAACTACCAGTGGTTTTCCTAAAAGCTACCACTTGGTTTCGTTTTGAATACTTCACTTAAACCCTCAGAGTTGCGACAAGGCGATGGCCTAATACACTTCATAGACAAACAACATAGTAATGTTTCAGAAATTAAATAATATCAAAAGACTATGAAAATTAACGCTCATCGATAAAATTAAAGTAAGAATATCACGCTTGCCTAGACAGGAATATCATAAATCAGTACCAGAAGTTAATACTGTGCTGATAAGACTTTGTAAATTTGCAGCTGCTGTAACTGAAGATTTCTCACCAATATCATTTTTGGGATCTCTAACAATACCATCTATAAAAACTTCAAATAAATTTGTGTTGTTGCTTTATACAAATAAAATGAAAATAATCTTTAAGAAGTTTATGGATCTAGGCAACCAAATCTCGCAGCATTGACTAACCTTAAAAAAACTTGCGTCAATCTAACTTACACTTTTAGGGGATGAAGAAAAGGCAACCATAAATTTGTAGGGGATGAAGAAAAGGCACCCACTTAATGTACTTTGTTCCAGACTTATGCTTATCAAACACAGTAAATAAAATACATACAAGACCGTTTTTTAGAAAACTTTGTGGACTTACAAGTGACATCATTGGTCACTTTAAACAGCACCTTGTTTCCATTAATTTGCAAAAAGGTTCTTACTTAAGTGATCAAGAAATAATTCACATTGCATTTTCTAGTGAAGATATGTTCAGCAAAACAAAATTAGCATCAAGAAACTGGAAACAAAGATCTGGAATGATGACATACCAAAAAAATTTTAATAGAAAATTAAAAAGGACCATTTTTATAAAAACCTAAACCTTTTATGCTGAGATACTTGTTGTTTAACAACCAACTTAGGCTCAATAGAAACAATGTAGGTCCTTATACATGGGTTTCTACCGTATCACAATACAGTGACAGTTAATAACAATTGGATATGTTAATATTTTTTCAGACATTTGACGCCTTTCTCTTACATAACAAACATAGCAAGTAAAAGTATGAATGATAATCGGGAGGCAGACAAAAAGTTATTTGAAGCAGATAAGACAAATATGTGTTACCCCTTGCAGCGAGAGATTAATCTTCTTCAGCTGAGCATATTTCTCTCTAAGTTTTGGATGCTGTAGAATGAACGTTGAGAAAATCAATGAAAGCTGAATGAAGACAAATGGAACACAGGAGACTCGGCAGGAAGTCTTAGAATATATGGTACAGGTATATTATAAAAGATTTAATCAAATAAAAAGATTATTTCCATTGAGAAAATGTTAAAACATGGAAAGATAACTGCCACTGCTATAATTTGGTCTGGAAAATTAGAAAAAAGTGAACTCTTTTAAGTTTGGTCAGCATCTTTGACATAATAATAAGGGGACGCGGAGCTCCCAATATGGGGATACTTGACAACGACTAAAGGAAAAGTCTAAGAAGTCGAAGGTATGCATGGAAGAAGGCTGGGAGCAACAGCTTGTTGGACACCAGCAGTTTTTGACTTCCACATTTATTCATACGAGGAAATATTTAAAGACATACAGAGATTCATCACCACTGTTTTCTTCTTTTAATAATCTTACTTTAATTCACTGGGGCATGCATTATTAAGCCCCAAAGATTGTTTCGAATGTTTATGGATTGCTTCGTGCTTTGATACAAGTGATACACATTGCATTACCATCCCAGGTACAGAAAAATATCAATCAAACCGATTAATGCAAAATATTAACAGCGAAATGAATAGTTATACATATATACTTACCATGTCAGCTACCATGCTTTCGGTCATTCTTCGCTGTTGATCAATCTCTACCTCTAAACTTTTCACATTCTGCTCCTTGCTGCGAGAATCAAAGTATAAAAAGATAGAGATGAGTCAAGAATGTAAGTGTTCTTTGTTAGATAGGACACTCATTCTAGATCTACAACGGTGAAGCTGAGCACAAGGGTATTGGAAATTTGTAAAGATGGCCTAAAGCGTTGACCATTTCATTATTGAGCTTGGTGTAGGTAAAACCAAGCAGCAAATGGATGAGCATTAGGTTAGGTTAAGGTTAGGTTACGTAAGGTTAGGTTAGATTAGGTTATGTTAGGTTAAGATAAGGTAAGGTTAGGTTGAGGTAAGTAGGCTAGGATAGGTTAGGTTAGTTTAGGTAAGGTAAGGTAAGGTAAGGTAAGGTAAGGTAAGGTAAGGTAAGGTAAGGTAAGGTAAGGTAAAGTAATGTAAGGTAAGGTAAGGTAAGGTAAGGTAAGGTAATTTAAGGCAAGGTAAGATATGGCAAGGTAAGATATGGCAAGGTAAGGCAAGGTAAGGTAAGGTAAGGTTAAGTTAGGTTACATTAGGTTACTCTATTAGCTCCAAGTCTAAATGTCACGATACCTTTGTCTTTGTGAGAACAGATCATCGATGGCTTTTGTTTCTTTCTCATTTTGTAATTTCAGCTGTCGAAGATAAATTTATATAGTTGCAATGCAAATCTCACTGACAAACTAAAGTTAGTTGAACTAAAATTAGATGTTTAACTGCTTAAATTATGCATTTTTTATGGATTTTTGGATTTTGGTAGATTTTGCCACGCTTTTAGCTGTCAAAATTTGAATTTGGACTCAAGATATGAACAGAGAATAGCTGTTTGACGGCTGTCTTAAAAATACAGCATACCCAACGATATGAATAATAACTAATAAAAATAGAAACTTCATTTTCAGTTATGCATAAGTGTTCTAGCAACAGGGTTTTGCATTCCTTGGATAATTAATTAGAAAATCAGATAAATTGTTAAGCAAAGTGATTCATTAAAACAATTTGAGCACATAAATGTAAGACATTCTCATATTTCTATTCACATTTGTTGAATTTAATACCAGTCACATTTTCTTCAATATCCATTTTGCTGATAACAATGATAAAAGCTTAATGTCAAAAGCCCTCTTGAGTCAAAAGACATAATAAAACCCCCTTGAGGTGTGGTCACATCGAGAGGAAGGATCGGACACTTCTCGATTAAGCATGAGCTTCTTAGTGTCCTAAAAACTACCTTCGGATGCAAGGTAGAAACAAATAAAATAAAATAAAATAAAATACAATACAATACAATACAATAAAATACAATACAATACAATACAATACAATACAATACAATACAATACAATACAATACAATACAATACAATACAATACTTGACGTTTCAAGCGAAAAAAAGATTTCCTTCATCCCTTAAAGTAGAAATCTCCCTATAATCATTAACATCCAAGCATTTGCTGATAAAAATTCACCACAGAAGAGGGTAGCACTGATCTTTCCCTGTATTGTAGAAATGCAGAGTTAAAAAAATTGTTAAATACTTTCGGGCGTAAGAAGAAACATATCAAAACAAAAAAGAGTAAAAGAGTTACTTCACTTACTAGCTCATAGTCTTCTTTTAAGTCATCAAAACTGGAACTTGTATTTAACTTGTCGACAAGCTAAAAAATATTTCGTACAAACTTATTAAAATCAAACTATTGTTACTTTATCTGAACCCTATAAGTCTATTTACTGTGAAAAAGACAAAAGGTGAGTGAAAGGAAAGTTTATCAAAAGCAGCACACAAAATAGCGAAATACTGCATCAATGAGCTACGGTGGGGTAGAAAGTGTCTCATAACACGAACTGCTAAAATCCTAAATCATAATTCTTAATTGAAACGTTAATGCAAAAATTTTATCATAACGCCCAAGGGTATAAAAACAGAAAGACACGGTAGTATTTACATATAATTTACAGCAAAGAAGAACAAAGGGGTGGATTTTGATAGAAAGATAGAGAATCGTAATAAGATCAAACTGTTCAATCTAGTTTCTGATGAACATAAAATCTGTTAGCTAGCATTAAAAGCCTTTTAGACAATACTAGTTTGGGTTAGGAACATATTTCAAACGCAGTTAGCTACATTAAATGCGGAAATGTCCTACTTTGGTTGCTTGTAAAGCTAAACATTTATTTTAGACAAACTTTAAGAATAAAAAGTTTAATCACTTAGATAATGACAGGGTTCTATTTATCAATTCTTATTGAAATTGCCAACTTTCAGAATCCGTGCTTCTTAAATGAAAAACCCGAATAACTAGGAACCAAATTTTGCCTTTACTTCTACAGGGAAGTCGAGGTTTTTTGCAAGACGTTTGAACGTTTTTTGCCAAAAATACGAATAGAAAAATGTCATGTGAAATTAAAAGGGTGGGAAAAAATAATAAACGAAACTAATAAATTTTGGGAATTGACAAATTTGGAAATTAAGTAGATTTGGCTGTAATTTTATGATAACTTTAATGGTAGGCAAAATGCTAGAGATCAAAAGGGTGAATGCTAAAAAGTATGAGATTGAAATTACAGAAAAGTTTTAGCAAAATCGGTTGTGATCAATAAAAATTGTTTGTATTGGACGCAGAAGTCAAGAGAGTTCCAAAGTGACGACATCAAAAAATTATATTCTAGCAATTTGAATTTGAACTACAGAGCATTAAAGAGCCTTATCAAATACCCCTGATACTGTGCCAAATCAGAACAATAAACTTTTGATGATGTCACATTTTGACTTGAACTGAAGAACATGTATACCGTATTATAATCTGTTAGTTGTCCTTGAAGCTCTTTGATTTCAGTTGCCAGGTTCTCAGCTCTAAAAACCAAAGTACATTATATATTTTTTTTGCCGGAAACATTCTCAACAGAAAAATTCTTATAAACAAAATGAGTATAAATGTCACTCATATTATCGAAAATGCACGTATTGGGTAACTGCAAGTTATGAAATGTGTAAAATTGACAGTGCCTCTAGAGGAAATTGTACTAAAGTACAGTTGCAATTCATACAGAGGAAGGCTTATTTACTAATAATAATAGATAGTCCATTTCTTTATTCTAAGTTGTAGAAAAATGACCACATATTCTATCAAAAGCATCATATACAAACCTGATTTAGCCCTCACCCCTTCCCCTCTAAAAACCCCGTTTATAATTTCCATAGCCCGAATTCTATTGATGTGCAAATGATGCAAATAAGATAAAGTATAATTCTATTGAATAAATAAACCCTCATCATGACTATGGGTTGTTGCTGCTATAGAGACCATTTCCAGTTCCGAGAATTTGATCTGATCGGTCTCTGAAGCAAACAGCGATAGATTTAAAGGAAGTAGTTAACAATGACATGCTTACCTCTTTTCGTAAGTTAAATAGCTCGCATTTTCTTGATTAAAATTTGTGATATCTTTACTGAGCTTGTTTACCTCACTGTTTAGATCGTTGATCTTTGCTCTAAAAGAATAGATAAAACATTTATAAACCCTAGTTACTCTTTTTGGTTTCAGAAAACAATTACTTCTTTCATTATATCTTTTATTCATTGAGGTTTCCATTTTATACGCTCTCCACAAAGCTGAAGCGCAGTGGCTTTGTGATGAGCGACTAAAGCTCTGGACAGATGAACTGAAAATTTGAATGCACTTGCCACTGAGAACTCCTCTGAAGGCTTTACTGAACATTCTACTGAACAGTTAAGGCTCGTGATCGTTCACGAGAGATTTTTAATCATCAATCAGTATTGAAAATGCCATAAATCCTTGAATGTCAATGCATTCATTGGACGAATGATTTATACTTGTTCAGTTGAGTAGCCAAATGAACTGAATATCAAACTGAACAATTGTCTTTACCCAATATTTTTGAATCCGATCAAAACTGACTTACCAATGTTCAGTGACAGAGCAAGGTGAAAAAATGAACTGGATCTTAGTTTTTGCATCGAGTCAATTCATGAGCCGTTTGGCAATTTATGAATCACCTAAAGCATGCTTTTAAAATAACCAACGATGACTTAAGTTTTAAGAATCAAGTATTCACCGTAGTAGGCCAAGCCAATAGGACTTGTCTTGCACTTGTCTCTGCGGGCCTATGGGGAAAAACACGAAAGAATGAAGCTAGCAGATAAAAAAGTGGCTTTAAAAAAAGCAAAAAAATGAAACATATTTCAGCTTCCGCCTCCTACTCTTCAGGGCATAAAACTAAGCTTGGAAATGTTGTACCGCGAAAAAGTTTTTAAAAAAGGTGAAGTGGAGAAATTTGATTCCATTCAATTTCAATTCAATTCTACAACTACTACAAAAAATCAATATTAGATAAAATTAATGAAAAATACTACATATAAACAACAATATTCTAATAAACAATAATTAGCAAATATGAATGTGTTGTAGTATAATTTTAAGGAGGAAATCTGTAAGTAGAACAACTAACGCGAAGAGGGCCCCTTCCTTTGATTTTTGGTATCTTGTCTGAGTAAAATATTCAATAAAAACGCAAGAGGGAAAAGTTGAAAAACACCTATTTGTCTAGAAATTTCTTTAGTGTCCTGCAGTTTCAAACTGAGCAACGTGATAAATTGATTTCTGATTCGGCCTGACTGTGGACGGAGGCAAACTTGGTATGAACTGTTCAATTTACAAGTCTACGTTGCGGTCAATATCAAACTTTGCAAATAATCAGTCCAAAAATAGATTTATGCTACTGGCTTTTAAATTTCTCTATTTGTAACTGGAATTTGAAACATTTCTACTCTGCGTATCTCAGGAGCCGCACACCAGTCTTAAAGTGGGGGGGGGGGCTGAAATGGGTGTGCCCGAAAATTTTTGAGGCCACGCCCTCTAGAACGCCGGAAATGCCCTTTTAGAAAATAATTGCCAGTTTCTACTCAATTTTTATAAACAGTCTGGTTCAGAGATGATATCGATAACCATAAAAATAGATAAAATTAGCTAGAGGGTAATAAAGCATCAAGCTAACCAAGTTAGAAATACATCATATCATTAAACAAGATAAAATGCCTAGAAAATGAACAAAAAAGGTTTCCAGGCAACAAGAACTTCTACTACATAGGAGTAAACTATCCAAAGTTGCGTTAGAGTAAACCTTTTAAAAAATTTGCTGAATTTGCTGAAAAATTTGAAAGTTGCGTTGGAGTAAACCCTGCTAGCCCAATTCTTTACCTGCCTGCAAGATCTTATCAATTATTGGTTTACTAGATTTGCTATTAGATACTGCTTTTTTGTTTTAGCAGACCCAGAAATGACCTGAAAGTACAACAGTTGATATGGACCACCTGGTGTAACACAAGACTTGAAGTTTGGGCATTAATGCCAGAATTTCAGTATTCACAGTTTTGAAGCCGACTTAACAGCCTGTCACCAGGATAAATTCGCAAAGGAGATAGAAATGGATTCCTTTAAACCAGTTACTGAGGCAAAATCCGTAGACAATGTTCTAGAGGGCTTAACAATGAAAAACGTTTCTTTAATCAAAAAGAAAAACGGTCATTATAAGAAGCCTGTCAAGATTTATTAAAGCCTTTCAATTGTCAATACTTTAACATTGATAATACAAACATTCTTAGATGAAGTGAAATTGTAACAATCTCTGAGTCTTTTTTTACAAAAACCTTACCTTGAGATTGAGTTTTAATTCCAGCAAGTCCTTGTCTAGTAACAGGTCTGTCTGCCACTTGAACCATGGAACTCAATGCTATTACAAATGACCAAAATTAATGAAAAATTCAAGCAGATTTTTAAAATAAGCTACATTTCTGTACAATATTTTGTAAAAGGTTTCCTGTAGCGATTAATCTGGCAAAGATTTGTGAAGAGGACTTTTCAGGGTAGTGTAGGCCGTGAAGTTGGTCAGAAATTTTCTGAAATCCCAAGATTTGAAAAGATAGGCAATAAAGGGAAATGGGAGTTAAAGAACAGAGTTAAAAAGGAATAGCTAAGTTGGGATAAAGCAATCTAATCATCTTAATTAAACTCACCTCCCTGGCCACCAACTCCTGCTCTAGATCCAGGTCTGGCAGTTGTGGGATTCTATAATACAAAAACCAATCTGAGTTTAACAACCTTAAGAGTTTCATTGGAAGCACTTTAGGAACTCTAAATACAGCTTTTGCAGCTATTATATGCAATGTCAGTAGAATAGCATTTGCTCTTTGGTATTGAAATAATGCTATCTTAACATAAAATATTTTGATATAATAACTGGAAACAAAGTAAAAAGGAGCAAGAACTCATAAACTTTTTGGATGCAATTACATCATCAAAAATGTTTAGAATAGCCAATGACACCTGTTACAAAACTCATCCATTTATTGCTTTAAAACCCAACAGCCCAGGCCCTTTATGCTTTTCTTTGGATTTTTTCAAGGCTCTGTAGCTTAAAAGGATGCTGTTTAAAGATTGTGCAAATCTATTGACAGAATGATTCCAGCTTTTGAAATTTACTTGGTTTGTTTCTTTTGATAGAAATTGCAAATAAATATGTGCAGTAGCAGCACTGAAACAGAGATACGAGACCAAAATTCACCTGGTACAAAGAGATTTGCACACTAATAGACAATTTTAGTAATGGGGGTCATAGTTGTATGCTTTTGACTTTGGATGGCATCTATTGCTAGGTTTTTCTACTGTTTGCAGCTTCTCCCCCTCCTAATAACAGCCCTCCTCCTCCTCGTAATACATAAAAAAATTATCTCTGCTTCTTGTCTTGTGGTAATCGAAATAGCTGACTGATTAAGAATAACATACCTTGCCTGTGCCTGAAATAAAAAAAGAAGACACATAAAAGGGACAATTCAAAACTTCAGCCTTTAAACTCACTATGACTTATTTACTGTTTTTGGAAATTTAAGCTGAGCAGCAAGTAGCTACCAGCAGTTAACACAAATTGATGGTCAGTGGTTAACACAAATGAGCTTAGCTGGTATTCAAAGATAGACAGTCGTTTTGTGAATTTTTTTTATAGTTCTCAGAAAAATATATACTAGCATAAAAATGGATATTAAAGTATGTATTGCAGATAATACATATTATGGATACCCTAAATTCTCTTTCAAGCCCCCTCTCAGTTAAGCCCCCTCTTATTAACCCCCTTTTCAGAGGGAAAAATTAAATTAGACCCCCCCCCCCAAAATTTCACTGATGCTTAAATAAGTAGACTTGACAAAAAAGGAGATTTTCCATTTTATTCATTGGTCGTTCAATATTTGGCATCAAATCAAAATTCACACTATGTCTCTTTCAGTCACGACAGATCCAAAGGCAAAGATTTAATGTGCATTAATCACGAGCCATGTGAGAGCCTTTTACCAAAATTGAAGGCCATTGGTACTCTGAGGGCTGAAGTCAACCTTCTCGAATGCTCGATTTCAGAAGGCGACATGGCGCAAGAAGATATTTTAGACAATATCATTGATATAGAAGGCTGATTTGTTGTTTTTTATTTCCCAAATAATAAAAAGTTGGTTTTCCACTATAAATGGTTTTTTATTACAAAATTAAGCCCCCTCTCTCAATTTAGCCCCCTTTCTTATAAGCCCCCCTTTACAGTGCTGAAAAACAATAAGCCACCCCCAGGGGATTAAAAAGAGAATTTACGGTATTAATTGCAGTAAAAAACTCAAATTTACTTTTGTATACAGCTACAACACAGCAAACTTATTCTTCTATATTCAAAAGATCAAAGTCAGACTTGACTATCAAATGAGTTTCCAATTTTGAATGATCTGCAGACAGTGCTTGCTTGATAAATAGGACTTGTTCCAACAAGTCTGATTGTACAATTCCACATATGTCAACCTTTTTTAAGTGGAGTTTTTTCAATCATTTGTTATCCAAGGTCTTGATTTTATTTAAAAGTCTGTAAAATTTCATAAGACCAAAATGCTTGGTAAACCAAACATACTTGAGGAAACATAGGACATGGTGATTGTCAATGGTAAAAATTAAAGATGCAACGAGTCAAGTAAGCCTAAATATTAGAATATCAAAGCTTCTCATCAAGTTTTTCTTCTGCCTTTCCCCATAAAATTTGTTGTCTCACCAAACCATTTTTTCAAATACTTACCAGGAGGAGGTCTACCCATAGCTTATCAAGGGTTAAGGAAAAACTTCCATATTGTCAATGAAAATACTTTATATATATAAGGACCAAATGCTAAAAATTATCATGTTGTATGGAATCACTTATAAATTCTTTTTTCAATATTACCTGGTATTTAAACAATGATGTAAAGTTAACTAAAATAAAGTATAACAAAGAGAGAGAGAGAGGAATTCTCTTTTAGTGGAAAAGTCATGTCCACGTCAGTGGACGAAGGTGGCCTCCATCAACACCTGGACCCCAGTTTAGACTTATTAGAGATAATGTTTACTCTTTCTGTTAGCCTCTTGTTATCTCTTGTTTATGATTAACACCGCTTCCACTCTGGCAATAGCCAAACCTGCTTACCTATACACTTTGCTTGGATTTGTTGAACCAAAACCAAAGGCAATATTTTATAGAAATCAACAAACTGAAGCGCTGGGTGGAAATGGTTTTAATCCTACTTCTGAGATAATTTTCCTTTTTTTAATGCTCCTTGAGTTTATGTTCCAGATTGGTTGTAAAGCTTTTAGGAGTAAACAATTGAAGATACATTTTAAATATTTTTGAAATATTAAGGGGAATGCAGTTACTCAGGCTCTAGAGCCCTATATTTATTTACACTGTAATATATAAATTATTATCTATTTGATAAGCTGAATATGGAAATCATATGTCTGTTGGAATAAAAAGAAGCAAAACAGTGAATGAAAGGATACAACTTGACAGGCTTTTTGGATTTCCTCTGCCTCCCATACCAGAAGCCGGTCTCCCAAAAGAGCTCCTGCAGACAGATAAAGCATCAGTGAGAAGTTACAGGTTGACAGTGGCCAGCATTGTGGGAGTATTTTCTAAACAAGTTTTGCAACCAGCTCATTTAAAAGCTAAAAATATCACAAATTTAAAAGAGAAAATCTGGATAACTTAAAGAGGTGACCTACACAGGTATTTTGATGTACTGAGATCACATTTATTCGTTGTTTTCAACCAAATTTCAATCTTAGGCCAGATTGCGTTAGTGTTGTTTGGGAGAATCGATGGTGGATATTTCATTGCAAAATTCGACTTGCATTTTTGCTACTACTAGGAATAATATCACATGTGCTAACAAGAAAGCTAATACGAATGTGACTTACATTGTTACAACTTTGTCGACAACTAACTCCCAAAAAATTGAAATTTCAAACAGCAGAGATTGTAAACAGTCCAACTTAGGCCTGGACCTCGTAACCGTGGAAACACAACAGCAACCAAACCAACTTGAAACTGATGGTCTGGGGGAATGAATCAAGGGAGCGAATGGGAGGAACATAAGAAAATTTCATATATCAATACCCTCACGATTTAAACCTAAATATCCATAGTATTGGGCTTTCAAATGGCTTTAGCACGATGGAATGCGGAATAGACGAAGGGACCGTGGAAGCGTTGGGGCTTAGGGGACTGAGTGGGGCTGAGGGGGCTGAGGAAGCCTAGCCTCCCCAAATAACTTTCAAAATACACTAGGGTATCAAAAGTATTGCACCACCTCGAAGGAGGAGAAATGGCGCATGAATGATCGAAAGCTATTGTTATGCAAATTATTTCTGTTTTTAGAGGGCCAATGGCAATTGGTCGAAAGCAAACAACCGCCAATCAAAACTTCAATCTATTTAGAGTATTTATTTTAAAAATAACAGTAGCAAACGTCCTTTAACAGTTTCAAATTTCAATATTTTGATGGGTAGCCGCAAACTTTTGAAACCGCAAAAAGCCTCCTTGAAATGGATCCACATTTTTGGTCAACGTATTCTTGTGGAATTTCGCAATAGGCCTGGAAAATTCTTGCAATTAATGATTCTCTGGCTTTTGGACGACCATTTGGATCACAGTTTGTAACATTTTTCATTTGAAGTCAAACTTTTTTAGCGATGTTAAAGATTGGACTTGATTCTGGCTATGCCAAAACTTTAATTTCTTTTGTATGGAAATAAATATTTGTAAAAATGGTTTCCGTTTACTCAGGTAACTTTTTCTTTTGTATTTGTGCAAAACACTCATCATATTTTCTGTGGACGGATTTTGAGCTGCAAAACCTTGCGCAGTGTTGGGTTTCATGCCTTTTACTGCCCCTTGGTGCTGTACGTAGTGAAATAAAACCGACAAATTCTTTCCCCTTTAACATCAAATTTATTTTGGTCGCCAACTTCTCGGTTTCTTTACTACTGTAACATTCTCGAGAAATCTTTTTTGATTTACCGCAGCTGTTGTGTAGCTGCATTTAACTTGGTCAACATTTTTTTTAAATTAAAGGCCACTTCCCCGTAAATGTTTTATAGCGACTCGCCTCTCATTTGACAATTTTGTTTCCTCAGGCATGGGCTACATTTTTACAGATAAAAATGTTTTTGCGTAATTTATACATTTTTAACTAAGTTTTCTATGGCGTCAGCAAGATTTGCAAACTTTTCCCGCCAAAGTTTGCTCTAAAATGCGCTTATTTCACCCAATTAATGCATTCAAATGTTTTGCATTGTCAAAAAGTCGACAAAAAGTGCCGCCATTTTGAGCAGGGTGGTGCAATACTTTTGATACCCTAGTGTATATCTATGTAAAATGAAGCAAGCATGTATGTTTCCTTTCTCTGGGTCTAAGATGATATGCAAACCAATCAATTTATCCTCAATGTTTGTGCTTCGACTACAGAAGCTTCTTAAATTTTTCTGATTGCCGGAGGACTTGCTTGTTATAGCCAGTTTCTTATGAGACAAATTGTGTGTAAACATTATCCTTTGTAACAGGGTCAGTAGAGGCTCTGACGCAAGAGTTGGATACCAGTAAGCATTCCAAATTTCCAAAAATTCTGATCCATGAATTATGTAATCACAAAAATATTTATTTGAAAGAAATTTTAATCTACTTTAGAAATAAATTCAAGCTTGAACTTTGTTACAATAAACAGGCAGTGGTCATATATTCGTTACAATAAAACGATTAATAAAACGATATTTAACATGTTACAACATATACAAAATCTACTCCCTTCATAACCTGCCCAGATCGAAATCAAAAACAGTAGTTCATTTAGTAAAAGAAATTTCAATCTTATTGCAATAATCATGTTTATTATTTTACAACATTTGAGGGTTTTGCGCTATAAACAACTAAAAACAACACCAATACATTGTGTAGCCCTATCTTGAAAAATTTCTGGAACTCTATACTGTGAGCTATAAAAATTCGTTAACCAGACATGCACTCTTGTTAACGAGTACGACTGCTTCGGTGGTCGTTTAATCAATGTCTCGGTTATTCTAGTTTTTTCATTCCCTGCTGAATGGGTTTACCGTAAATCCTCGAAATGAGGTTTTTAATAATGTCTTCTTAATGTCTACAAAAATTTGATAAGTCCCCCCTTCGTATAAGTCCCCTCTCGAATAAGCCCCCATCCAAAAATATCAAAAATAAATAAGCTGCCCAGAAGGCTAATTCGAGGATTTACGGTATCAATCATTACAAAAACTGCGTGTTCTCTATTGTGAGGCAAAAATTGGTAGGCTGGGGTGAGAGCCTATTTGAGGGTTAGGGTTCATTAACTACTTTTACTCCCAGGGTGGGGCTTATTTGGGGGGGAATACCATCCTTTTTATGATTACCCATCATAACCAACTTCTATTGCATATCTGTTTGTCATCATAACACTGTTGTGTCTTCTCTTATTTACCTCCTTACAAAATACACAATGTTTTTCAACCAAAAAATTGGAAAACCAGCTACCCAGCAAACTCCTATTTTTCTTAAAAATTACTTTCTGTGCAAAGCATTTGTCCCTAACGTCCTATGAACTTTCACAGGCTCACGTGGAGTAAAATAAAGGGTTATTCTGAGCAAAAACAGATATTGAGATGAAATGCTAAAAAGTTTGTATCTTTCTAAGGCTCGTTCTAAACAACTATGTTCTAAGGGATCAGTTATTACTGTTAACGTTGACATTTCACAGGACGTAACTAAGCTAAATTTTAGTTGCTTAAGTATTGCTCCATTTTCAGTGGGTTTTCGGATATAAGAACGAATGGCGTTGAATACAAATGAATGGTCTTACTGATACGAATGGTCTTACTGACTTTGAATACAAAGGCGTTCGTACATACGATGGCTAATTTTATTTTATTTACTAATTAATTCGCTAATTTTATTTATTCTTTTGAATCTCAAATTTGAAATATCGATAAAGTTACTTTAAGTACTTGCTGTCATTGTGGCTTTCATTTAAATCAGAACAAAAGTGTGACTTATGACCAGAAGTGGAGTCTGGAGTAGGCTATGAGAATAGTGCATTAACTATCCCTCACCTCCTTGAAAACTATTCGTCTGGTCATAGTAGAGTTTTTTTTAGAGTCTTTAACAAATAGACTCGGATCTTTTCTAAGATTGCATACCTATAACGTTCTATAGAGTCCACAACAAGATTTGACTCAAACTTTTATCTTGTTTTCTAACACCATCACTTCTTTTTCATACTCTGCCTTTTTTGATGCATTGCCTTCTAACTGGTCTTCGATAGTTTCTCTTGTTTTCTCATTAACAGTTTCCGGGAGTACAAGTAGAAACAAAGCAGAGATGAACGACATGCCACCCATCAAAGCAAATGGTAGACTTTCATTTACCACTTTCAACTGCTTTGCAATCCAAGGAGCCAACGCAGACCCAATGCGTGCAGCAATCTGTAGGTAGCCCATACCAACGCCCCTGGAAGTAGATAGGAACTATCAAAGAGTTGCTGCATATCTTATCCAGGAGCCTTAAAAATTTCGTACTTGCTCATCAACTTTATGTGTTTGCTTAAAACTATTACAGCTTCATACCCTAATGCAATTTACAGCTGATCAAACTAACTCAAACCCCCAAAGTTAAGAAAGTCCGCATTAGCAAATGCCTCTGCGCAGCTTTATTCTGCGCTCTCCCCAGTCTTCTTCTAACGCTATAGCACGCGTGATGAGGTGTGGTTTTTGGTGTTAGATTTTTTTTAGTCAAGCATTAGTAAAAACTTTTAATGAACTTCTTCCTGTTCAATACGTGGTCGTTTTTCTTCGGCCTTATATTTTACATTTTGAAAAGGTTCAAAATCTGCATTAGGCCATCCATTTATATTCAATTTCATACCGAATTGTGGTAGGGTACAGTTCCAGCGACCAGGTGTAAATGGCATCAAAAGACAATGTGATGCAAAATTTTCCGATAATACCAAGAACCACTCGGGTGACAGCATATTCTGAAAACGAATCAAAATGAAAATAAATTTGATAAGATACTCACAACAAAAACTATTAACTTTTTTACTTAGTACTTGATTTACAAAAAATTGTCTTTGTAAATTATCTTAGTAGAGTTGACTGTTTCTGCAATTTCATCTTTATACGTCCCACGTCAGTTTTTGCTGAGAACAGCATTTTAGTGGTGGTCGAAGAAAAATAAAGGTGTATCCAACCAATGACGTCATTTGCCTCGTTTGCAAGGCGAATCGGGTTGAGTCCATTACCGGTCCAGCGTAGCTATCGGCCGACCTGGGAGCTTTTCTCCTTATAAGAAGTCTTTAATCACATAATAAGTCCTCATTTGAGGAAACCCGGCAAACTTAAATTTGAGTTTTTCAAGCCTCCTCGTAGCATCGAGATCACTGTAAATAGATGCGGAGAAGAGGAGAATAGTCAAATGAAAACCAATTAGATGCTTCTCCGATCTACACCTATGCAAATTTCCAATAACTCTGGTCGTCATTTGAAATTCCATAAATTGCTGAAGTAAAACAAATTAAAAAAAGTTGATTTCTAGTCCTGATACTTACAAGCTCAAAATAACTTACCTTTACTGATAAATGACACAGCAATACATGCAACGCCCGCTATTACCATTGGAACAATTACTGTTTTCTTTCGTCCTAGCCTAAAAAATAAACAAGATCAGACACCTAACATATTCATTTGTTCGAATATTCATCAAGTATTTTTGCTTGAAGTATTTTTAGGCCTACCTAAATAAGGGAGGACGGAACATGGCAAATGAACTTAGGTTTTTTATCAAGTGACTCAAACACGTCTATATGAAATAGTGTTCGCTAGATCCTCGGCCTATGGTGCAGTTATAATCATTGAACTTTGTCCCTGGTATATTGTGCGTCATTGCAGAAGTACCACTCAAGTTTAGAGTGACCCCTTTTTAAAAGGTATCTAAAAAGCATTTTAGTTGATTCAATAAATAATTACATAACGGAATACCACCACATGTTTCTCAATTTTTACAAATTCTATCAGATACTACAAACTACTACGAGATACTGCCAAACACAACCAAATGCAAGACTCTACTTTATGCTACCTCTTTTTATTCTGTACTGCTATCAACCATCGCCAAATAAATATTATTGCAGTTTACTAGACTGTACAACGATAACTCAATAAGCGTCAGCAAGATGAACTCTTACGAAATTTTGATATCCTACAAGTCAATTTTTATCAAATATGGTCGACTTAAAAGATTTTCTTTTTGTCAAATACTTTTTTCCAATTAAATTTGGCTTTCTACAATAAAGTAAAGAGACAAAATTTTTAGACATATAGCAATATAGTATAAAAATACTAAATGCTATAAAAAGTTGCCAAATTTTCACATCAAAAATTTACAACTACTAATTAGCAAGCACCAATTGGTTGGGTAAATTGAAAAAAAGCCTCGCATTCTTATTCTTAATTTATAGATATAATAAAGATGCAGATACTTTTTCTAGCTATGCTAATTAAGACTATTTGGCAATTTGAATTTCCTATATTCCTTAGTCAATATAGACTGAAGTTTATGAAAGCTTGCTTAGCAAATTAAGCAAAGTTATGATAAAAGCATGAAGACAAAAATGTAAGATATAGAATTTAATTACCGATCTGAAAAATATGAATAGGCAAAAGCAGCACATATTCCAGCGAGTGTAGACAAGAGGAAATCCCTGTACATGCTTCCACCAAGATCGTCGGCAGCAAATGAAACTCCATAGTAGACTAGGCCATTCACAACCCTTTAATGAAGTCCAAAAATCAAAGCATGTATTGATATGATTAAAGCATATTTAATGGCTCTGTGTAACTACAATAATTTCGATGACATTACTAACAAAACAGTTTTTCTTTATTAAATGGCTACCTACTAACGGAAATGGATTTTTAAAAAAGAATAGCTCATGTGGTACCTGAAGGGAAGAATATAAAAGGGGCTCCTCGCGGATCTATCATAAGTCCTCTGTTATTCAATATCCTTATCAACGACATATATTTATCTTTGACATCCATCAGTTTTGCACTTTTTCAGAAAGACTAGTCCCCCACTTTTTCAGAAAGTTGGTCCTTGAGATTCTTTCAAATCTGATGAGAAAACTTCGGGGTGGGCTATGTAGGTTATCTGGATTGTGACATTAAAATGACACTCCTTGGAAGGCAAGAGGTGTTTCCTCCGGAAGGAAATGTTTCCAACACGGAAAAGGGGCGTGGTCCAAAAGAACATGGTCCCTGACACCCCTTTTGCCCCCCCCCCCCATTTATCCTAGGGTGGAGCTGCAACTGAAAGGCACTCATAGGAAGATTGAAAAATATCGCTCTTTTGGTGGCAGGGGTTATTTCCTTGATAAGGTCATTCTTGGTTTTTCGCATAATTTTCGTTAATGTCGCTTTTTAAAATCAACAGGGCTCGATCTGGCCGATAGAAGTACCCTGTAATTGAAGGTGATAGAATAAAGGGCCACGTAAAGTGAGCTATTGCTCAAAGTTGAAAGTGTTTTAGCTCGATAGAGAAGTACAAACATGAGCCTCCACGTATGCCTTTAGGGGTCAAGACTAAATTCTGTAATGATTCTGATGGGAGACCGCAAGAGCAACAAGACGAAAGAGAAAGTGACCATTTGAAGAGATTTTCCTGATAGCAAGAGTGTTGTTGAGGTATTTGACAGGGCATGAAAAAACAATTTTTCTTCCTGTGATCAGAAGAAAATCGTGCATAAATTTTCTGCTGGAATTGTGAGAGAAAAGAAGGAAGGGTCAGATTCAAAAACAGTTATGATATGGCACCAGTTTTATCTTACTGAGAGTATAAGCTACATTTATAAGGCTTCCACAACTCTCCTACCACTTGAAATAGTGTTCTGTTTTTACGACTGAAAATCAGTTTTCATTCATGAATGCTTTAATTTATCTGGTATTGGAGTTTAGCTACATTACCAATCTCATAAATGGTGAGAATACAAGGATGAACCACTTTTGTCTTCGTGGCTTTCTTTTTTTATTAAACATAAAAGAAAGAAGAATGCTTATTTCAAAAGGGTCTATTTGAAAAATCTCTTGCTCAGCTCTTGCACTGCACAAAAATATCTTGCATGAAAAATGTTCTGCGTTCGAAGTTTTTTTGCAACTTTTGCTTGACTCTAGACCAAAGATGATAAACCCTTTAGGTCTAAGAAAGCTTTCGATGCAGTTTTCGTTTACACTTGAAATGGATTTTAGAACCTGCAAGAATAACTAGAGCATTGATAATAACCCAGACCAGGAGTTTCTTGCTACATAACAAAGAGAATTTCCACTAGACATTATTCTAGGGAAAATGGTAGTTAATACATTTTAAAAGCCAGCTACACACTTTTTATAAGAACCAGTAAACTGAATTTCAGGCTGGCTGTTCTAAATTTATCGAAAATTTGTGGCTAGATTGTTCCTCGGTTGTACTTGAATTATTAGGGTATGAGCAGTAAAAACCCTCCAGGTGGCAAAAAACCTTTTTTGAAGATGAACTTTTTAAGGGGATTTTACAACATTGTTAAAAATCAAATTTTTCAAATTTTCCATTGGCCTCAGCTTGTTTTGATTTGTTCCTGATTTTCTGAACGTGTGACGAATTTTGACGGTCTTATTCTTAGAAAAGGTTTTTTATAAATAATAGTGTAATTTGAAGCCTTAGAATGATCAGTTAAGCATGTTAGGCTATTCGGGTTGGCTAGCGAAACGATGTCCCTCTAGGTACCTAAATACAGAACTGGCCATTCCCTTGACGCCTTGTTTCAAGGATAGAATAGAAAACTACATGACCGTCGGGCTCTAAAAGACACAAACTGAAAATATATTTGTACAAACCATGCAAACCCTTGAACAAGACTGCTAATTGCGATTTGTTTCGGTGTAAACAGATAGATGAAATGTTTTAGCCCCTCCGTGGGCTCTTTGGTAACCTCAATATTGCCAATCGCTGGAACTTCCTTTCCATTCATTTTCGCGATTCGCGTTAGAATTTCAACCAGCTCTTCTGGTTTGCCATTTACGATAAGCCATCTTGCGGATTCTGGCACCAGTCTTGAAAAAATCGATTAAAATTGAGATGTAATCTAAATTGAATTTCCAAGAATTTCAATAATTTCTAATACTGTATTTTCAGTTCGAATAGTATTGGCTAAATTTCATAAAAGCTGGGGTATCATGAAAGTGAGCTTGGGTGATTACCCCCTTCCTTATCAAAAAAGAGAGTCGAGCATTTAAATCTGATAGCGCTCCAGAGAACAGCATTTTTTGGTTTTGCAGATCAAAATAACAGCCTATACATATGATCCTGCTACAGAACAGCATCTACTACAATTAATACACTAAAACATTTACAATTTTGCAGAATCAATGGTGAATGTTCCAAGCCCTTAGAGGTAACCTGTGGATTCCTCAAGGTTCCTGCCTAGGACTCCTTCTCTTCATCTTAACGACTTTGAAGCATGTTTAAAGTTTTCATCGGCAAGCATGTAGGATGATGATACGTACACGATAAAGTCTCTGAAGACAATGATGAGGTGAGTGGATGAGGATCAATAAATTTGGTGCAAATCCTTGAACAACTGAGTTTATGCTTTTAGGCCATCCACGCAGAATAAATAAAATTGAAACTCTAGCTCCTCTGAAACTTAATGGCACAGAAATAAAGCGAGTTGAAAAAGTAAACCTCTAGGTATTACTGTGGGCGAGAATCTAAACTGGAAGGAACACTTTGAAACTTTGAAAAGTAAAGTAGAAAGTGGTCTGTCAGCGTTTAAAAAACTGAAGAAAATTCTTCCACAATACTAAGCTACGGGAGGTTTATCATACACTGGTGAAAGTCGCCTTCGATACGGGAATATTTACCGGCGAAGCCTTCCAAATACGAAGCTGCAAACGCTTAAGCGTCTACAGGTTAAGGCAATCTCAATTATTGAAAATGCCAAACGAAATGACCTCTTGACCAGTGATTGGCCTGTAACCAGACCCCAATTTCAAGGGAAATTTCATTTGAAACTAGGGTCATTTATCAGGCTATGATTGGCTTAGCATTGATCCGATCATCCCTTTTGATCAATCTATCATGACACACACAATAGTCAATAAGCAGTGCCCTGAGAGCTTTTGGAACAAGTATAATCAGAGGATTGAAATTTCTTGTTATAACACAAAAAACAATATTTCTGTATGTATATATCTGTATTGTAATTGAATTGGTTTTAAAAAAGATAAAACAAGGAAAAAATAAAAAATCTCGACACCCCAACATTTAAGCTTGAGAGTGCAAAAAAGGATCCCCTCGTTTTATCAGTTTAAACAAAAATTAAAAATACATTTGAAGAGCCACGGACATGGTGGCCCACCGGGAGGCCCCTTAAAATGTTACATGTCTTCCTTTTAAGCTTTTATCATTTGTGACATCAGATTTGTGAGAAAGAAGTGAAGCAAGGCCCCACGCTGCCTCCGTGACACTCATTTCTAACATATGATGACGACAAGAAACAATCAGCATCAAAATGGTGTGCCCCTAAAAACCAGATTTTTCCGGCCCTAAAAGTTCCCACCACTACTGCTCTGTGAAAAGCTCAATAAACCTGAAATAAAACACTAATCCCAGGAAGATCAGACGTCTGCTAGAATTCAATCATAGAATTAAAATAATTTTTAAATATTTATCTTGCATTATTAGCTTTCTACTTTATCATAATATATGGTGGGATATGGTGTAGAAGTATGAATTAATAAAATAACTGAAGAGTGTCAGCTGAAAAGCATTAGTACGCTTGAAATGTTTCGCCATTTCTAAGACGGATATGAACTCACGATATAAGGGCACCAGAGGTCACGTTTCGAATTCCGTAATTGAAGACAAAGAATCAAACAAGTCATATAATGTATAAACAAACGAACTCACCTATAAAACAGTAACGTCATCAAAAAAGGGGCTGTACAAATAATGGTCAGCTCTTTCCATGTCCTTACAAATATGGCGACTACACCCAGAACAATAATGCTGGCGGAAGCAGCAAACCAGATGGTCATACCAGCAAATGCGCGCCTCTTTGGTCCAACGTATTCAGAAATGATAATAAACGGATAAACGATATTTCCGACGATGACGAACCCCATTATTACGCGCATGGCTATGTAGAATTCGAAACTCGGCGAAAATGCGCTGATAAAGCCAAGCAGCATGACAGCACCAGAGCAGGACAGTGTTGTCCATCTTCTGCCGAACCTGAAACAATGAAATACTGAGTAAAGGCCTAAAAACTGAGTAACACTGAGCTGTTTTTAGGTCAGTAGCTTTTAAGTCATGCGGCATTTAGAAAACCCCTAAATGCCATAATGAAATCTTAAACATCTTTAAGTGAAATACATCAATTAAACAAAGCAAGAAACAGGTATATTTTTGTCTCGTCTTGATATTGCAAAATACTGAATGCCAGATTTAAAAAATACATTGCATTGATTGATATGTAACGAGTGGCGTTTTCCTAAAAACTATGTAAATGATATCCTACAGCATGTTTTTACCCCTTTAAACTGTTTTTATCGAATTTTCCCAAGAATTTACTACAAGGTTCCTAGTGTGCCTAAAAGACCACTTATTGACCTGTGGGAGTGTGATTCTTTCAAATTCAAAAAACCCAACATTTTTCACAATGGCTTGACGACAGTTGGGAATATGGTTGGCAATTGCCCTGTTACCTCTGTCCTTTTACTGGTTAGGAAGAAGAGCGAGCGAAAAACTTCGTTCCGAAGGTTACCTCACTCATTAAAAAACTTTCTCCTGTTCATCTTGAACAATACTTACATTTGCTTTGAAAAATTATTTTGAACAATATTTGTCTCCGTATGCTGGACGGTAACGCCAAGCACGCTTTTGAGAGATACACGCATACGTTCTTAGGTCAAGAAAACAGCTTTTGAGAGGAACGCTTCTCAAAATGTTTTTCCTAGATCCCTGATCTCTATAAAATTGATTTACCATGACCCCTCCCCCACTTGATCCCACTCGATTTACCACGACCATGCCGCAGAACTGCTGATGGTAGTTGTCTATGATGAAGAAGAAAACTGGCATTTTGATATTCCAGTGTGTTCTTCGAAGAAATTGTACAAAAATGAAAAAGGCAAACAAATCAAAATTAATTGAAAAATTACCTATCGCTGATCCAACCTAGAATAACAGCTCCAACTGCCCAAGAAACAAAAATTAGTGAACTTCCAAGGTGAACCAAAGGTGTCTTGTCACAAACGATATCAAACTAGAAATGTAAGATGCAATATTTATATTAGCAACAAATAGCAAACACATAATTCAATTTAAAGATTTAGTTAGTATTAGGGCATTGATCCACTTTTGTTCTAGCCATGAGAAAATAAATATCAAGGTACCACACAATTTTGTAACTTTGCGGGCAAAAGCAAAGACCGAGATACAACTTTTTGTTTGGGGGGCAGCCCTGATAAAATAATGAAAAACAGCTATTTTCACGCCCTCAAGGGTAGTCGTTACTCTTTTGGTGAACAGATAACCACAGTAAGCACTAAAGATGTCGCGACTTGACTCATATGCCTTAAGGCCAATCTCCATTGGGCGAAATTTTTTCGCTTCTTTGCCGGCGAAAGGTAATGAGCATGCGTATTTGAATTTTTTAGCTTCGTGCGCTGTGCGCGACGTTCGCCTTGAAAGTTCGAACTATTTGAACATATAGTAAAATGTCTGAGTCCAAAAGCAGCTTCGTGTTGGATGAGGAAATAATAAAAATTCTTGTTACACGTACGTTACATGCTTCTTTTATAGTCCTACCAACAGCAGTGGGGCTTATCCTAAAGCTTATCCTAAAGGTACAAAACTTTAAACGTTTTCGATCTGTGTTCTAACGTTTTATACTCTGAAGAGTGCTTGACTAGAATCTTTAGTATGACTCAAAATGTTTGCTTTTTCTGACATTTCCAGTCCAGACCGGTTGCACAGGTTTCAAAAAACCGGTCAAATTCTGAGAACTATTTTTCTCTGTAAATCTTGAATTTTATCTAAAATTTTCATTGCAACAATTGCTGCATCTCTCCCCGACTGACTACAGTTTTCACCTACCAAATTGAGCCCCCACACAACAGCACTTCCTTGTTGGAAAGATTCCGACAGAGTTCCAAGCTTCCTAATTCATCTTCTATCCAAAAGTATCCGAGGAACTCAAAATCGGAGAAATCAGTCGCCACCATAGAGATATGATACCGCATTGGTATAGCCTGCCTTTGGTACCGCTTTGATACCGCTTTGATACAAAATGGAATACAGGTGCAAATTAGAATCTGACGTCTTGTATTGTGGGACTAGACTTTTTCGCTCTCAAAAAAATTCATGAAAATTAGAATCAAAATTGCTAAAGGGGGGCCACTGGAGAAGGGGGGCTCACTTTTTCAGAAATAAAATTTTTTGGACGTCTTTTCTATATCGTTTTTTAAAATGAGATATGAAATAAAAGGAGAACAAACTGTTTATATACTGCTTGATTTTATTTGATCTATTTACTAACTTATTCGGGTACATTTTATCTAATTGTCTGTTATTTGCACCATTTCAGTAGATAACTTTTGCATCATTGCAATGTCTGCATTGTAGATGTGTTAACATGGTCTACTGAAAATAATCGAGACAAAGTAGATGCACATTTCTGTTCAGGAATTAAAATTTTCTCAATCAATACAACAGCTTCTTGTTATTCACATCGATGTGCACTTTGAACAAAAAGTTCACCCTTCCTTTCTTACCTCAACGTCTGTCACTAACGTTTTAGCATGACTCCGCCCCTCCTAATTTTGTCCTAAAAGTCAAGAAGCAGTTTTTTTTAAGATCGTCGAATTCTCTGTTCTGAGGGTTATAGTAGTTTGTTGAATTTTAGTCTGTGAGATGGATCTTTAGCCATTCTAGAAGGCTGAAGTACACAAATTTTCTTTCGCGTCGGACCCAACCATGGTGGGTCCTCCTATATCACTAAACTTGATTCTCAGCTCCCCTCCCAAGTTCATTTTCAAATTCAAAAGCTTAAGCCTGATCACAGATAAAACTGAACTGATAGTCTGGAGTCCTTTGCGTGGAGGATACAACCTGAAGGGGCCAGTTATAGACATGCCTGGGAGAGACAATGAGCCTGAAGGACTTTTTAACTCTGAATTTTAGGACATCTTCTTTGGCTCTACTAACCGCCAAGAGCCCTAATAACCAGTAAATTCAGTTGTTTAATAAATTCTTCCTACTACAGTCATACTGTTATTTCTAGTCACTTGCTGTCTTGGATGCATCAGATAGCAAGAGAAAAATGCTATAATAAAGTTCATGCAAAGCTAAAACTAAGCGAAATCCACTCTTTCGATGTTCTCAAGAATAAATCGTTATAAATACTAGAGATTGACTACATGTTTCTAAATAGTAGATATTTTAGGTGTCTTTACCACGGGTAATCATCGAGTGTAAAAAAACAGGAGCTGTAGTGGGCCAAGTTCTCTTTACGGTTGCCTTCAAGTGGCTTTTCATAAGATTTCCTTATAGTTTGATCTAATAAAGTTCAAAAACATAATATCTATCAATTTTTAGCATTTTTTATTGGCGCCATATTGAATTGAAAGTATGGTCAGAAACAATTTTTTTGACATAATGAGAGATCGGTTACTTGCTTCTCTCGAGTATACACCAATTCGATTTACGGCCTCGTTTAGGAAATTTCTCCAAACTTCATTATGTACGACCTTATTATGCTCAACAGCTTTAAAGCTCAACAGCTTTATCGTCATAATTTTAGGCTGGATACAATTCTTTCATATTGTTTGTGCTTGTATTGTAGATTTAACGCAGAAATGAGGCTGTAAGTTGAATTGGTGTATTACGTGCTTCGTCTAATTTGTTTAAAATAAGAATAACTTCGCGGGAAACATGTCTAGCCTCAAATGAAAAAAATTGGAAAATGAACAATATCTGTTTAGAGATTTGAAGAATTAGCGGACAGATTTTATCAGCAAATCAATCCTGCAACTTAAATGGTTTACAAAACTGTTGTTTAATGGTCTTAAGGCTGAAATACACGATCAGTTTTTTTCTGTCAGTTTTTCCCAAAAAATTTTTATATCCGTTTTTTCATCAGTTTAACTGAAGGCGCGCGTGTTTACACGATCAGTCAAAATTCCTCAGTTTTTCAGTTTTCAAAACGAAAAAGGAGGAGAAAGCAGAGGTCCACATGGGTAAAACCATGGCTACAAAAACGTTCGCAACTAGGAATGTATGTACATTGTTGAGGGAATTTCGCCAACAGGAGAATGATGAGTATAAATATGTGGAACAATTAATGTAGATAAAAACACTTTTATGATGCCATTTGATGTTCCCGTCTATTTTGTTTAGTCAATATAAGCCAAAACTATTTGCGGTAGATTCTATGCTATTGGCATTTTTACGAATCGTGAGCCATAGCAATTCCTCGAGCCCCCGAGCCCCCATGTAGTCGGCGCCTATGATTCAGTTATTTTGTTATTTCATATTTCATACTGGGAACCATAGTTATTTCATAGTTCAAAACCAAAAAATCTAAATAGTTATATTTTCTCCCCGAAAACTTTAATTGTTTCACATTTCAATTTTCCCATATAGGCGCTCTTAATTTCATTGCGGATTGCGGCTTTGGTTGATTTTTGCACGGTGTTTCAATTAAGTGATTCTGCCATCGGTCAACATCTTTTAGACAACCCAGATTGTGCAAAACTCTATAATGACGACATGTTTCGGATAATTGGCAGAGCCCGGTCGTCCTTCCATCTAGCAGTTTTGGAGTCGATCTACATAAAAACGAAAAAGCCGCCATTGTGAAGACAGAAGGAGTTCGTTTTCTCTCTTGGACCAATTCAACTTACAGTTTTCTCTTGGACGCCATTGGTAATTTTTCTCTAGGCTCGCTGCACTGATTGGTCAACCATACCTGTCTTGTGCTTGCGTTTTTCTGAATGGCCTATTTCGATCCACAACTGGGTATATATTTTCCATCGTGTTCTTTCGGAACCTTATTCTGACGTTTTATGCTCTGAGGAGTGTCAGACGAAAAAGCTTTTAGCATGTCGTAAAATGTTTGCTTTTTTCAAAGCCATTTTCAAATTCTGTACCGCAAAAAAACTGTAAACTGTTTATTAAGTCCAGAAGGATATAAAGTTCCAAGTTTAAAAATTATCCGTTTTTCTAGCGACTTTCTCTTTGCACTGTCCGTTGGGGCAAACAAGAGGCCAAGAACTACCATGTCATCTTCTGTGTGATTCGCCAGGTTAAAATGTTTGGAAATGTTGCTATCAGGATCACTGTCGTGTTTGTTGTTGAGGTGGATTTTGTTCCTGACATTACGTAAATGCTCACCAAACCTGTTGTTGATCTGGCGTGATGTTTCACCAATATACAGAACATTACATTTGGTGCAAGAGATGCAGTATACGACACATGAGGAAGAGCAATTGAAGCTTGATTTAACAGAAAATGACTTGTTACCATTAGAAATGGTGGTAGATGGGTTGATGTGGTTGCAGGTTTGACAGAGGTGGTGGTGGCAAGGTGAGGTACCAGGAGATTCAGGTGAACGGAGGCTGCTGCGTACAAGGTAGTCTTTGATGTTTTTATCCTTTTTGTAATTTTTAAACTTGGAACTTCATATCCTTCTGGACTTAATAAACAATTTACGTATCTTCAATTACCTCCCCCCCCCCCCATTCTTTTTTCTTTATTTTTTCTTTTCTTCATATTAGTGTGCATATATATACATATACATAAATTCTGTATTTGCGTATATGTATATATATATATTTATTTTTATTAGCTTTTTCCATATATTTCTTTTCCATGCTCTTACATCCGTCTTCCTATTCCATTCGTCGAATTCCATATTCCTTTAACGTTTTTTAGTTCTATCATCGCTTTTCTATCTCACTTGATAACGGGCTATGCTCGAAACGTCGTTAATTATTTTAAAAAAAATTTTTCCTGGTACAATTTACTTACATTGATCGTTATTGTTCTATCTTGAAGGTAAACAAAAAGGTCCTAGAAATGATTGATTCAACCAGCTGCGGTTCAAAGTTCGTTCGTGTCAAAAATTCTTATCGTAAACGGTTGCAATCCTGTGAAAAAAACCAATAACTCGAAACAAGTACAATCTTTTTTTATAAGAACAATTTTATAAGAACACGAGCCTCAAAATTGGTCAAAAGTTAAGAACAAATTAAGAACAAGCTG